TTTGGAACAGCTGTTTGCCCAGAGTTTGTACTGTGAGCTGTACAAAAGTATATTTAAATGCCGAAAAGAAAATAAAGTTGTGCATCGTGTTCGGCATCCATAAAGTCTTACCGATCATAAGGCCGTTCGTGAACTTTGTGTTTATTTGGAATGTCGGCCGCAGTAAACTAATTGAGGTCATCCTATCCAGCCGTGATTGATTGGAGCGGCATAAGGGACCGGTCACAATGCATGCGGATGGGACAAGTGTCTGCTTTGCATCTCGCGGATTAATTTTGTCCCGGCGAGTTAAGTTCCCTTATATGATGATCCCCGGCGCTGTGGATGCGAGATGCGGCTGCGGCTAGTGCCAGCGGTTGGGGAATTGTTGAGGCCGGGCGCTGTTGCTGATGCGCATTGCCATGCAGTGTATAGTGTATATCGATCAAGCCGCTTGTTTTCCAGTTAAATATTGCAACAGGAAGAATTCATTTGCTAGATTGCCGATGTGCGATTTGTTGCGTGTTGAAACGATAGTCAGCAGTGTTTTCTCACCAAATAGACTGCCATTCCATTAGGCTTATTCCCGCATATTTTCCCAGTTGCTTATTTAGTCTTTACATATTCCCTACTCCACTCACCAAGAGCACGGCGCGTTCCTTTGACGTAATTACTATACTGCTCTAGTTTATATACAGTAATTGTATCGCATAAAATTTTTTTCTAGAAACATTTTTCTAACCTATTCGATAAAGTTGTAAACCCAAAGGCGTTAAATGTTATCCACAAGTGCTGTTCTAATTATTTAAAGTATATACGAAACGAAAATTCTAAATCTGTTGGAAATTTCCAAAGTGTTTGACAGTCTTTGTATGTAAATATCGTGTACATACAATTTATAAGAGACATTTGATTACTTATGCCCAATCTTCATAATCCACACACACCAAGTGTCTTATATCCGCAACCTCGCACACACACGCTAAGACACAGACGGAAAGCGGGTTTCATACCAGACCTGAAGAGCCCGGCACTTTGCTGACGCTGGTACATCCTTTCGTCAACATTGTCCGCGGGGCCATCGCGTATATACGGTGTGTGGGGGGATGCGTAGTGTGCTCTCGGGCAGCAGAGCACCACTTGACGTCCATCTTGAAATACATTAGACGTTATGTGTACCGGGGGGTTCTTCTGCTACACACGCGAGATATACATACACATATATATACACGGAGGAAAAACGAGAGTTCTCGAGCTGAGCAGCGGATATGAGTACTTGGATGCAGTAAGGACGCTCTTGAATTTTTCATTAAACCTTGGATAATTGCGCTAGGCCGCAGCCAGTTAAGTGGCCGCTCCAGCTCGAGCTACACTCGCGTCGGAGAATTCCATTCCGCGCTATGTTCATGTCCATCTGTTTTTAGAGGATAAATGTACAAAAGTGTACAAAAGTATACAAACTATGATAGGGATATATTACACGTTAATGGGAAATGGATGCCGGTTCGGGCATAAATTTTCTGGCTTTTGAGACAACTCAACCAGTCAAGTACAGACACAGTGCGTTGCAGTGACTAAATGTACAGTATATTCACTTCATCAACGTTGACGCATTTGCCAGTTGTGAAAAGGTGCAGTGCGCGTGTATACACAGAAGGGAAACTTTATCGCTTTAATTAAATGGATGGTTCCTTCGGCGGTCAAAAGTGGCAAAGTTGCCGGAACGGAATGTCTGTATAATTTCTGTCCGAGCGTAAATAAAACGTTACTTTTACGCGGCGATCGCATTACCAGTGAAGGAGCTTCCGTTTTTCGATGACCTTTACCAGGCGTTGCATATTATGTTAATGGTGTATTTGATTAAACAAAACTATAAGATTTATTTGTCATATATTTACACATTCTACATTAAATATGTGAATGATTCCAAGAGCGCCATAATCCGCTGGTTGAACAATAGTTAAAGTAAGTCGTAGTGGCACGTAGTGGGCAAAAAGTTTAGGGTCAACAAGCTGTACGTACGTACTTATTATAGAGCCCATGATAATGGGATAAGTGCAGAAAATACTTGGCGTTTATACAACTGGAGAGTGTGCCGGCGCAGAACCCCAGAGCCACTTTCGTGTGTAAGCGAGTGAAAATGTGGATCAAGGCAAGTGGAAGGGCAAATAGTGGCCGGGCACCCGGGCCGTGCGCCCCGTTGACGCCATAACACACAGTGCTATATCACTGGCGTAATAAGCCGCTTTTAACTCAATTCATAATGACACAACCAAGCATTTTTATTAACAATAATGACAGACACTCGCTGCATGTGAACAAAGTGCCTTTTAAACTGGGCACTACTGTAAGTGTGGGATAGATATCGTCTATATCGAGCCGGGGGAAAATGTAGCCAACACACAGATACATGCCGTATAACCATCGGCTGCCTTTCCGGTCGGTGTTATGTGTGACAGTCTGGATGTGTGTGTGTGTGTGTGCACATGATTATCGATGAAGGCTGCGGGAATTATTATCCTCCCGCGCGCGAGCACAGCCTCACAAGCAATCAAGCCCCGGTCGAGGTCGCTAAACGGGGAAAATCAATTTAACTTGTCCAAAAGGGATTGCGATGAGGATATATAGAGATGTGAGCTGTTGGTAGTGGCGGGTGTTTACTGAGAATCCGCACATGCAGCCGACGCGGTAACGGCCGCATTAGCACGACCGCAATGCGTGTTAGTGAAAAGCGCTGGCACATTACACAGCATTCTCGTTCAGTATCGATTGTTTTCACATGGAGTATTCACTTTATGAAGAATACTTCACATAAAGGTCATCATGCAAATTATTCCGCGGAAAAAATGGAAAAACATTTAATCGCGTTACGTTACTCAGTATTTGAATAAAAAGCTTGGTAAATTAGTTTTTAAATTATGCTACTAAAATCTGCAAGTTAAATTAATTTCGCACAAATTTATGGTGATAGCTTTTGCAGAAAAAATTTAGACACGCGTATAACACAACCCGCAAGAAAATTCCCACGTATGGTTGAGTGTGTGGGAAAGAGGTTTCAATGTGCTTTTGATTGAAGTTGATTAAATGTAAAGTATGCGCGTTCGGGATCCGTGAATCTTGTAACAAGTCCAAAGCAGTAAAGATCTTGGTTTTAGCACCCTTCTACTCGTCAATACCGATTGAAAAGTGCCGACTTCTTTTGATATTATTGTACTTGATCCTTCACAAAATAATTCTATATGGAGTAGGATGCAAGTCACACTTAATTTCTCCTCAAGAGTTTCCACTATTGACTGTCGTCGTCTTTCTGTGCAGATGTATATACAGTGTGGCGCGTTGGGAGCCGGCGATAGAAAAATGGCCTGAAAATGGAGGCTGAGGATGCCAGAGAGCTGTGGTGCAGTGAGTTGAGATGAAGAGTGTCAAGCATTTGTGTGCAGCATATATCCACGAATACTATACGCCTTCCCGTTCATCCGCGCCCGCTTATACAGACGCGGGAATAAATAATGCACACATACAGCGGACGCCTCTTTCTCAAGGTAAATAAAAAAGAAAAGGCCGTATCGATGTTCACCCCGGAGTTTTACAATATTTTCCTCCTTTGTCGGAGTTAATTGCACACTTTGTATACAGGAATCCTCTGTGTGTTGGCTGGGCCGATTATTTTTCTTTGCGCCTAAACGCAACACTTGACCCCGTAAAAATATGCCGTCCAATCTATTTCTGCCGCATTCTTTTACTACCATGAACAAATGGATTGCTCCGATATTTTTCAACACTGCCGAAGAATTGCACTTGTTTAATGGAATTTTATAGCGAGCAGTTGTGTTTTTGTTTTGCCAAGAAAAAATATTTTTCTACAACGGTTTAGTCGATTTAACACCAGTCGAAAATTTGTGTATTTTTTCGCGAGTTTGAACTGCCCAAAGGCATTTTATTTTTACTATTTTAGTTTTTAGCGATGGCCTTTTCTTTGTTGTGGTATATTATGGCGATGGTATAATTAAAATATGTCCGACGCTGTGACGCTAATAATTAACAGTATTACAACACAACCACGAGAAAACTGCCAAAATTAATCATCTTTACTCGGTAATTACCATAGCGTCAGTGCCAGTGAAAGCAGAGCCGAGAGAAAGAAAAACTTAAGTAAACGATACGCACATTACCACCTCGACGTCGAACTGGGGAGACTGACGACGACGACAACTTGGAGACATATACATTTAAATACCAACTGACACGGAGACAAAAAAGACGAGCAGACAGCGATTAAGACCCCGCGTCGACGCGATTACACATTTACATTACGCACACGCACACTCGCGCGCGCGCGTCTACGGAGGATAATTAATAAAACCACATGGAGGATAATTGGTTTACAACTCTGTGTAATACGAGCTATTTTGTCCGTTATATTTAATCCCGCAAGCAAGCTAATGAATATCGTTGGTAGGAGAATATATATATGTACACATGGAGAGCGAGAGAGAGATTGTGGCTGCAAAACGCTTAAACATAGACGACTACCACTGACTGGCTAAACAGTGCTAATGGGAGCTAATCCGCGGATAATCCTAATCCAGTCCCGGTTACTGCGTATGATACACTGGCTGCCTGTCGCTCCAACAGGGAAGAATCCATCCCAACCGCGCATCCATACGCCACCGCGTTTCTCACCGTACCAGTGCGCCACAACGTGAAAAAACCGAAAGGTCACGCCATAATACATCCGCGGGATACATGCTGCCCGTTTTGATGAGATCGCGGCGTTCTAATAATACGACCGACCAAAATATCCGGCCGCTGGTCCCGTTGAGCAAAACTGTCCGCCGGTATTCATGTGACCGGTGAGGACGTTGGAGTTGAGGAGATTGGAGTGGTGCGGATGGTGGTGCATGTTGAAAGGATGATTGGCCAGATTGAGGTCGTTCATCATTTTACTGGTTTGATTATGGATATCCATGAGAGGACCACCACCTCCGGGGGGGTTGGAGAGGAGGGCATCCCCGGTGGACATGAGGACACCGGGGGTATTGTTCAGGGCACCGGCACCAGGCGGTCCCCCGGTGGGGGGTTCGCATTTGACCCCGGGCCCGCTGGGATCGGGGGATAGTGAGGGACTGGAGGCGTCGTTAGGAGGAGTCGTCGGCGTAGGTGTGCTGCGAGGAGCCGGTGGAGGTGTTGTTGGTCGGTTTGCCGTCTTTGACCAGCACCGGGACGGCGATGCGGCGCGGAGAGGATTGCGAGGATTGGCTGTTGTTGTCGGAAGCGGTGGTCTGCATCTTCTTTTCTCCTTTTCTTGGCGTTTGCATTTATAGCGGTGGTTTTGAAACCATATCTTCACCTGAAGACGAAACAAATTCATGTAAAAATGTGGTTCTGAATTTCCGCTGATTAAGGCAGAGTGGCAGACGCTGGATGCGTCTTTGCGATGGAATTCGGTACAATATTGCGATGGCGTAGTGTATGGGCACTACAGATGCCGATTACAAAAACTGAGCAGCGGTCCCAGTTACAAATAAATCGCTACTCTACTGACAAATCAGGAAACTGAAAAATAGCCTTTCTTTTTTAGATTATAGATTATAATGTTTCTAAACAAGGTGACGCCTGACATACAATTATTGTCATAACATAAATTATATACATGCAGTCGAACATTTTTCGCACTTTATCATGCAGTACGCATTAACATCCCGTATAAGGAACAGTATTATCTGAACAGTTAGAGTTTAACCTGCATAGTTAAGTAAATGTGTCTTCACTTGAAATATGAACAGTTTGCATAACAGCTGCCCTAACACGCACTGACAAACGATGTCGAGCAAATAATATATGAATTACCTGTGTTGGGGTCAGCGCGATGCTGTTAGCCAGCAGTTCCCGGTCGGGCGCGGAGAGGTATTTCTGCGTTTTAAACCGATGCTCCAACGCCAGCACCTGATGCTGCGAGAACAACACCCGCCGCTTCCGTCGCTGCCCGAGGGGAAACTGATGCAATCCACCGCCCTTACTGTCCACACCGCCACCGCCCACACCCACCCCACAGGAACTGAATCCCGCCAGCGAGTTCATGCCCATACCCATATGGTTGGGTGCCATCAGCCGCGACACTACAAAACACAGACACATATATGGACCTATACACACACACACACACGTTAAGCGACCCGAGTGTTTCCTGCCACAACGTCCCAAGACAAACAAACTCGTATGTTTTGACAAGACCGACCAAATCTTTACAGCTGAGCACGTATCCAATACAATCAAGTAGGTATCACTGGTTAATTTTTTACCCCATTCAACTCCTAAGCTAAACAATTACCCCACTAGATGGGCATTTAGAAATTGTCCTCTGAGTACTGTATGCGAGGTACTTAGCGCTGCCACATATAACTGATCACTTTTTACTGAGTACCCGCCATCATATACTGCCGCTGGATGGCAGCCTGATAACGCAGGCCGGACGAGAGTCTATTTGGTTGTTAAAGTGGAAAATGCTATTGTTATTCAAGGGCTTTGTGCAAACTTGCTCCTATGATTTGCAAGAAAAGACGCCTTTTCATACGCTATACACTGCAACTGCATGTTGCACGGCAGACCGCGGCCGTAAATACCGCTCACCGCCGGCACACTGATGTCTACTGTATTGTACACATATTCGTGTCGCCGAGCTGTGCATACGATTCTGTGTACAGCGTGTCGCTCGGCAGGCGACGGATGGTAACGGTCGCAGGCAGCCGTCCAAACGCTATTATATTCCTTGTTGTTTATCTCATGACCGTGTGAAAAAACGCGTTTTCCCAGAGAATTTTCTCGACAGATGCCCGTGTTTTTGAAAAAATAATGGAGTGACCTTAGGTTATTACATTATACATGCTGCAATTACGGCGCACTTCGCAAATGCGTCGTTTTAAAATGCAATTTCAGTTTTACGAAGAATGCAAAAATTTTGATCTTCTTTCGCGTTACTAATTTCATTTTTTGATTTGTGTTAAAACTGACCGTCTGACAACAGGGTCTTAAATTTATTCAAATTCGTGACCGCAATTTTTTCCGCAGAGCTTTTATTTCATGTAATCATTGATTCGCCTTCTTGTGTCTTCCACTTCAGTTAATCCGAAGCCAGTGCATAAGAATGGCATAATTATTACAAGAACAATCACAATAGACTGATTCATTCCATTCGAAGCCAAACTGTGTGGTCTGTCAGCGATGAATAAACGCAAAGACTGATCGAAAAATCCACCTAGTATGACATGGATTTGCCATTGTAATACTACGAAGCTTTTCTATGGAGGTATCAGACCAATTCGTTAGTTGCTTGCGATTAAGTGATGCCCTACGGTGTAATAAAATGTGTATGTAAGAGCGGGGATTGTGGTGTGCAGTGTATTAATAATCAGGATATGTATGCGTACTATTATTACTGCTGAACACTGAGGCGAAAATTGTCAACGTCGCTGGCAGGCATATTGGACAGCCTATAGCACACATACACAGATAGATATATCCGTGTTAGTGCCAACACAACGGCCCCCATTCTCTCCAACACTGAAAAGGCTTTTTCGTGTCATCGTTTGAGCTTGATCAGGAAACGTGAAAGACCCTCCTGCTGATAATGGTGTGATTGACAAATTGTCAAGCAGTTAACCATGACAGATAGTTACGCAGCAGCGGTGAATTACCAATTTCCACTAGTATGAGCATGCATGCATATATACACCGCAGCGGCAGGCCACGGGGCGCGAATTAATCTCTTAAGCTTCCCCTTTTTCCTGACCTACCACGCGTGCAACATCGGATTATTCCCATGTCGCTGGTCGGCAGAGAAGAGCGGTTAAAAAGAAAATATATCGCCACAATTTGTAGGTGGGAATATGTATCTACAGACAATATTCGATACAGAGAGATTATTCCGTTGTTGCACCTTGAAGAGAGTTTTATCCCGTATTATTAACACTAGCGATCTGTTGATCTTTCTTATCAACGCGTAGAGAGCAGCGGCCACAAATAATTGTGGCACGGCCGTGGCTATTATTTTATTTCCTTGCCGCTTAGCACCACTTGAGCGCATACCTCAAGTGCCACTATCATAGCCGGCAAAAATCCTTAGCATTTTTTTCATGTTGTTGTTAGATGGGGTATGTTTACCCTAATGATCCGATATACGGTTTGTGCACCGACACGGAAACCCGCGGACGCTGCAGACTTGCATGCCAAGACAATCTGCTAACGTCACGTAAGCCCGAATGGATATAATGCAACCGTGCGCACTGCCTGGCCGTCTTCCAGTTCCAACTCACGTGCTTTTTATTCACGCCATAACAGCATTTCATGAATCTTTTATAAAAAACTTTTCGGCATATAGTGCCATTAATTAGTTGACAATGATTATGAAACGTGACCTTTGTATATCTTGGAAAAATTGCTCTAAATAAAATCTGAACAGTTTTTACCGCTGCAGTGGCATTCAGTGTTATAAACGACATATCGGTTTGGACTTGTAATTAAAAAAAACCACAAATTAGACAGAATATTTATATAAGTTGTTCTTAAGCTGTACGTATCTGTACAATGATGCGAGACAGCAAATCGCATTATTATTCCGACTTCTTTCATGAAAAAGCAGCAAAAATTTCACGTTGATCAAAGCTTAGATGATTCTCTTTGCATTTAATTAAGCCTGTTAATAGTAATGATACAATATAAAAAACTTTGACGTCTAATAATTAAGGCAGACTACTTTAAAAAAACTACTGTTCCGAGACTCATAATATTAATGCGGATTATGATACTTCGAAGCGCACAACTCGACCGTTTACGAATGTGGTAAAAAATTCTCTCGTACAGTGTGTAATATTTGAATGGAACTGATGGACCTACTTTCATCTGAATTATTACAATTATGCCTATTCTAAATAAAACAAAAGTAAAACCAGACGGTCAAAACTGCTGAATTTTCTGACCTGCTTCCTTCGGATACTATCTGTGTAGACACAGAAATGTAGGATACAGTTAATACTTAATGTGTTTTGTTTCACATCTGCGTTCAAAAATTACATTAGAGGACGGCATACCTAATAAATTACAATTGTAATTTAAAACTGATTCACAATTTATTCAAATTTTCTTTCTAGCTGCTGAGCAGACGACCGCGTGCGGTTTTCACTGTGCGATTCAGTCAAGTTCTCAAGTAGCTGTGCATAAATACGCTACAACAATAACATCCTCGGTGCAATGGTGCACAGGTACAATAACAATGCAACCGTCAACATTCTCCGCTGGCACACACATACACGTGATTTAAAAATGCTCTGCTTACTGAACCGCGGATCCGGGAGCGGACACCGAGGAGCCATACCAGCTGCTGCCGGCCACCGGGCGCATCACCGCCGAATGATCGGCATAGGGATGATGGCCCGTGGAGAAGTCGGCGGCCGATGAGCCGTTACAGTAGGATCCCGCCGAGAACTGATGCGCCGTGTGCGACAACTGGCTTCCCATGCCGTGCATCCCGTACGCACCCGGGCCGCTGCTATTATGCGACATATTCATGATGTGTTGTGTGTTTTGTGTCTGCCGGGGGAAGGTCACCGGACTATACACGTATCCACAACACGCAGCAAAGGATCAATCCACTTGGGATAACAAACCAAAGGTACACTTGGCGTCGCGGAAAGAAAATGTGCTTATTATTATGATATGACTATAAACTGCATAACCAGCACAAAATGTATGGGGGTCTCACTGTATGATAGTGGAAGCTCAACAAGAACAAGTGCCCAACAAGTAAGGCTTGGAGGGCTCTTCGCGCGACTATGAAGCAGAGCCCAGCAACCACAGCCACTGCACCGGCTATCGATAGCGGCCGAATACACTAGTGGAGTATACACACATAAGCACTTAATTGTAGCCGAAACACACTGGTATATCAAGATATGATGATGATTGCACTGATGGAACTCTCTCGTCGATGGTGCCGGTGTGTCGTGCGAATAGCGCTGCTAGCGACTGGCGGATACAAAACTCAATGGACGAATTGACTCTCGATACGACCCATCCAACTAATAGCAACAAGAGCATCGCCAAGAACAAAAACTAAACTTGAGCCAAGGAGGCTTGCATTTATATGGTAAGTCTTCGATAATCCTCAGCACAAACACATTTCCTATCTCAATCGTACTTCGGTACAGCCCTCCAACTGCTGTCGACATAGCCCCGGTTCGATACAATTTGCGGCGGTGACGGGTGATGCGTGTGTGACTGTGTTCGCGTACGGTGCACAGCTGTGGCAGCCAACCGCGTGTACGTCGTCATTCGGTGCAGGGCGATACCAATCTATACCAGCACATCTTGCCGGTGATTGGACGAGGAGAACTCCCATTGGTGAGCTAGGCTGGCCATTAGCAGATTAAAACAATGCCTGTAATTATGCCGGTTGACAATGCCCAGCCGTGAAATCCGGGTTATGTTCGAGACCAGACAGGTACAATGATCCAGACGTACGTTCCCATTAAAGTACAATGATTAATTTACTGCGTCCTGAACAGCTTTTGTGCCGTTTTTTTTACAGTCACAAGTTTTTTGGAAATTTCTTACCAGTGGCAGACAAAATCTGATGATTGACTAATTTCTAATCCGTCAGCTTATGGATTAACCAAAATTAAGAAAGTCTTTCCTTTCTGCACTTAATTTTTTCCGTAACTTAGAAAACTTTTTGAAGTCATGATCCATACGGTGTACATAGAAAAGTGCATAAGCATTTGGCAGAATGTAGTAACAGTCTAAACAGTTCAAAAGCCATCAACTTAGCGAATATTGCTGTTCTGCGGTTTATTCAGCCAGTCAGACTCTTGAGTTATTCGGCACGATTTTGTTCTTTTTCTGGCAAAAAATCCTCACTATGTACGGTACAACTGTGTCACGTCCTGAGTGGTATTTACAATAGCCCGTATGGATGTAATTTGTAAACAGCAATTAAAGGATAATTCAGGTGCGCATTTCCATTTGTGTTGTGTTAAGTCTTTTGTTCCGTAACCCGTGCTGATATCTTACGTGCAATTTTATTTGTAGTGTAAGTGCACAAGAGTGTCCGTTTAAGCAGACTTTCCATTAAGCGTCCTCCTTGGAAATTGGTGAAGTGCAATAAAGAACGACCTTTCTACTCTACTGCTTATTGGATTGCTGTTCTCCTTCCGCATCAGCTGGCCGGTGCACACACTACGCCGGGGTTTGACCAACCGGCTTCAGCACGTCTGTTGTTCCACCAATTGGCCATTCTCCGGCCGTTGAAAACCTGTTATCATAGTTCTACAGAATGCTGTCCTGACCGATCGAAAAATAAACCGATTCATTAAGGAACGAGAACATTCCATTACTGTATTCAGTGCGCATTGATGCTAGGACAAAATTTCTAATCGAGCACACTGCGCGATCGATAGTGCTGACGACGGACGATGTACAGGATAATTGCATTACCATGCCCCCGATCACTGGATGTGGCCACATTTCTCCTCTTTCCCGGCGCGCACACACGCGCACAATACCCGGACTCAACTAGCAACTTCCGGTAATGCTGGCTGCGGCTGTAATCATCGCGGACGGGAAGAATAGCCGGGCATGTTAGTCCAACGGATAACATTTCCATTCGGCAAATAGATCGCTCATGCCGGGTGATAAAAGGGGAAAACGACGACTTGTACTGTCTCTTCCGGTGTTGGAATAACGGAATAAGCGGTTTTAAATTAGTGGCCTGTGTACTGTGCGCAGTGATGCGTCGGCTGGTGTGTATGCTGAAGTATACAGGATAGCGAGAAGATTAGCGAATTTAATCTATTCACTGTACCTGACTAGCCATGTATACTCTTTATGGCGGTAATAGTTTAAAACCCGTGAAAATGCTTTCGACCTAATCTATCCCGCGCAAAGGAATCTGGTCGGCGTTTGATGTACTCGCCAGCCAGTGTACGCCTGTATAAAAGCGCTCTTTTGAGCATCATCACGTACAAATGGAGACGCCGGACCGACAACTGCCTCGTTGACCTCAGAGCGCCTCCAACAGGTCGCAATGATGCGGCAATAGGGGCGATCGATACAATTATACGATTGTATCCATACAACTTTTCCATGGATTTCGCGAATGATGTTCATTACAGAATGAAATTTCTTTAATTACACATATGATTTATTATTTTAATACGCTTCCAAGGGAAGGTGATACTCAGCAACATTCGCCCCTGCTTTAATACATGTATTTGAAATTTATTAGCATAATAGGTCAACCATATAAAAGTCAAAATTTCGGAATTGTTTCGTTATTGCCGAGGCTGACCTTTTTTTATTTATCATTTGTATATGTGGCTGTACTCATATCATCGGATAAGAGTACGTAATCGTTTGGGAAAAGATTTCATATGCCGAAATTTGCACAATTTTTATTTGATAATTTCTGGAAAAGTTTAATGATACTAAATTTCGAATATTAAGATTCCCGACTTGCGAGTCTGCATCGGATGTAAGAGCAGCATACAAGCAAAGGCTTTTCATCCGTACACTGGATTAATACGACCGTACCATAATTATGGTTTCAGAATCCCATGTTGATTGGTAGCCGCGGCTGGTAATCGGCAATTGTAAACTAGCATACAATATTAGCGCGCTGCGCTTGATCACATTACGCGACTCCCCCGCGGTTAGCCACAGGCGATTTATACAGATTGATTTGTGCCTAAACGACTTAATATGCAGTAATTCTATTGTCACTCCGTCCCATGATGAAGTGACCAAGCAGTAAAGTTAATTTAACCCATGTACAACTTGGTAGCAATCGACGGATACTGCGTCCAGTAGGACTGACCATTTGCAAAACTTTTGACGGGACTCCGAATACAGCGCACAAAGTGCGAAATTCCCAGTGAACCGTAAACGTATTAACTGTTCATCTTCGGCAGAAAGTTTCACAAGCTGTTTAATTTTATGTGACGCTACTGTAACCAGTGATACCGTATTTCGTATACAACTGATACAAGTGGTAATATTCTATATAGATACCACCAGTAGTATACAATGTCATATCAAGGTATGCCGGTCGGAAACTGCCGGCTAGATTTCCTGCAGTTTCAGTCAATAATCTGTGCATTTTCATACAATTAAAATACGGAAGTTTTTATCTTATTAGCCACGTAGTAGTACCACAAGTTTCCTAGAGATGGATAAGGATATAATAATCCAGAGTTACTGAATTTTCCAAAATAGCAAGACTAAATTGATAGTGAGACAGGTATAAACTAGCACGCGAGACACTTAATATCATGATGTGCTATTGCAGTCGCGAGATATTATAATAAACGGGTTTACTACATGCATACACTACGAGTTCCAAGAATCCAGAATTGCTTAATTAAGGAGGCCGTCTGGGCCCGAAATAACGATATATTGTCTTCGGGATCGCCAATATGTATGCACAATGCATAAATGAGCAATTATTCGGAACTTGATTAATTACTGCAGACTCAGTTGTTCGAGGGCTATTAAGCAACTATAGTTTACTCAGGACAGGATTACACATATTCACATAATCAAGATCGGGAACTCATTGCTTGCACCTTTTGTTTGGATTCCTCAATAGAATCTGCACTCTGCAGCCCCTTGGCCTTTTCTGGATAAATGAGAACTTTGTACAATTATAATTGTACAAAGTTCGGGATCGCCAGAAAAACAAGCAGCAAGAAAAACAATGCAGCACTCAGTAATTGCAAAGTAATGTACAGTACACACCTGCAGCTATTGATTTCGACTACCTGTATACGTGTACAAACTCTGTGCTACAAAATTTATATATCTATAGATATATGTATGTATTGTACACTGTACTAAAAGCCCATGAAAAATACATAGCATACTCGTATAAATGCATATTATAATAATCGTTGCATTGTATTGTACTCGTATAACGGTATAAGGTGCATATGGAAGCATTTTACGTGCAAAACGAGATTTTATTCCTTCTGTAAGGCATCTTCTGCAAGGCTACAGCTAGGCACAAGAAGAAACCTAGTCATAGTGTTACTGCAGTGCGTTATGTTATTTAGGTATACCAATGCGCTATTTCAGCTCGCGCCCAAAAAAAATTAAGTTTGTTGAAAGAGAATCTGAGAAGTTTTCCGAGTTTTACATAAAAGCCAAAAAGCCCTACGGTAGACAATACTATATTGTAATAATTATCTACATCTATATATGTACTTGTACACCCGCTACTTGGTTTTCAGCAGCCACGAAGATGTCGCCACAAAGATGTACGTTTATTCGCCGGATACTAATTTTTAGAAGAAATGTGGAATATAGTGCTCCTATACCAATACTAACGGTCAGCAGAGGTATAATAAAAGAAAAAAGATACTGTAATCACCCCAGTAATTGTTAGTACTCTGTACTTGTGTAATAATAGTTACAGGTACCGTATACTACCCTATGGTAGGAACCGGCAAATGACAAATCCGACAAGTATAAAAAAGGGTTAAAATTATTTTGTTCAAATTGGTGAATTTGTCCTTTAAAGGGCGGAACCTAAAACTGAAAACGCGATTCCAGACAGCGTAAGAAAGATTCCCGAAGCCGCCGGCTTGGTTCCTGCTTCCGGTCATTGTCCGGTTGCAGGTTGGACTGTAGCAGTTCCCATTCACTGGACACTTTTGTTATTTTATGAGGCGATACCATTGTACACCGTGTTACGTTTTTAATGCATCTGCAACAAATGCGAGTGTTTTTAGAGCGACGACATTCGCAAACCAACAGAAAGTGATAATCACCAGTCCAATTAGTAAATTTTCATTATCGTCGCTGTTATTTGGAAGTGACCCGAGTGAGTAAAACTGCCCAAAACCAATTACATCATAATTCATAATTTGCTTCCTTCATAATTTATTCACGTTATCCACATTATTGCAGTACATTGCACAATATTTGTAGATATTCACTATTCACGTACAACCATAAAAATAAATAACTGCGAAAATAATGACCACATCTTTAACAATAAGCAAAAATAGACTGACTTCTACAGAAATGACCGGCCTGACCAATTGGCAATTCAATATGAACGAAAAACAACACTCTGCGTAAAGCAAAGCCAGTAGCATACGTAAGTCCAGGTTAGCCGCGCACACCACACTGCAACTGAAAAATTACAACAGAAAGCAGCAGCAGTATGCACCAGCTAGATGGAATATTAACAAAATATAACAACACATTAGCTAAAATATGTAAGAATAATTAGTAAAACACTTATTTCTTGTAGGAAAAGATTGTCTTCTTGATGATTTCTACGCATTCGCTGAGTTCTTCGTCCGTCATAATCAGTGGTGGTGCCAGACGGATAATATCGCCATGGGTGGGTTTGGCCAGCAGACCGTTGTCTTTCAGCCGGATGCACACGTCCCAGGCATCGTATTCTGAAAATAATTGAAATAACATTCTATTTCACAGTAAATTTTGAAATTAGCGATGCTGTTATATATATATATATATTAATATATATATGATGATATCATTGTCGGCGTCGAAGAGAAACCAAAAGATAAAACTGCACACTCTGACATTAATGGCTGCGAATTGTAGTACAGCGGCTGCTGCTTAGCAAACCTGGATCATTCAGTGTACAATAGCTCCCACTAATCTTTCTTAATTAGTATAAGAAAGACGTAGCGATTTATGGTTACAAGCAATTTTTTAAGCAAGTTTACCATCTCAAAAGTATGGAGCTTATAGTAAGGAAGACCTCGCCGCAACGCAACCCTTTGCAAAGACTTTCACTAAAACGTATGGAGAAAAATGGACTCCAAAGAAAACATACGGTACTTCCACACGCTAAGCGGTTCAAAATTTTACGACAAAATTATTAAAAGCAGAACATTTACCACTGCGATTAATTAACTCACGTGGCGCTATGACGATCGCGTTCATCAAGCCTTTTCCGCGCACACACGTAACGATATCCGAGGGCAAATTGGCCTTGAGTTCTTCGCGCAACCGATGACCCAGCTTGTCCGCTCGTGCCGCTAGGTGCTCGTTCTCCAAAACGTCCAGAGCAGCCAGAGCCACGCGACATGCCAACGGATTTCCGCCATATGTCGAACCGTGTTCGCCGGGTTTAATCGTCAACATTACCTCGTTATCGGCCAGAACTGCCGAAACCTATAATTAATAACAAAAACGCTAACAAAGTCAATAAAGAGAGCCGACGCTTTTATCGTATGTCATGCAGAATGACGCGCGTTTAGCATATTAGCAACCAACAAAGTCACCAGATGGCTTAAAATGCGCCCGCAATACACGATACGAGCAGTAAAATTCCAAAGCAATTAGTGTCATAATGCAACACTATCTGAAAAACATGAAAATGGTCACAGATATTCTGATGTCTTGTGCGCAATTTGCACCGTGCAATAGAAATATGGAGCATTAATCCAGGGTTCACTGCCCAGTTAGGTTCAAACTCTCAAAAATATTTTCGTGCACCGTTCAAAGCCGGAAAAATCACTGGCAAACTTTAAACATGAAAAATAAGCTCACTTGCGTACAGTGCGCAACAATTGACTGAATGCAGTAAGTTCTTGCTATCACTACATCGTAAAACACAAACTACCAATACTGTTAAATTGATTCCTCGATTCGTTGCAGTATCCTGGTATGTTGTATGCATTGTAGTTAAAAAATCCTAAGCTTTCAGAAATTTCAATTGCTTATACGCTGCCACTATAGAAAAAGTTACTCATACAAATGGAGAAAGAAACTGCAGAACACAAATATTTTATTGCAAACTGGTTGCAAGGCCTTTTTACAAAGGTAAATTAAAAATTAACCCAAATATTTTTTCAATACCATTACTCCATTATTTGTCAACAACTACAGGTTCCAGAAATCAGCCTGGAAAATTTTAAACTCTGTTGTTTTTTGCAGCATATCAATGACTATCTATCTGAAACCGAATAAATCATCCCCATTTCCCGCTGTTCTTACCGGCATGATCCCTCCGGATAGCGCTTTACCCAGCGTAATAATATCGGGCCGAACCCCTTCATGATCGCAGCACAGCCGCCTACAAATATAATGGCATAGTTAAGACCAACCAACCGAAATCAAGCCGCATTTGTTCCCGTAAAGTGCAATCGATATGTATTCCCGGCGACCTTGACACACCGACATGCGGCGGAAAGAAAAACAAGCTATCCTCTTGATAATCCCGCATTCCATTACAGACAAATAATGTCTCCGCAGTCCATTACGGCTGCATCAATCGATCAGCGGTTATATAACCACTGTAATAGGATATCGTGTGTGCTAACCTTCCAGTGCGGCCTAGTCCCGTCTGGATTTCGTCGGCGATGAAAAGAACGTTGTATTTGGTGCAGATCTCCCGCACGCCCTTCAAGTAACCTTCATCGGGGACGATTATTCCGGCTTCACCCTGAATCGGCTCGACGATGAAGGCGCAAACGTTGGGGTGTTGACAAGCTTCCTGCAGAATATGGAACGGATGTTTACCTTTGGCCGGATGCCATGGATGAATTAATACAAAGCGCATTTTTGTAAAGCATTTATCCCGTACATGTTAAAGTGTATATAATAAGCGTAATTTTCCAGTGCTCGAAAAAGGCCATTTTTTTCTGTTACAGTACTCGTATAATAATTCTTTTGTCCATGCAGGAGTATCTGTACTAATAATCTGAACCAACCGCATGTTCGAAAAGATTTTTCTTTTAGCAGTTCACTAATATTTCAGTCGAGCATACGCTAATTTTGTCAAAATCGTCTTTGATAACTTGAATTTTGTTATAGCAACATTATTTCTTAACTCAGCTAACCAGACATCTTTGGCTAAGAAACCTAAGAAAACTGATAAAATTTTTTGGCGAAGAAACCATGAAGCAAAGGTTAAACATGTGCGCGATTATATAATTGTATATTTTCCAGAACAATGCTATCTTATCATACTCGCACACACCTCCAAGGCCGTTAGATTGTTGTATGGAATGATATGGAATCCAGGCATGTAGGGCCCGAAACCGGCATAGCTGACCGGATCCGTCGAAGCGGAAATGGCCGCCATAGTCCTGCCACAGAAATTCCCTTCTGCGAAGACGATAACGGCCTCGTTATCCGGGATCTTTTTCACTCTGTAGCCCCATCGTCGTGCCAGTTTGCACGCGGTTTCATTAGCTTCCACGCCTTAATGAAAGAATTCCGATCAAAATCTGATTACTAAAATAGTTCGGCTACCAAACATACCGGTATTCATTGGCAACACCTTATCGTACCCGAATAACGCAGTGATCTTTTCCGCATACTCTCCTAAAAAGCGAAATCAAGGTAGTAAACATATCATAACGCAAAAACAACTAGCAATCGCAAAACGGGCGAACCGGAGAATGCGAAATTGAACCGGTTGTTGCAAATAGCAGATTCATAATAATAACAGATACAGTACCACATCTGTCTGGACATGGTTTTTAAAAAATGAGAAAGCATAAATGAAAATAGTTTAGGTGGTAAAACACCTAGCTGTAAATGTAAGTGCATATCAATTTCAATCCGCATAGTATGGTAGCAATTTAATCAGCTCAAATGAGTTAGGCTTATTATACGAGTACTTCAGCCGTGAGCCTCCAGAGAATCACTTTTTATTTAAAATATAATATAACAAATGTTAGCGCCGCATACATTTTTTTAAGTGAACCCATATTATTTATATTCGTATATGTTTTGGCACTGCGATCGTTTTGGCACGCATATACAACCGCTACCTAAGCTCACGTGATTCCACGATTAGTGTGCATGCCGCAAAAGCAATTAATTTATGGTCACGTTGTTCCCGATCTTCAAGTTCCGAGAAAAAGAAACTGATCGCAAAGACCGTGAGAGAGATAACCCAAAAGAGGCAGCCAAACTGAATCAATTACGATTGTCCCAGAGCATCAAAGGCAGTAATGCACTTCGAATCAAATTACCGAACCATTACTCCTTGACAAGAAAGACTTCTACGAAAAAACTCGGAAAGATGGAAACGTAAGCTTGCCGAACTAAAATATACTTCACCATTTTATTTTTCCTTAGCATTTCTAGATTATCACACTTTTGTAATGTAAACTGTAAAGATACTAGAATTACTTAATACTTACTAGACGGTCACGATGTTCAGATGTTTCAATCCAAAAAATTCGAAACCAATAAATTACCACACCCCAGATTCAAATATACTATAATGCACCCTTTTCAAATTTACTGTAATCATTTTAATGCACCCTTAATGTCTTACAAAATCTCTTGTTAGGTAAATTCCGGAAAAAAAATTGGCTAATTGACTGAGCATTTCTTACCCAAAACATCGTTGTAAAATGCCCGGCTTGTTAGCGTTAGCACGCTCGCTTGATCAACGAGAGCTTTGAGAATCTTGGGATGAGAATGACCCTGATTGACAGCGCTGTATGCGCTCAGGAAGTCATAATACCGGCGTCCATCCGTATCCCAAAGATGCACGCCTGCACAACCATACAAAGCATTTACTCGCTATAAGGCGCGCAAGGTTAACTGCGAATTATTGAAAATTATCCATTTTTTTTCAGCAGGTTTCTATACCAAAAATCTATAGTGCATCCGTATTCTATGCTGATTTCACGAAGTATTTTCAAAGTGCTACATTACTGGCTTCCAGTTAGACATATTTGTATTTTTGTACTTTTTTATATTTTTTATAATATCCAAACAATTAAAATTATCAGCCAGCTGCAATACAAAGCCGTTTAAATATCTTACCGTTAATTTATGCTGGAATAAAAAAATTTCAGGTAATTTGCAATTTGCATCATAATTATTGTAATAAAATAAATTGCTTACGGCTACAGGATAGATTTAATAATTAAGTCGCTCAAAGAATGAATAAATTTTCCCGTGTCGATTATGAATTATGCGCAACATCGTAAAATCAGCTGAGCAGAAAGCATGCCTTACCTTCTCCGCGGGCAAGCACAACCGGAATTGGGTGATAATTATGGCAGTTATACCTGGAAAACACGCGCGTTACCACAATCGGCTGCTCGATCACAATCGTAGCAGCGCTGAAAAACACCATTGATTGATTTACTTCAGTTCGCGCTGGATGTAGTCTTCTTGAGACAGACCATCTTCGTCGTCGTGTCCGGCGGTAAAACGAGCCGCCCGAATGATCTGGCTATCGTTTGCAGGAGAGGAAGATGGCATTTTTGCGCCGATAATGGTCAAGCGAAATAATCAACGTTCGACAGTCGAAGGCCAGCAGCACGCACAGCATGGAGAAAACGGATGAGATTGGCTTCCGCGAGGATCGTGCACAGGAGAAAATACCGCTCACAGTTTGCAATAAACGCCAGAAAATAAAACAGTGGTAATAAAACGATATGAGGCTTTTTATGAGATATCATGAACAATGGCTTGTCGAGTCAAGGCGAACGCTTCCGAAAGAACAGCGCGCAATGAAGAATTGCTGGCGGCGATATGCACTGTACAGTATTAACACATCCAGGCCCAATAGCGTACAATGACGCACAAGTGCATCGCTGCGTAAGTACACTGCGTACGTATACGCAGCGTGCTACAGTAGATTCAAAACGAAATTAATGAGATCGATGTTTTTGACTGCCACGTACAAGGTACTGTTTTCGGCCCTTGAGTGCCTAACTTCTACCGGTGGAGTAGAATTTTTTCATTTCGAAGAATGATTTATTCAAAAATTTCAAAGGATAACCTAATTATGTTGATTACATACGAGTAACGTTTTTAATTTGCACAAATGCCGGTCACTCTGATCCCGGAATCCGGATGTTACACCGCACGATCAGTATAATGATTAGTTCACCGACTTCACGTACGTACACCTGTCGTTGTTAAATGCAACGTTTCATGCGTCTAATTTTTGAATACATACGAGTACAGCGGATTCATACGCACAACGTATACGTACGCTCGCGTTTACCATTTGCTTCCTGTGCGATTGCTGATGCAATCCATACCTCGTTAACGTAGCGCCTTACCAAATTGTTATCGTAAAATACAAACGATCGCATCCGTGATAACAACGAGCACATGACCAGTGGGCTTGTGAGGCAGATAAACAAAAGATAATACGTATTTATCTGTAATTAAATCGGTGCTGAATCTATGCTGCGAGCTACTTCCCCGCTACACAAGCGGTTCACCTTTGTCCGCGCAAACGTTCCGGCTTCCTTGCTAAATAAGGCTGCCCTTACACGGACGGCTTATAAATTAATTATTGATTTTGGACCAGAGTGCAACTCTTTGCAAAAAAAACTGCATTTTTATAAAATGAAGTTCATTCATACGAAGTGGGCCGATAATATTTGTATCTAGATCTGGCCTGCAGGAGTTTCACGTTTTTCGTTTGTTTTCGTTTTCGTTTGATGGAAGTTCATGCACAATATGGGTGGTCAAAATCTCTGTGTATTCTTTACGCGGCAGTTTGCGCGGCAGTTGGGTAAAAAGCGTGAGTCAACGGCGCGTAAACAAGCAAACGTGCTCATTCGTAAACAAGAATTCTGGGATGGGTTATCAGCTTACTCTTCCATGTAAGCGTTGCGCTTCGATATCGAAGCGCAACCATTACTTACCCAGACATACACACGTATAATTTGTCAGCCAGCAGAGTTCTTTGTTAACGTTGTCAACATTTTGCCAACAACTGTATACAATGGATTTGTACAATTTCATATGTAATGATCTGATATGTCGCTTGCGTGATTAATTACGGAATTACCAGCATATTTTGCATTTCAGTCTGTTTGACTTTCACTTTGCATTTGTTGCCGGCTTAAATAACGACGGCTCTGGAGACACACTTTAAATTTCAACATGAACTCAACATCGTCGTCTTCTGATTCAAGCGCATCAAAATCGCTATCGCTGGTGCTTTCGGAATCGCTTTCTAACAAGGCTTGCTCCGTTTCATCATTGATTGACTATTCGATCTTTAAACTGATAATCTTTTTGTCGCATAGATTAAGAAATTTCTGCCTTTTAGATGGTGGTGCCATTGCAGAAATCACAACAGTTATTGCCACTACTGTAATTTATACACGTGCAATTAATTTTTGAACGCCTCGCAAATAAAGAATAGCTGCAGCGTGACAGGCGCAGCGATGTCTTCGTTATGCCGGGACATGATGCAGACTAGTTCATGTGGCGCCGCATTTTGCATTAAAAGTAACTTTTGTTTTCACTTTGGTGGTCAGTTTCTTTCCTGGCACGCAAACATACTCGTCTTATCATTTATTGACAGCTTTTTGGCTGATTCATCGGGTTGTTTTACTTGTTCTGGCCTTTACGCTACATGCATCGATTACACAGAAGATTTTGACCACCCATAATGCCATTCAGTGGAAGGGAAGCATAAACATCACAAACATATGTACTTCTGTGTTTCTTGGGAATACGTTATTCTTCATTAAATACAATATCATATGCCGCGAGGGCGGAAACAAATGAGTGATCGATCACATGCCCAAGTATATCTATATAGAAAAACCTACATATAGACGGTATAATTACAAAAAATTTCTTACGTTTTATTCATTTCATGTCACTAGCTAGACGGCCATATTATTTTAACAGTATGTGTATCACACGTGGGTATTGTTTTATTTTGACACTCTTGGAAAGCTGTGCACGGTCGAAAGCTGTTAACATATGCATGTTATATAAATATATACCTGTAGTGTATTAAACAAAACAAGTATTACACAACCACAAAACGTATTGATTTCCTTATGTCTATAACATGGTAGGTTAATCAATCAGAACAATCGTGTATCTGTTCGCAATTAAGGGAGGTGCAAGTTAAACAGCAGTATTTCTCTCTTCCATGCAGGAACAATTAATTGACTGTCCATGGTAGAAAGTTGTTTTCATAAATTATGATACTGTACATACAATGGAACTGCAGTGGTGCCCTTCCCAGTAAAGCCATACGTACATAGGCATTTGCGCTTTGCGGTAGAAATGTACGAGACTTCGATACTTTTAATAATTTTAAGCATTAAGTAAGAAGTCATGGTAGGATACTACCGTACTGACAATATGTACAAGCAGCAATGTTGCGCCTCTAAAAAAACCTGTAGGCCTCGGCTTCGCTTTTACGATCTCTGATGCCGCAACAGCCAATTGTAAACAGAACAGAAATATATCAGTTCGTAGCCCAGGAGGTTGGTTTTTGCCGGTTGTAATCTCAAAAGAACAAAGATTGTCATGGTCCAGATTGGCACGCCACTTCTGGATCCGGAGAGGAAGCCAGTGAATGCTGCATCGGCGATCCCGTGGTCGCTGTCGGGTACGACATATTCAACTTGGATCTAGAAGGTTACATTTCAACTTTAGTGTTACATTGTCAAAAATTCATTCAAGGAATGTTCCAGTGCTCACCTGTTGTGTCTCATATGACTTTCGATCAAATCCCCAGACGTAAGAGCCGCGAGCAAGGATAATTCTGCCGCTAATACTGCACCACAAATCACGCGCGCTAGCTTCTCGGCATTAGCTCCCGGTTGCATCGGCGAAGGCCCTTGCACGTTCAACAGCTAAAATCATTTAAAGATGACCAGCTACACAATCAAGGTAACTGAAATTATTTACAAGATGTACCTTCAAGCAAGCCGCTTGCGCCGGTAGATTCGTCCCACCGCCCACGGTGCCGACTTCCAAACACGGCATCGTGCACGTAATATGCAGGTTTGCTGGATCATCACAGTGCGGTTCCATTTGTACCAGGCATGCCGAACTCTCGACCACCTGCGCAACGTCCTGACCAGTGGCTAAAAAGACGGATGCTACCATATTGGCAGCGTGTGCGTTGCATCCACCGATACTTCCTGCCACCGCCGACCCCACCAAATTTTTCTTGACATTCAGTTCAACCAGTGCCTCCGCCGACGTTTTCAAAACATTTTTCAGCACATCCTGGGTGATGACCGCCTCGCAAAGCACGGATTTACCGCGCCCCAAAATACAGTTGATAGCCGACGGCTTCTTATCCGTGCACAGATTCCCACTTAACGAAAGTACCCGCACTGCGGGGAATTTCTCCCGGAGTACGTGCAACGCATTTTCCGTGCCTTTACCCAGCATGTTCATCCCCATAGCGTCGCCTGTCGTAGCCTGCAGCCGCAGATGTAACTGCCGTCCCACAACCTCCGTAAACACACTCTGCAGTCGGGCAAACCGCGACGTTCTATCGAAAGCGTCTTTCAGTGCGCTGAATCCTTCCCCAGCTATCCACGTTTTCGCTAGAAATTTTTACATCGTTTTAAGGCACCGAGTATTGCAGTCAGCGATAGACTCGCACCTTCTCGGGCTCCGACGATACCGGGAAACTGGAGCAACGGCGCTCGTGTCATTCCGTCGTTGATCAATTCAGTATGCGCCCCGCCAGACAAGGAAATGGCTCGGCAACCGCGGCTGGCTGATGCTACAATACAGCCTTCGGTTGTGGCCATCGGGACCTAAAAGCAGTCCGCAACAGATGAGCAGATTTCTGATGTAAATTTAGGAATTCAACATCGCTTGACGTTGAAGATTACCCAGTACGACTGGCCATCTAACAGCAAGGGTCCAGCAACGCCAACGGGTACCGGGATGTATCCGATGACATTTTCACAGCAACTTCCTTTGACCTGCAATTTTTAGCTCTTAAGTTACATCGCGCGAAATAAGGCTGTTGATATGGAGTAGATATAATTACAGTATATACGGTACCAGCTTTACAATTTACGGTATATAACTTTGCAAAACTTTGCAGTTTACAATTCGTTCAACATTGGTGCGGATATACCAGGCTATCAGCCCATGACGTCTACTCAGTAAACCATTAAAACCATTGTAATTTTAATATCGATTAAGCCGTGTTGTGATTTACAGTTGGTGTTTTTATCAATAATGCAAAATTTTGCTGAGAAGGTATGAATTAAGAAATCTAATATAGTCTATATGCCTTAAATTTTCTGGTGTAAATGGCGTTAGACGGTGCTCAGTGTCTATGACATTGTAGCACTTACGAGAGAATAATCGTAATCCTTAAAGGGTAAATTCTCCAGTGCGGTTTTATCGACTAAATCCGCCAGAATCAGGGACCGACGAATACACACCGCGCGCTGAAGATCTTTTAATTCCTCCTCCAGTTTATACTGTCGTAATTTCTTAGCTTTTATCAACAGGAGGATTTCTTCGTCCGTCAACTTTTCGATTTTCTGAAATCGCAGATATTTTTATAAAAATATGTTGGTTACGATATTAAAACATTTCTTAGCGAATTCAGTCAGCTGGATAAATTTAAAGTCTGCGCCCTCCGAATGTCTACTCGAGTAGAGACTCTAGACCAAGCTTTTTAAAAATCACATACCGTTACAGGAACTGGAGCGTTTAGTAGATTAGCCGGAGCTGTTATTACGCCGCCTTCCGTATCCATGCCGGTTTGTGTTTGCATGCCAAATGTTTCGGAAGGGAGATCTGTTCTACATGGCTCATCATCAGCATTATCCCCGATAGTGAACTGCCTTCCACACTGTGTTCCACGAGTACTATTGCCTTGATTCTGCAGAACATCGGTGCTCTGCGAACCGAAACGATTGACCGGTGAAGCTGGCATGTCTTTTCGGCGTTTTATCGGATTCGGTACTTCAGTACAAAACAAGTGCTCTTTCAACACATTGATGCCAGCACGATGCCCCTGCAGAAACCGACGAACCTTTTTGGTGTTACTTTTGGAAGTCTGAAACCACCTAAACCATAGAGACGTTTGCTGTGTCTATACCTAAGTCCCAAACTAATAATGACCAGCGGATCGCGTGCCTCTTCTCTGTTTTCGAGCGTCGGAGCTGCCCCGTAGTCAAGCTGCAAGTATATACAATACAACATGCACTATCTATCCCTGTCTATCCCTTCAGCTTGGCTACCGCTGCCCTGCTAACCGGCAGTGGCTGGCTAAAGGCTAGCGTATATTCATACTTCCTGTATTTGGCGAAATATACGTTCCTTAAATCGTTTTCAGTGAAAGATGGCTGGCTTTTTTTGGAGGATTGGAAGATGGATGGCTTTTCGAGATACTGAAGTTGCACAATGACTTTTGATCGTCGAGTGTGGTGTGTGACGGTGTGACCTTTCGTTTTGTCGGATTGTTTTTTACATGCCTTCTCATCCTCTTGCCGGTTACTAACGACTTCAGTGCTTCAATATTTAGCCAATTTTCCGCAACGTTGTATAAAAGTTTGATTAACGTCAAAAGACTCTGTCCTCGCTCGCACAGCTTTTCGCAATGGTATGCGCAGAACAGCACAGAAATGCATCCTGGCCACGAATCACGGAAGCACCTGGCCACGCTCCTGGTGGTGGTCTCCACTCCCCGGGTGGGAGACACCTATCCACGTATTAGGGAATCAGGGGACATCTGGCATGGGATCATACACGCGCGAAAGCGTTCGCTTATGTATAAGGACAGAGCGTACATACACATCAGTATGAGTAGAAGTAAGTATGCGTATGCGAGCGCTTTCGCGTATATGCGTGTAAGCCATCGCAATACCTGATGTGGGGACAGGTGTTCTCCCTGATTCATGTCCAGGGAGGTACTAATATTACACAAAAACAATCGAACCCAGTCGGAAAATTATCATCAGTTGTCTTATTTGTGTGCCCGTGGCCGTAGCTACAGTATTTACCATTTGTTGTTTAATTTCAAATTATACCGTTGTATTTTACGGGACAATTCAAAATTAATTATATGTTTCATTTTCCAAATCTTACTTTGCGAAATACTGCCACGGCGCCAAAGTTCAAAGTTGCCACAAGAAAACGATCTTCCGGAGTGATAATAGGTAATGCCGAATCAATTACTTTGATTCACGTATCATGTTTTGCGCGTTAAAACACCGATACCGCTCCCAGGGTTTGCTTATAGGCGTAGTCATTAAACAAAGTGATCCACAACAGCAATTAGGCATAACCTCCCATCAAGTATATCCGGCACAACTATAAACGTGTATCAAACTAATTGTAAGCATCTGTTACAGTAATCAGATATTCATCCACTTCTGTCGAATATTTGTAAGTAAAACTCGTAAGTTCGCATCATTAATGTCATTGGATGACAGTAAGTTATCGCTAGGTAAAAGTGAAACTCTTGCAACCGCGGCAGTGAGCACGTAAGCCAAAGTTCTAAACTATATGTCATGGTCACGGACTCTGATAATTAAGTACTATAGATATACTAGCATTTTGAAACCAAGTACAAAACCGGTTTGAAAGCTAGAAATAGTACTGATCGGAGTTTTCGGAACATTCGGAGCTAGATACGGTACGGCGATCTGCGTGCAGCACCTGAGTGACGCGATGCTTTCCGCTTCCGGTTTCTTTTCAGTTGGAATGTTTGGGTTTCGTACCATCTGTAAAAATCTTTCAACTCAATCGATTACACATCACTTACTTTAAAGCCCGCATCGGTTATTTAAGCTTAACTAGTGTTGTTCTGTGTGGTTAACACATTGGGTGTGAATAAAAACCGGTTTTCCGCTCACTATTGCAGACTTGCAGGTAAAGCACTGCATACAGAGGAGGTCTTATAAAACTTATAATTGCACAGTATAAAAGAGATACAACAGAATTGTTTCGATACAATAATAAAAACATTAGCATTTTACATTGTTAGTATGAAGTAGAAGTATCAAGCACTTTTACGAATCCCAAGTTCCAGGAATATTTCGGAAATCCTTGAAATTTCGGAAATCCTTGAAATATGAGAGTTTTTGTTGCAGTATGAGTACATTTACCGTATTTCATCGATTAGTGACCCAGCGTTACCATTTTTTGCAAGGGTTTTGGACGGGGTATCTATTGCGGTAAAAAAGTTTTTTTTTTGTTAAAAGGAGAGTTTTGGAAAAACGAGCCTTCAGTATGGTCTTTATTTCGAGGTGGACTTTTAAAGCGGGAAGGGTCACTAACTGATCACATACGATATATACTGAGATAGCAAAATAACAGTCTTTTGGTTTTTTGCCGTTTCAGGTGATGACATTATGCGACATCAAACGCTAATACTTAAGGCGTTAAGGCTTTTTAATCCAGGAATGTACGAATACCTGGGCTGAATAATAATGTTACAGGAAACAAGTCAACCTGATAGAAAACAAAACAAATGAGTTTTTCCAAACATTTCACGACGAAACGGCCAACGATCGGAAATTAAAACGTATGAACCATAATTATTAAATTTACGCTATTAAATTAGTTCTATTTTTTAAGGGACAGGATGGTTCTTTGGATGATCTCCATGCATTCGCTCAGGTCTTCGTCCTTCATGATTAAAGGAGGGGCCAACCGGATAATATCGTTTTTTATAGATTTTGCCAACAGACCGTTGTCCTTCAGGCGGATGCAAACATCCCAGGCGTTGTATTCTGAAAACAGTAGCCGAGTCTGACTGTACTTAGGTGGCATGATGTCGCTATATTAAAAACTATTTGTGATTGTTTTTTAATTGTATCTGGAGTCTGCAGTACGCATGAATTTACCGGTAATACAAATGGAGACGGCGCAAATACTTCATTTTGTTAATGCATACTACTAAAAGGAATTATCGGAGATAATGAATGTTAATTCTGGCGAGCGGCATGATTTTGTCTCGCCTTTGACATTAATGTGCTGTCGCGGTTGAGATTTATTGCTGGCCATCTGGGTGGTCAGATGGTATTCCTTGAGATTGCTCTGGTTTCATGCTGCCTTTAGCAGCTTTACATCTCAGTGTTCATTTGCAAAGATTTTTTGATGTAGTTCACGTCGAACGCGATTTTGCGATTTTCGCGTTCAAACTTCCATGCTGTTCTGCTGTACTCACGTATAGATAGTTACAGACAGATAAGTTCTTGATTTCACCAAGTGGTTGATTTGTAAAAATTCTTGAAGAAATTCCATGTTGCTGTGCTTTAGTGTATTTGCTACTGCCATATGCTCCTGCATTATGTTATGGCGTAATCTCGTCCGCGGCATATCTTGTGTCGACAATTATTACGTCGTCTCTCATGATTTGTATATACGCTTGTGTTTCGTACATCAATTTTTGGAGGTCCCTATTTACGTTTTCTTTATCGAGGATTAGTAATAATTTCCATTTGCATAATATATTTTGCTTTTTATTTGTGACTATCACCATATTGGCGGTTGCCCTGTTCTTTCAGCCCGGCATATTGCCGTGCACAAACGCCTAACTTCATTTGCTTGCATTCTGGCTACTCATTCTAGAACGTGGACGGCCATCTCGCACGTCAACATTTGTTATTTCCATTAGGTCATTCCCTATATAATACGAGCTAGTGTGCTCCTGATCTATTACATAGATTTTATATTTGTACATAGATATTAGTATTATATATTAAATTATTTTATATTGTATACATGTTGTAGGCTTACATATTTGTGATATGCATTACAACATAAATTTTATTATTGGTTATTATTATTATAAATATTATTATTATATATATCATCATTAATATTGTTATTATATATATTGTTATTATATATAATATTATCAATATCATTGTCATTATTATTATATTGCTTGTATCATTATATCACAATCTTCAAGGATTGATTCAATATGTATAGATTCGTCATACTATTATTACATACCGTGTATGGTTTTACACATTTCAATAAAAGGTATGTCAAAACAAATTATTGATAGATTTTATGATATATTATGTTTTATTATTAATATATTTTATATTATTGTATATTTTGTTATTTATAGACTTCATTATCATTTTTATTATTGACAATTCCATTGTGTATATTGTGTACCTATTGTGCGTGTGTAAATATTGTTATGTGTATTATAATATATAATACAGTATTATTGGTATATGTATTATAATATATTATTTATTGTGTTATTTTATCGTATTATTATATTGTATTATTAAACTGTACTAGTTACTATGATGTATTATTACGTTTTATTTACTGCATTGTATTCTATCGTATTGTATGCATACTATATCTTATACATATTTGATATTTGTGTACAAAATTTTACCTTTATTTTTATATATATTATTTATGTATTATTATTATTATTATTGTTATTTTATCATTATTTGTTGTTATTGGTAATATTGTGCTTATTATTATTTTACCTTCTTATTTTTTATTTAAAACACTATTGTTATTATTATGTCCCGTGGCTCTTGCTGTGGTCATGATCAGTTATTGTTATAATTGCTGTATTATCTCCGTTTTACTATTGTTTGTTGTTATAATTTTTATTCGTCCTGTTATTGTTATCCCCATTGTTATCCGAATTATTTTTATCTTCGTTACCCTGTTATTTATTTCTACTTGTCATCCCTGATATTGGTTATCCGTGATAATTATTATGATTCTTATTCTTTTCTCCCGTTATTTCTATTCCTGTTGTTTGTTGCATCCCGGTTCTATTGTTTGTATATCCTTATTTCTGTTATCCTTATCCCTGCTCTTGTTGTTACTTTAGAGCGTCCTGTTTGTTCTCTTCATTGAAGTTTCAGTAAACGGTGTTCTATAATCTGAAATCGAGTAAATTTAGACTACCACCACATGGGCGATTGCGCTGTTCTTTCAGTCTGAATATTGCTGATTCATTTGTTCACGCTCTTACTCTTGCAGTCTTATATGTGTTATTCATTGTCATTTATTGTTACTGCTGTTATTTATTGTATCCTCATTTCACCGTTGCTATAATCGTATTTTATTATCCCTGTTTTGCTTTTCTGTTATTTATTACATCTCTGTTCATATTCAATATTATTCTTTCTTTTACTTTACGCTTCTCTTGAATTAATTTCACTGGTGCCATTAACGGTGTGTCCTGTAATATATCTGTCTTGTATTTATCGATGGATACTTATTACCAATATTTTCTGGTGGCCTTTGGTTAGTATTTCCAGATTTTACCGTAAAATGCGTTAACCAGCATCACATTTCCGTGTCTACGCAGAAAACGTTTCACGGCATATCTTTGCGGCACCGCAGTTCTTCTGTTTAATTTTATTTCATTGTGTCTCATTGTGTTTCAATGATTTTGTCGTTTGGTTCCGCTTGATGCCTCATAATTGCTTAATGCTTATATCCGTTAGTCACATGTGTTTAGTGGAAACCCGCATCATGATTCCTTTGTTGTCGTTTCGGTTCCTTTGATGGCTTCTATTCGGGTGTACAATATGCATTGCCTTCTGCTTGCATCTCAGTTCTTCATTCCTTAGTGATGACCATACTGTTCAGTTACGTAACTTGCCGCCTGATGACAGTCATAAGGTTCTCCTAATCGCTTATACAGTGATTCATAATTCTAAAATTGACCAGTTCTTCTGTCATTAAACAGTTTTGTTCTGTAATCCTGCTGATCGATCTGGACATTTGTTGGATATCAAGGCAATTTCGTCTTGTTCGCGAGATATTATTTGCGTCCCATAATTCTGCTTATACAGTCCATCACCGTATTGAGCCTATTGGCTATTCACGTCGAACGTCGAACTATTACAGTATATATTATATTATAGTATATATTATATTTCCACTTTTCACTTGCGACTGCCAGCGTCAGCGGCTGCTCTGTTCTTTCAGTCCGGCAACTTGCCGGGTGCGTAAAAATTGATTTCAGTTGTTTGCGTTCTGACTACTTTGCATCTTTGCTCAGCTAATTTTGTGTTGTATTGCTTCCGTGGATTTTCACATCAAACATGACTTTTGATCGTTTTACGTTATCATCCCAGAGATTTAACCGTATCCGATTCGTTTTGGTGTTCTCAAATCTCTTTTGATCCTACTGTATTTAACGCCTCGATTAGCTGATCGCAATGGGACGATGGAAAGCAGTGGATATGCCGATCACCAAACCGGATCTCGCACGCCAACGTTATTCCATTTAGTTTAATGCATACTACTAATAACTAATTGCAAGTCAAGTTGTTATTATGCGGTAAATTTGTTATGTCAAGCAATATTTTTTGGCAACAATGAAAGGCAAAGTATCGAGAAAAACGAGCGCTATATTCACAACTTAACCGGTTATACAGGTAAAATTCACAACCGCGAAAATGTATAACGTTAACGAAAAAATGTTTAGGTGAAACTCACGCGGCGCTAAGACGATGGCATTCATGAGACCTTTTCCGCGGACACACGTAACGATGTCCGAGGGGAGATGGGCCTTGAGTTCTTCGCGCAACCGATGACCCAGCTTGTCCGCCCGAGCGGCTAGGTGCTCGTTCTCCAAAACGTCCAGAGCAGCCGAAGCCACGCGACACGCCAACGGATTTCCGCCATATGTCGAACCGTGTTCGCCGGGTTTGATCGTTAACATTACCTCGTTATCGGCCAGAACTGCCGAAACCTACAATCACAAACAATGTTAGCAATAAACGCTGTTAACCACAGCAACCGAGAATAGTTGCCAACTCGAAAGTCCGCAACACGTTATACATAAAATTAACAATGAGTACTGACTTACCGCCATAATCCCTCCGGATAATGCTTTACCCAATGTAACAATATCAGGCCGAACATCTTCATGATCACAACACAACCGCCTAGAATAACTTTAAGATAATCGCATATATTATAACATACCAAATTCATAAGTCAAAATCCTATTGTTCTTCTGAAGTAATGCGCATATCAAGTGAATCCAACCGAAAATTTAAGCGAATTAACACCCGGCACCCCGGGGAAAATTTTATCCTTCACTCTTCAGTATGCTGTACCAGTCAGATGCAAACAGCGCTTCGCCCGCTTCACGGAGACTATATAAGCAAGTGTTACTTACCTCCCAGTGCGGCCCAGTCCCGTCTGGATTTCGTCGGCGATGAACAGAACGTTGTATTTGGTGCAGATCTCCCGCACGCCCTTCAAGTAACCTTCATCGGGGACGATTATTCCGGCTTCACCCTGGATCGGCTCAACGATGAAGGCGCAGACGTTGGGATGTTGACAAGCTTCCTGCAAAGTGCAAATGAACGTTGACGTTTCCATGGACGGTCACCGTGTATTGCATAACTTTATTTTCGCATTATCGTGTCTGCTACAGTCATATTTTTACGAATTGCTCACGCTGTCTCAGTTACTGTGCAGGTTTATTATCACAGCTTCTTCTCGTACAAAATAATGAAAACACACCTCTAATGCGCTTAGGTTATTGTACGGAATAATGCGAAATCCAGGCATGTAAGGTCCGAAGCCGGCGTAATTTGCAGGTTCCGTCGAGGCGGAGATGGCCGCCATTGTCCGGCCGCAGAAATTCCCCTCAGCGAAAATGATAACTGCTTCGTTATCCGGGATCTTTTTCACTCTGTATCCCCACCGTCGCGCCAGTTTACAAGCCGTTTCGTTGGCTTCCACGCCTGTTACGCATAAAGATGACTATTTCGCTAACATAATAATATACGAGTATTTTTACATAAGCCGGAAAAAAGCTTTGCTTCAGATACCTGTATTCATTGGCAAAACCTTGTCATATCCGAATAAAGCTGTGATCATACGACCAAATGTTCGCCTGTAACAAGTGACAGGAAATTATTTTTCGCTCATATATAATGCAACGTTCCTTACCCAGAACATTGTTATAGAACGCCCGGCTGGCTAATGTCAGGACGCTTGCTTGATCCACCAGGGCTTTGAGAATATCGGGATGACAGTGACCTTGATTGACGGCGCTGTATGCGCTCAAAAAATCGTAATATCGGCGTCCATCTGTGTCCCAGAGATGCACACCTACAGTGTTTCAACAGTAGTTAGCTTTCGTTTTGAACCTGAAGATCTTTACGAGTACGGATATATACTGGTATGGCAAAACAATCTGCTCAATGCAAGTACAGAAAGTACTTTTTTTATAAAAGGTTGTTACTGACAAACCGCCACAACGCTAACCTCCCACTTATACGCTACTGCGAATTTAATTTCGAACAAACAGAATTATTATTCTACAGTAGCAATAAAGTAATTTGCTGAAAAACACGTAACTTACCTTTCCCACGGGCGAGAACAACCGGAACTGTATGATAGATATGGCAGTTGTACCTATTATGTAAACAACAACCATCCAGCTTTTATATAATCTCACGTACGATTCCATACCGACACACAAATCCCCACTGACTGATTTACTTCTCTTCTCGCTCCATGTACTCTTTTTGTGGCAGGTTGGTTTCATCCTTAATATTATGGCCTGGACGAGGGTTCTGAATATCGCATTCAGGAGATGGCATTTTGAAGCCGGTAAAGCGGTCAAGCGAAATGGTCACTGTCCAGAAATCAAGAAATGAATGAAACGTTAATCAGCAGCTGCAGCAGGAAAAATAACTCACGTAATTTTCGGGGAAGTAACTACAACACGGCAAAACTAAATCTGTCATTTTACAAACCCATTGCGAAGGAAGCATCCATAAATATCGTTGCCACTTACCACCTACTGTACCAATCCATAATAGCGAGTATCTCGCTTTCATAACAGGTTTTACACAGCTTATACCGGCACAAGTCTCACAACGTTTCCAAAGCCACCACCCACCGGAAATTGTAAAGATATTCATAAAATCATAGGCCAGAGTACTTGTACAGAGTACGTATGTACAATACACGGAGCCCAACATGCTCAAAACATGATACAACACACGTAAAATCCGTGAGCGCTTAATTTAAATGTAAAATAACATTAAAAATCATTAAGTTATTCAAGTCATTGTAAGCATGTAACAAAAACCTACTCAGCAAGTAGTACTCTGTTTCAAATTTTCAGGTAGCGACGGAGCGCGTCTGACCGAAGGAAACCGTATCAATTTCCGCCAAATTCGATCATAATTCAACCTTTTTCCACAAAAAAATGCACATCTAATTTTCTGTTGTAAAAACAGCTTCACATAAAGCATCATGGTCCAATTCACCATTAGACTGCAAAACTACTGAGAAGCGATCATGACCGTTTACTTTAACATGCACCTATGTATAAACCTGGATCGGAATAAAGATTCGTTTATTTTTACCGAGTTAGGCCAATTGTCATAGATTTTAATGAACACTGATTTATTTACTCCATCATATGATTCAATCACTCAAGCATTACAAAATAACTGGCATAAAAGCAGATAAAATGGATAAAAAAGTCAACCACAACAACAAATTTACAGCCAAAAGGAAACAGGCTGCACACCGTGCACATTTTCTAAAAAATCAAGCACCCAATCACTTCTTCAGTCGAGATTCCAGCTGCTCAATATCACGCGTTATTGTTCCAATGATTTGAGAAAATGACTCTTTAGCCTGCAAATATAAGTGATGCTGTGGGAAAAAGGAACATTAACTGCTAATTGGAACTAACAATTCCCTCCGTTGTATTTCACAATCTGAGATTTTAACATGGTTTCACATTGCATATCTTACTTACCGCTTCATTGGATTTTTCGAGATCTGCCATCTTTGTGAAGAGCTGTTTCTGCATTTTATCAACCTGATCATGGATCTGCACATAGGTGGAAGCTACAATGACACATAAAACAGTTTTCAATCCGGAACAAATTAGACGGCAAATGCAGCAATGTCAAACCTTGTTCGTGAACAGCCTTCAGAGCCACCAGTCTATCGACGACAGCTTGCACTCTATCAATTGTGCCGCTCCATCCTTTCAACATCGCGTACGCTTCGTTTATCTGTAAAGAGGATATTTTTTAGTTAATCTGCAAAAGCTCCAAGAAACAAGAGATTAACAAGACAAATATGGACGATGTAGTTAAGAATTTTAAATCAACACATGAAGAAAGAGTAAAAAATGTTTGTCATCACTGCAAAACCCAATGTCTGATTTTGCACTGCTTCCCGCAACTAAATTCCAGGCCCGCAAAACATTCACATTCAAACAATTAGCCAAAGTATCCGGGATTTAATAATTCAGCGCGTAAAACAAATAGCGTTGTACAAACAAGTTTTCAGCCAGAAAAATACTACGCTGCAACAACCTACAACAAACGAGGATGACGAGACAAAGGACGACGAGACAAATACAAGCGATCTCACCTTTTTATCTAACTCTTCGTCGGAAGTGTGAGTCGGATTGAGTTTATCAATCGCCTGGTTTAGCCTAGGAAGGAACTGCTGCATACGGCTTTCAATCTGGTCCAAATTGTCCTTGTCCAAAAGACTCATCTGGTTTTTCAGCATAGTCACCGTTGCCTGCGGATAACAGTCCTGCTATACGGAAATGTCAAACACTCAAGCCAGTCCCATTTTACACGCCATACCATGAGGCTGTTGGATGAATCGGTTGCAAGGACATTCTAAACCAAATAGAAAAAATCGGATTAGTTGGTGGAGGTATAATGCGAACAACGGAAGAAGACAAAGATTCTCTTTACCAACTCTCGCTCCGTACCGAACGCTTGTTCCAGCTTTTTTATGCGATTCTCCAGAGCCGAAGCCTGCAAAACCGCAGATAAAACCAAGCAATCATTACAAAAATTTTACTCCCATGTCATTTCAGTTTTTAACGTAAAATCATTAAATTAAACACAATCGCAAGGACATGCAAAAGAAACAAAACTAATGCAAGTCAGCATCAATTTTAGAAAATACCGGCATATCCTCCGCGCTTCGGTTATCTGCTCCACTCTTCTTGCTGTCGAGATCGCTGGGATTCGATGCCCCTTTACCGCGCCTATAAAATCACTGATTCCACTCACGAAGAAAAAATAACCAGCAAAACCATGCTTTGTTTTATTAGAATACTGCATCAAGCGAAATTTTCTAAAACTACGACAGGTTTACGAAATCTTACGTGGCTTTGGAGGGGGTACGGACTTGCTTTTCCGCCAGCGTGGCCATCATAACTTTCAACTGGGCAATCTGGCCGGCGAAATCCGCATCAGCCGAGGGCAGGAAGGAATCGTCGCGTTTCTGCTGGGCACTGAGGATCTCGTAATCCGTCTCCAGTGCCTTCACGTCGCGTTGGATGCGCTCGAATCTCTCTTGCAGTGTTTCATCCAGCATTCCTTCACCATTCTGAAAAGTTCATCGTATAATTAATTAATTTAAAATTTTCACTTAATTCCTAATAAAACAATGTGGAAAGTTTCTTGGTGAAACTGCAAAAGAAAGATGATTCTTTTTCGAGCATCACGCACCGCTTCGTACAAATCCAATCCTTTTTCCGCCGTATAACCATGTTTGCGACTCCTCGCTACGGACTCGGAAAAGTCTACAAGACGCCAAGTGATGCTCAAACTATCGACACAACACAACTGCTACAAAAAATTGCCACAATTATGCTTAAGCACTGCAACAAATTCCCGAAAACGCAATCATAATGGTTGATAAGTCATAAGAAGAATTAAACATAATCTCCAATAATTATTTTACAAAACCTGGAAGTCGACTGCATCTTCTGATCGACTTCGAAAACTGACTGCACTTACTGTGCAGCTGTACTGATTAGTAGCGATTTTATGAAGCTTATCCTCAATTTAAAAAACCATACCTGTGGCGGAAACAGGAACCGATTTTCCTTTAAACTGCGCATATGCCTGCGCTGCATCCAGGCCAGTCCGCTCGATGTTTTCGTTCTCAGACATATCCTGATTAAAAAATGGTGGGTGAACTTCACAATAGTCCGTCTGAGCAGGTATGCAGAATAATGATTACGAACATATTGCGCGGTCTGTCGATTGTCCCGCTCCCCCGTTCCCTCTGTCTCGTAAACATCGGGTTCACCGTGGGCCTGTCAAAAAGCAGATTCAACCAACAGCTACAGTCCGCAGTTCAGGGAAAAGATGCCAAAAATCATAAGGGATTCCCGTCCGTAAAAAAATAAACCCCGCAACCCCGCACAGCGTCACAATAAAGTTCCGCAGCGTCCAAGTCCTTAACGTCGTAATGATGTCCTTAGTTTTGTACTTACGATTCCAGGCAGATCGGTTATTTTAGGAACAACAGCCATTATAATTTGCTATAAGTTTGTCAAACAATCAACAAGGAGTTCTTCAACCGTTCACAGATCCGAAAGAAAAAACTGTATGCCTGTGTATAAAGTTGTTAACAAGTCATAACCAAAACGTAACGAGAGCAGAAACCATCATGCAAACTCAGAATGGGTCTTCCCAGCCTCTCCTGATGTGAGAGGACTGGAGAAATAAATCCAAATTTTTCAAATTTTTTTGCCACTGACATAATGACACGAAACAAGCACCCGCGCGGAGGTTTAACGTCAGAACTAAGTCGGCGCCGCCTCCGAGCGGTCAGCACTGAGGCAGCTCATGCCTCACTGCCGGTTGGCGGAATTAGTAGTAGTAGTAGCTGTTATACGAGCTGACACAGCCACAGCAGAATTCACTTCCGGTTCGAGGAAAGTAGTAAGTACTTGTATTAATTTTGTACAATCTGCAGCAAAGTCTGGGGCCGGAAGTCGAGACACAGCGGCCTCAATGCCACCTTAAAGCGCGCCTTCGCTTCAGCAGGTATTGAAACGGAACTGGAACGACCCGGTATCTTCCTAACCAATGGTAAGCGCCCCGACGGAGTGACGTTGGTACCGTGGGAAAGAGGAAAGATGTTGACCTGGGATGCTACATGTGTGTGCACAGTAGCTTTGTCGCACATCGCGGCAACATCGAAACAAGCGGGAGCAGCCGCGGCGCGCGCGCAGAGCAGCTAGGATAAAGTGGAGAAGTATCGTGACATCACACCGGACTACATGTTCCGTGCAGTAGGCGTCGAAACACTCGGACCTTTGGGACCAGACGCCTTTCGCATGGTCACCGAGCTCGGGCAGATGATACGCGAAGAAACGGGCGAGATACGGGCGATTGAGTATCTGCGCCAGCGGTTCAGCATTGAAATTCAACGCGGGATTGCGGCCTCCGTCATGGGAACAGCACCAGCATCGGCTAATTTAGATGAGATGTTCTGTATAATTAGACCGTCTGTTTCTGTTGTCGGTTGAGGCTGTGGATTAAGTACATCTTTATTATGATTAGAAAATAGTGTGAGTTTTGTATACCGCCAAATAAAATCTGCAGCAATATAGATATGTATTGTACACACTTTGTACAGTGACCGTACGTACTGAATTACTTATCATTTTTCATTCATAATAAATAAATGACATTTTTTTGTGTTTGTCGGTTCCCGAGACATGACAGTGTTTCGGGAACCGTTCCCTCTCATGTCAACTGGAATCGTTTTTCTTTAGATTGCAGTACTTCATATCTGCATGTCTGTGTCTCTGTGCAGGCGCAGCCATTTGTTACCATACGGAATATAGTTGTCGATACTTTATTCAGTAAATACTGAATTTTTTTATTATCATTACTTCCTAAATTGTGCCACGAACAGAACGAGGCATTGGTAGCAAGTATTGTAACCAGTCTTCAGTTTTACATATAGAATTCATGGCTGCGTTCTGGAACGTCTGGCGCGTCGGAACATCCCTACCATTGATCCTCACGTCGACGAGCACATATTATTAAACTTAAAGGTGCAGATAAACGGAAGGAAGGAAGTACATGGTAGGTGTACTTTATATCGATCGCTGAAGTTAATATGCGCATGCAAGGACAAGCAAAATTAAAATTGTACATAGCTTAATTTACGTGAGAATACAGCGCAAATAATTGCAGAGCAAATAGTAAAATTATGGGGAATAAAAGACATACAGTAGGTATCAGACAGATAACCGTACAGAGAAGACTTAATGACTTGTATAATTACAGAAAATAAAAATATAGATACATACTTATAAAAGCACACAAAATATGTTACAATTCACTATGGCATCGAATACGAATAATTATGTAAGCACGTAGGATGTTTATTTAACAACAGCTGTATTAATAAGCCGGCATACTGTATTGCAATTGTACACTACTGAATCGAGTAAAACGTAATACTGTGTTTGTAATGTCTTCGTTACGTGTGCATAAAATAATTATTTTATACCTATGTATGATGTATAATAATTGTGTTAATTGTGTGCTTGCCTGTTAATCATGTATTTATTTTTGAATTATGGTCATGGAGCGTGAGTCAGACGTCGGATACATCTTATTTGTCATCTTGTGATTTATTTATTCAAACCTTATGTTCAAAATTTGTTATTTCGGTTTCTGATTGGGAGATATTGATGATAAGTGCGGCGCGGATACTATGCAATATGTAAAACACGATTAATTTTTGTATGTCACTGATTTATGCGGTCAACCCAAAACAAGGATTTTAAGCACAAGATCATGTTACATTAATATGCGGGACCGAGTAGTGAACAACAAAACAGTAAAATAAACTGAACGTTATAGTCGAACACATTTTCGTGATCCGTTGGTAGTCAAAGTAAACTTTTGGTATCAGTATAAGCACTGGCAGATCGGAAGACACATCCAGCTCCAAACAGGCTATAAATAAGTTCTGTCCAAAAAGATGATGTGGCTGTGGGTGTTCACTTCCTGCGCACAACAAGTTATGCAATGTCATACAGTATTCACGAGCGCGTGATCATTTTACAGTAATTTCACAAAATTTATTTAATAACCGAAGAATATTATTAATTATGAAATCATTACGATTTTATGGACGGATGATGAGAAGATGTAATTTTCTGTGTTTTAAAACCATACCTCATATAAAATAGTATTAAACTAATTCCTTGTTTTATTTTACCTTAGTAGATTAAAGAGCGAATTGGAAATTTTCCAGTTTATTGAATTAAACAAAACTACTCTAATCACCTTACCCATTAGACCAAACACCAAGAATTTACCAGCAAAAAGTTAAAACTAACATTAAAAGAGCAAAGGAAAGTTAATTAGTGCAGGCATATCTAAATCTCTAAATCAAGGCCAGCGTGATACGCCTTCTTCGCGCTGTGAAGGTTTGTCGCCTATTGAAGTTCACAAAGCACTAAGTGCGTCAATTGCGGAAGAGCCCACTTAAATGCTTCACGACCGTCAAGCGGGAATGAGGCCCCCGCGGAGACTGCGTAAAACGGCGGCGAGACACACGTTATTGCATTACAGAATTATGGAACAAAGACATGAATTTACGAATGCACGGTTGGCTGCGCTCATCCTGTCTCTATCGAAAAAAGTAAACGAACATCAAAAGTACTAATTAAAATCGGAGGGGGATCAAATGACAACTAGTTGTCGATAAAGGTCACCGGGGATTGTTTTTGTATCGGTTGGGGGCGGGGGTAGAGCAGAGACAGGGATGAGGGAACGAGGGGCGGGATGTGTCACAGTAAAATGTCAAGATGGAAGAAAAAAGAAAACACTGTATGGTACAGTCGTTTGCAAATAAAATGGGGTTCGGTCGAGCGTTTCTAAATAATGCGTTTTTGGTTTGTCGGCCTTTTCTCTGTGTTCTCCGTCCATAATCGGCTGCAGTTGTTAGTAGTGAGAGAACTGGAGACTGAGAATTTACTTCTTGGCTGCCGCAGCCGCCGCCTCGTCTTCGGGTCCTCGGGTCATCAGCTTGGCGAAGGCAACATAGTCCAATTCTCCCTTGTGAAGCGGAGCGCCCTTGAAGGCCTGGTTGATTTCATCCGCCGATAGCTTGTCGCCCACACCGCTCAGCAAGTCTCGTAAACTGCAAATGGATCGTGTTACCCGAGTGACCTTTAGCCGGTTACCGTTCAATTACACTGTTGTTAATCAACTCCACACTTTGCAGAAAAGCAAAACAACATTTCTGGCCAAACATAAGTAATCTTTAATTATGGTGTTTCAGCAAGTTTTCCAAAGAGTAAACCAAAATAAATTGATGTAATTTCTGCTTCTCACGAATCTTATGGGATGTTGAAGGAAAGGTAATTATAGCATGATGCCTTGGTAGATGCAATGATGGCTGGAATTAATGGTACTTACTACTGTTCGTCGAGTTTGCCGGTTCCTTGCTTGTCAAACAGTTTGAAGGCGTTTGTGATGGTGGCTTCCGGGTCGACACCTGAGCACAGCACATCGTCATTTCAAACGACTATTAACAGTATAATAATAAGAATATTAAGATTGTGAGCGTTATTCCGTTACCTGCTACTTTGTCGCCGAAGAGGGTAATGAACATGGTGAAGTTGATGGGGCCAGAGGCTTCGCTCAGCATCTCGTCCAGTTCCTTGTCGGGGGGAGCACGGCCCAACGAGGCAAAGGTGTCCTTAAGATCCTCCTTGTCAACGAAGCCATCACGGTTCTGGTCCATCATCGTGAACGCCTGCGACAAGATCATCGTTACACGGTTACACCAATGCCATTGCAACCAACAAATACTTTTCAATGGGCACATCTACCTGCGGGACTTGTACAAAATACAGAAATATTTGTATGTTTGTATAATATTACTATTACTGGTGAACCAATAAATGACTAGCATAAGATTAAAACGAAAAGAAAATTGTATAAAACGAGATATACATATCGGCCTAACTATGCTCTGCTTACGCAATTGCAAGTACTTACGAATATCATACAAGTTAGAGGACAAGCTGGTGACTAATCGAAAAACGCCCAAAAATAATGTGTTAACGCGGAAATCGAATGATTTTATACCAAAAGATTTATGGAAATTATCCTACTCGATAAACAAAGCCATGATGACTCTTACGCAACCTTGCTAGCTGCAGGCTACACTACCTCTTTGAATTCCTGGATCTGAGACTGCTCGAACATAGCGAAGACATTGCTGGTGGCGCGCTGGGCGCGTTTCTTTGTCTTTTCTCCAGTCTACCAAAAGCACACAACGTTTCATCAGTGTCATAAATCCCATACATGTAATGACCAATCCCCCAAAGGACAATGAAACCAGGAAGATATGTACCATTTTGTCAGAATGTGGATAGGGCGATCAGGAAGAACGGCGACACAGCCAGCAAGCGCGGAGTGTGCAGCGAAGCGGATGGAATAACCAAGGCAAACCCCGAGACGACGAAACAACAGACGACGGATCTTACGACTGATGTGCTCCCCCGACTGGCCGTGTAAGATCAGCGAAAAACCAGCTTCGTTCGCCTTCACATGCACACACTTACAGCTGGGACATACGTTTAGCGCCAAGAACGCTCAACACTCTCACATTACCAGCGCGCGGCCCGACGTAACCATATGCCATATAGGGCAATCATGCGGCCGTCTGAACATGGGATGCTAATAATAACCCATGGCGAATGTTTGGCGCGTGGAATGCGCGGCAGTGTTGAGCTTGGATATATGCGGAGGAAAGCGGCAATAAATGACCACATTAGTACGGCAGCTTGTGTTTGGCCCATCCTCCATCCAACAAATCTGGACGAGGAGCGCGAATACAGAATACAGACCGCAAAAACAGCTGCATACAACCGCACTCCTCTGGCCACATGACGCAGCACGAATGTACGTCGAACATGTGGCTGGAAATATTTTTTTGCTCTACTCGTAATCAGGCTTCTTCTCCTGCGCGTGCTTGATTGAATGGACATCTACTCGTTCCCGCGGATACGTCACCGCAGAATATCGTACGATTGTGCATAAAAAAACATTAAATTAAAGTTAACCTTAATTCAAGGTTTGCAAATTTTGGATTGGTACTGTATTTGCTTTCGAACATAAATTAGGCAAAATAGTAAGAATGTTTACCCTGATCAGCCAGATAAAAGTACAGATTTCGATAAGTCACACTGAGGCAAACGTTTTCCGCAGTACGCAATTTGAGCTCCTCAATAAACGAAACGAGTTTCAAAAATTAATGGCGCAGTATAGCCTACACCAAATTGCACCAAACTACCGTACCGTTACACTGTACATAAGTGTAATAAGAAAGGTTTCACGCGGCAGATGCAAGTTGCATCCAAATTTGACAGCATACGCTGACAGCTAGCTGCAACCAGTGCAAAAGCATGGTACAAACAACTGCTTTTATAGTGCTGTATATGAGCGACAACACAAGTACTGTAATTAAAAAATTGATATGAAGAAAGCCAAAACCCCGGTCAACAATATTTCCTGTACTGTATCATGGCGGCTCCGCAATACAGTAATACAATGCCAAGAAAGCTTAAAGCATTTCTCGTCTCACTGCAAAAATATTTATATGCGTCATATGTATTGTACATACTTAATCCGCAGACGTTAATACAATAGCTATAAACGATGCTTTCTCCTGGTCGCCATTTTTTTAGTAAATGTCTGGTCTACATTCGGACTTGAAAACCCGTGAGTGCATTAATTTGTGCATTAACGGCCCAGATATAATACTTAAACGATAACTACGGCTCGTCCATTTTCAGTAAAGCAGAACTTTCGCCTAACTGTTACTCGATAACAATTGTTGCATATAAGAAATCCATAATTGCGTGGTATATCGTACCTTCTTTTTAAGAGAATTTAATCGTAACGCATTCTCACACTTAATTAAATCTCTTGTTTATACTGCACTAAAAAATGACACGCAACATGTGTCGACACGGTGTCCTACCTTTCGGCATGACACATGGGCGGTAAAAAAAGCATCATATTGTGTTAACGGTGTTAGCAGTGGTAATAGTGATGCTGCATGTATATATTATGTATCTATAGTGCCTATTGATCATACTTTTAGGTTACACCGGATGCAAACGTGTTGTGCGCTCCGCTGATTACCGGTGGTGGCTCAACTTAAATAAAGCAGACCATGTAATTAATCCACGCATCCATTAGAAAGTGTATACGAAAGCATGCAAGATACATACACAGCAAAAGTTGCCACCACGATGTTTTATACCCGAAGATTTTTCCGCATCTATCGAGTTATCAGTTTCGTATAACAAAAAATTACAGTCACACAGTGTTGTAGCCGTGCGTTGTCGGAACGGCGATCCAAAGTTACTGTTGGAATGGTAATATTATCCTGAGCGCGCTTTTGATGTATTATTCAGAATCTCGTTAATTAACAAGCCGGATGTATAAAATGTGACCTGTATACCGTGTAAATAGTTCATTTTCACAAGCAGTTCCTTCGATCTGCCTGTACCATGGGCATAAGAAGATGCGCCATTGCTGCAGGATTTTTTATTATAATTTTTTGCTTGACTTCCGGTATCGGTAGCAGTAATGCCGCCGATTTGTCGTCACTGCCGAGCGGGCTGTCGGAGAGCCTAGCATCGGTGTTAGACTGTAATGTCAACGGCAAGAGCGGTCTGTGTGTGCCCAGTGTGCTCAAGGATGTGGTATGCACACCGCTCGGATTTCAGTTTGCACCGGATGCCAAAATTTGCGGAAGTGATAATGTCTGCTGTCATTCCACGGTGGACAGTAAACCTACCAGCGCATCTCCCAGTGTTACCACAGGTATATGTCAACAATGTCAAAAGTAGAGGCAGACAAAGTGGTCAGTTATCAGTTTTCAGAGGGAGCCTGAAGATTTCTGAAATAGTGCTACATGAATATAACGTATGTTTCGACACGATCACGCATTCGGACTCTGTAAAAATTATTAATTTATTATCATATAAACTGTATGTAGGCAGTAGAAAATACTATATATTTGTATTTATGATCAAACTGTATATAATTAGCAATGATCTAGGTTAAGGAAATCAAGAGAAGGGCATGCAGATTTTGTATATTTAGTAATACTGGCGCATGCGGTCCATTTGCGAATGAGTCGTATAAAACTGTACCCGTATGCCGTATACCATATACTCGTAATAATTCGAAGATGGGAGATGCGGACAGTCGGATTCATTTCAGAGTAATGGTCCATGCAGAAGCCTACATCCCCCAGAACTGAAAAGATTTTAATAATATAAAATGTGCAATATTTTTAATTCGGATAAATCTTCGAAACTATGGAAAGGGCATTTTTGAAATTAATCAGTGGCAGCGCGCGCTAAATCCTGTATTATTCTTCCGAGTAAGGAATGTTGCGACGACAGGAAACGTTGTTGCATTGTAGCGGTGACTATCCCACCTGCGGTACCCGAGCAGGCTCAGAAAGGCAGCGCCTCCATCCTCCTCCTTACTGCCGCCAAACCCGGCCAGCCTGCATCTTCCGGTCCCATCACTGACCCCATCAAATCACTAACCAGTGTCCAGCTCAACGCCGGCTCCGACACTCCGCCCAGCAATGCCGACAAAGTTGCCAATATCCCCCTCATCAGCAAACCATCGACCGACAAAGACAGTGGCAAACCACAGCCCTTCAATATTCCGGCCAGCTTATCAGCCTTTCTACCCAGCGCTAACCAGGCGGGTGACGATGATGACGGGGATGCGGCGCCCACCATCTCCAGGGTCACCAAGAAGCCGCCCGGTGCCCTGGGCCCGGTTAAATTGTGTCGCGTGGGGAGTTCACAGGGAATGTGTGTGAAGAGTGATCTGGTGAAATCGCTGTGTCTGCCTTTGGGTTTTGCCACCAGCCCGCAAGGATGCAGTCCGAATTATATGTGCTGTTTCACACCGGACCCCGATGATAATAACATCCCCACGGTGCCACCGGAGCCGGCAGCCAAAGCGCCGGTCAATAAGCCCAATATACCGATACCCTCAATAAAGTATGTAACAAAAAGAGCAAGCCGTTAGAATGTATACCAACCCTCTAAAATAATTTCAACCTTATTTTTTTTTAAATTCCCATGCAGAATTCACCGGATAGTATTACTGTAGTTAACGTTTTAATAAGTCTTCCTACTACACATGTCACATACTGCATACTGCAGAGCGATAATAATTGGTGTTAAAAAAGATATGCATGTGCGTACACAAAAATAGCACTTAAAATTATTCCGATTTTTGTGCTGCAAATTTTAATTTAATTTTGTACTTATTTGCTTTTGCCTTTTAGTGCCTTTGCTGGCTAAATACAATCTAATAGTAATTTGACAATTATGCATTTTGTAGAATAACGAACGTGAAAGATTTGCCCATAACCAAGCCGGTAAAACAAACTCCGGTCTCCGATAACCCCACAAGTATGGATACATGCAGTCCTAGCAATGGTCAACCTGGTTTATGTATCCGTTCCGACATCGCCCCGATGGTCTGCACACCACTGGGTTACGCAATCGGTGACCGTTTAACCTGTGCATACGACCGCGTTTGCTGCTATCTGGACAAATCCAAACTCCCGACGGACGCGACTAATCAAGCACCTTCGCCAACTCCCAACACCCTGCCGGTTTCCGCTACCGGCCCCAATCCCCGCCCGTGCCAACTGGGACCGGGTATTAACGGTGTCTGCGTGCCTGCTAATTTAATCCAATCCTGTCCGCTTTTTGGCAAGAAAGTGTCGGCGTTTGGTTGTGCCACCCGGCACATGGCTCTACCAAATTATTGCTGCTATGAGGAGCAGCGTAATGCGGCCGTCAGTTTAGACGGGATTGGCTCGGTGCGGAAGAAACCCCTGCCGGATGATCTGGAGCCCATGCAGCCGTTTATCTCCGTGGCTGGAGCGGAGACGGTGCCGCGCCTGGATTCCATTGTATGTGGACGGAAGGGTCTGACGGGAATTGAACCGCGGGCGCTGGCCCGGCGGGCCAAGATGCTGGGGTCACATCCGACACTCCCCGGGGAATTCTGTTGGCATGCGGCGCTTTTTGATGCTGATGGGAAACCGTTTTGTAATGGAGTGCTACTGCATCGGGAGTGGGTACTGACGGCGGCGCATTGTGTTAAACGGTAATAAGAACAACCAAACTGGTAGCCAGCCAGATGCACAATGCACTGAACGCGTGATGTCACAGCAGTATTGACTTGTACAAGTAGTCAGTTTCCGGCTACAGGCCACAGGGTGACATTGTAGCATAGGTTTTAAACCTGCCCTGGGAGTTATTAATTTAGATAAGCCAATAACTGAACCTAGCTAATCGTTAATATCATTTTGGGAAGTGCATTTCACGGGAGGTGTTAATACCGGATTATTTATTACAGCATTACGATTCTGCTACGCTAACCATAAGTTACATTCTCTCGACTAGGGTTGAAATCATGATTTCATGCATTTCATATTTCACGTTTCATTTCATTTCATTTCATGATCATGCGGACCCTTGCGTGAAATGTGAAAAGGAAATGAAATGAAACGTGAAATGAAAGAAATCTTGAAATTGTGAAATGGCTTGAAATACGACGATACTGCATGAAATAAACGTGTTTCATAAGATTTTATGTAGAAAATAATAAAACCTGGCCCAGATTTGACTGCTTTTGGTGTAAACGCGATGTAGCCATCGGTATTAGAGAGTTCATTTAACTGTTTCTAATGCGATCGTCGGACATGCGCAGATGGCAACACAAGAAGCGCCACTGTTACTTGCTTAACAGTTTAGCAGATCTTACTTCGCTTCCTGCTTATGAGAACTTGGTATGCCAAATTTTATGCACATATGCAAATAGGAAAATGGATCTTTTTGGAACGGTACGCTTAATTAACGCAATCAATGCAGAATCTCTAAGGATACAATAAAACCAAAACCATCAGGTTTGATCTCTTACTTGCCGGTTTTGCAGTTGACCATATTTTGTACTCTCCGATCGTTTTTTTGTGAGTGGTTATAACCATATTTTCATTTCTGCAGGACATTTTGAAAAATCAGGTATTTGACACAGCGGGAAAAGTTATTAAAGTGTAATAATCAACATTATTAAAATAATTAATTTTTAAATAAATCCATTTCACGTTTCATTTCATTTCTTTTCATTTCACGTTTCGTTTCATTTCCTTTCAAAAATGGGTTTGAACCTCATGAATTTCAACCCTACAGTCTCGACAATATCGACGTGAATCGCACTGCGCATTACTTAATTGAAGCACAGCTGCGTCTAATTTTTTTAGAGCCGGCTGTGTTCAGTTTTTTAATTTATTTTCGGTTAAATATTTCTAAGGTGCACTATTTACAGATGCACAGGGTGACAGGGTCGTATTCAGCATTTCCAAATTCGTACTAAAAAAAGCTTCTACATTTAAGCACAGGTGTTTCATGACCATGTTAATGTCATACTGTATGCAAAAAATCATCCTAAACCCATATTGATAAATATTCATTTTAGCAACAATAACGAGAGTTTTATTGGGTTATTCACCATAACATAGGTTAAACGCAAAACAACCAGTCATAATGATTAATTGCGTTTGTTCTATCTTAATGATTATTTTATATAGCGTCCCTCCGGCAAAAACCGTTGTTCGTCTGGGATTGTGGGCTCTGAATGGCACTACCAGCTCCGTTCCGAATCCCATACTTCCACCTGCTCAGACATTCCGTGTACTGGAGGCCTTCGTCCACTACAGTTACGACGCGGTGACCTTGGATAACAACGTCGCACTACTTCATCTGGACAACCAAGCCGATTTCTCCGAACCACAAGTGTGCCTGATCTGTCTGCCGTCGCAGGACAACTACGATGGTTCACGGTGCACCGTTAGCAGCTTTTCCGCGGCCGATGGGATGACCTTTGGGCCAGATTCCGTGCTGAGTCAAGTGGATATGAATGTCATGAATTCCAGTGATTGCGAAGTGGCGCTAGTTAATACCGGGAAATTGCAGAACAACTTCCGGTTAAATGGTGATGTAACGTTATGTGCAAAGGGAAATCCGAATGAGGATACGTGTCGTGGTGATGGAGGTTCAGGGCTGACGGTAAGAAGACTTCACCTGCAAAAATATTCGCCGCCATTTTTATTATATTTGTCTTGCTGCGAAAAATATTCGATTTAATTGGATATTCGAAATGTTCGATTAAGTTTCCTTTCTAATGGCATTTTTTTCCAGTGTCAAAACAACGACGGGACTTTTGAAGTTGCCGGACTGGTCAGCTGGGGTCTTAGCTGTGGCCTCGGTGCACCAACTGTGTTAACAAGAGTGTGGTTATATAACAGCTGGATACAAGAGATTATTCGCAGATATTAAATGTTACTCGAATGCATGTGCTGTACAGTGGTAAAACTTTTATTGTAAACTTTTAATTTTACTGTATACTCGTATTTATCTTGCTGGGAGTTCGGGACTGTTATTTCATACTCTAGTATTTGATGTTTCCTGGCGGAACACCTTTCGAAATCTTTGATTAATCACACGGTTTAAAGGGAAAACTGAAATGTACAACATGCACACTCAATTACAGATAAATTTAATCAATGATTGCCGAAAAACTACAGTTGTTGTCAAATTCCTTGCTGTTAAATCGTACGATCGTGAGTGAAATCGTAAGATATATAAAAATATTTACAATGAGATTTCCTGTCGGTGGAAATTGGCCAGCAGGTTTAATTTTTAATAAATCCAAGAATACTTTACTGCGAAGCGAACTTCTTTATTACGACTGGAATTTCACTATCATCGTGCACGCAAACGGGTTGCTTTCACATGTTAGAGGAATACCTGCAGTAAGCAATTTAGCAAGGATTTTATCGTTAACAGTTCTCTGTCCACTTAATACACCAAACTGATACTGTACTGGTTAACAAAGCATTTCAACACAGTGCAGCAGTTCAAAAATGCTCATGGAGATACTTACGGAAAAAGCAAACAAAAAAACTGGCAGGAATGACGGTCAAAATAAGCATAAAAATTATTCAAAATCTGGTAATAATCGTCAAGGATAAAACCGACCAGCAGTTAACTCTCCCGATGTAATAGGACAAATCCGGCAAGTGCAGCCAATACGGCATACTACAAAAAAATCACATGGAATGGATGAAAACCGTATCCCTGCTTTCACACTAATCACAACAGGACAGCAATCGGAACCGTATAATTGAAAGGAGTACAGATACTCACTTTGACTTTTGGATAGTCATTCATAATAATCGTCACCATTCCAATATACGGCACATACCTAGGAAAGAACCAAATTTCCATACATTCTTTGCTCCTAAATTAAAATAGTTGTAACTTAAGTTAATCTACTGACCCCTTCGCCCGTCCGACCACATCTTTAGGCTGCAGCCACATTTGTCCCGGCGCATATAGGCCTCTGTCGTCAATCCAGTTGTTATCACCTTTGGTTAAAAACTTAACGTTGCCTTCACCACTGCAATCAAACAAAGACAGATCTGAATACCGGCTGCGGAGTTTGGACACGAAAAATATTTTATTACATAATACTTGGCAACGCGTTTAACAAAGGGCGAGCAAAGACGGTAAGTAAAATTATGACTGAAATATTCAACCAAATTTAAACGCAAAAATCCTACGAAACGAAGATTTGACGAAAGGCAATCGACAGAATGTTTAAATAAACGAGGAATTAATTTATTTCAACTATTTCAGTGGCTAGACCCAAAAAGTTTGGCGAAAAATAATATAAATCATTTTTAAAGTTTCAGATTTTATTTCATATAAAATCAAAACAATCATTCCAAAAACAGCTAAAATATATCTGAATTTCAGTCCTGTTTATGTTTATTGTAAACACTAATATGCGTGCAGGTATGCACAAAAAAGCCATTAGTTTTCAGATTTGCAAACGAACAAAACTGAATCAGACATTCACTGTCGGTGACTGTAGTGCTTACTCGTCATGGAGCTGCAACACCCTGTGCACAATGGGGATATCGCGTCCTTCAATTTTGAAAACAACAATATCCCCGACTTTAATGGGCTCCTCCTGGTGATTCGTCAAAAACAATAAATCGCCGCGGTAAAAGGCTGGCTCCATACTCCCACTGTAAAAATATAAAAATACATAAGATCACACACTACATATCTCGAGAACAACTGACAAAAATGAAGTTCCAAAAAACACAGAAGAGCTTGAAATCATTGAGATCGATTTCAAGTGTTCACCAGCCCCCTTCCACTCACCTTAAAACCACAACGATGGGACTCTCGCTGTTGGTTACCACCATTAGGCCTTTCCAAATCATCAGAGCTGTCGAGATTATCATGCCAAAGTTGAGTACTTGATAGTACACCTGCAAGAACCCTTTGAAAGATATGCTGCAGATGCAGGAACCTAAGCATCGTCGCAGTACAATCTGCAAAGTACCTGGCGTTTATTCATCCGACTCAGCTCGTCAAACATCCCGTCCATGCCCAACAGCTTTAGTATTGGCTTAATCATGTTGGAAAGGATTCTGGCGGGCTTCGAGGAGAATAAACCGTGGATCACCGAATCCCAGGATAAAACTGGTTATCAAGTGCTGGCTCAGCACCGACCCAAACTCAAACAGTCAATATCATGCCACTACGTCGTACTGAGTCAGGAGTCAAACAGAAATCGTGGTTTTCCACACTACGACTACTTTTTCCGAAAAACTGACGAAAGACCGCTGGTCAACAACGATGAAATGACAAATGGTCGTAAGTGGTACAAGTGAGAAAATTAGAAAACACGAAAATCCGTCTTTTTTTATCGACGAAGTGACTATGGTGGTACTGACGTGGTGAATGTGGAATGGCTTGACGAGCGGCGTAACGAGGTGGTGGCTGCACTGCCTAGAGTCATCGGCCTTATGGTTAGGCCCGCTTGTCGGTATTTGTTTTTGCTTGGCAAGGGTTATTAATTTTCGCTGTGCATATATATGTATTTTCAAAGATTTGGTATCGGAAACGATGTGGGTACTTGTATACGTAGCGGCTGTTAGTCTGTTCGGGAAAATTCAACATCATCGGCAAATACATCAGGAAAACCGAAGCTAAAAAAAGTAATTCCACCGGGGATAACGGCCGTCGCATCAAGTCGCTAATTATCTAGTTTCCGGATATGGGCTCAGTTCGGTAAATACAACCGGAAATGCGGTCGTTATCCCGATTGCTGCAGGAGTCACTGAGTCAGTACGAATAAAGAATTCCTAAAACTGCATATCTCTACTTTGCAGCAACTATGATACTTTTTTATTGCTTGACTAATTAACAATATTGGTAATAATTTTTAATTATTATTAATTATCAGCCATAGACTGTCCTTCTTTATTACTCGTAGTGATTTAGCGATTACGACCTGTGACCTTTTCAGCGAAATAAACATTTTAATTTGTAATAGACATCTATATGTACATGTAGAACTACTCATACAGCGTTCTGCGGCTTGTTAACTGGACATACGATGCGCACTGTATTAAAGCCAATTATCTTTTACATCAAACATTAATTTTTTGGTTTCAAACGAAGACGTGGAAGTTACAAAACAGTGCTTCAAAATGTAGTTTCAGTGATTAAATTTTATGTTCGGTTGTCAGATAACCAGTGCTTCCGGGCGGCAGGCAGAGTCAAAACACAGACAGGTGTTTTTACTTGTGCGCGCGGTCCAGTGTCAGCATCAAGAGTACCTTCCACTTGGCTTCAAGTCGCTTAGTCGCTGTAACTTTTGCTTTTGGTCCGAGTTACATCTTTCAGGCTTCGATAGTTCGATCAGCCTTTTGTCAGGTGCTGCAGATTTTGCCCGAGTATTTATCTTTTCGTGGAACATGCACGTATTTGCTGGCGGTTGTCACAGTGCCGATGTGAGTATTGTGTACGAAATGTACCAGTGGAACAGCGTGGATGTGCTGATTAACGGGACGCTGCAGCACGGCATCGTCGTTGGGCTGGCGTCTGGGGACGAGGCGAACAAGGGCCTACTGGTCGACTTCGACTGTCCGCAGCGTCACTGCGAGTGGGTCGAGTACGACAGCGTCTTCAGGGTCCCGTACGTGCCTCTCGGCCGCTGGGAACGCTGGAAGAATCCTGCATGGGCTAAACCCATCCTCTCCAAGCTCTACTGCGCATCGGGGCAGATCGCGCGTGGACGTGGTACTGGTATCCTATCCAGCTAGCTATGCCCGCGGACGCCCTAGTGTGCAAAGCGTCGTGCAACGATATCCGCTGTGGACTGGTGGTGGTGCAGTGGAGCGATGCTGCTGTGACGACAGAGCTGATTCCGTATTGCCAGATCCGCCGTGTGCCTTCGCCTGAAGATCTGCAGGAGCGCCGCGTAGGGCCGGATTGTTTTGTCAGCCGCGAATGCCGCCTGCCCAGGGGATATTGGTCTGCGCCTCCGGGGGCGACGAGAATGCTGTGGCAGAAGTTCAGTCGCGAGTTTAATGCCTGCTGCATCGCCGTTCGCAGTGAGTTCCACATACTTCCAGCGCCACGGTTGACTGGCGTTTTCACTCGACCGATTGCCGATTGGTAGGTGTCAACGGCGTCGCTTTCGTGTACGCCAAATAATTTTTTGTGTCGCTTTAATAAATCGTGTTGCCAGATGGTTTGCTACATTGGCATAAACGCAACCAGGTGTTCCAAAAGTCTCGTGAGGGTTTCACTATTTTTTCCCTAAATTTTAAAATAAATCGAAAAACAACTATGAAACCGGGAAACCCTGGTTCAATGTAAGAGCGATCTCCATAGTTATGTGAGTTAGTGTGCAAAATTCGAAGAAGATCGGTCCACTACGTTGGTGCAGCAGTTTGTCTATGAACTTTTTTAGATCTTGCTTCAGTCATAGCTCCACAAGCGGATCTTGCGTGCATAAAGTTGAATTTCACGTATTTCACGCCAGTGTTTACAAATCATTTGGCTTCGGAATGTCATAAAACAATGTAAAAACGTGTTTTGCTAACATAGTAATTTGATACCATGTACCGGGTCACATCCCTTACGAGCTTTGATTTGAAGGAAAATACTTTTAACAACATTGTACGGAACTATTCTACTTTTTATGCCAACCGCAGCGAGTGTGAAGGCAGCCCGGAAGGGGAATGGGATGGATATCGCTTCGTTCCCACGTTAAAACGAGTCAAAGCTCCGCGTACAGAAGTCTCTCAAGCGGGACGCGGCATCCCCTTGCCACGGGAAATATTGGCGGAAATCTTCCAGTCACTAGACACCATCGAACGGGTGAGGAAGCGTCGCGTCTGCTGTTTCTGGGATGCTGTGCTACTGCTGGATGCGGGTATGATTCCAAATTGCAATCACAATTTCAAACGTTTCTCACTGCCAGCTTCGAATTAAATAACTTTAAAATCTTACCGGGCCGTGAGCATTCAAAATGATTTGAAAAGAGAACTTCTATTTTTTAAATTCTTATTTTTGGCGAAGTAAGTGTTCAAATCAAACGCCGATTTCATAAAATACATTGGATTACCTTTTGAAAGTGATATAATTATCAGTAGAAAAAACTATTATTTGTTTTAGATCCTTTGTTTATAACAGATGGGAAAAATATTGGCAGATACATTTTAAGAATTCATTTATCGTATCCAGTTTCATTTCAAAAACAACCCAAACTGTTCGAATATAAACTCTAGATGTGGGTGCATCCGGCAAGCAGCTGTGGATCTCCGGCCGGCATTCCTTCCATGTGGCACACACTGAGCAGGGGGAGCAGTTTCTTCTGGCTGGTTGCGTACTCAAGTACGCCACTCCCGCCACGAACACCATCATTCTGGAGGAGCTATCGGAGTTAGCGTGCTGGTCGCGGGACATGTATGGATTGCTGGCGATTCTCTTGCAAGATCGGCGCATTAGGACACTGGTCCTGTCACGGTGTGATTTCTGCGATCATTACAGCGATGCGCACGATTACCTAGACTGGGTTAACGGGAAACTGTCCAGGCTGGCCGCGACGTGCCGTGTGGTGGTGTGGCAGGATTGCCAGTTGACGCTGAGGCAGACCACCGCCCAAGTGGCTCGTGCACAATTCTGCCTGCATAATGACCCCGCACACCGATTGGCGCAGTTGTGGGATGCCTATGAAAGATCACTGGTGGGGAGTGTCGAATTGCCGAGGCTCGCCGAGTGGGTGGCGCGTTGTGTCAGCACTCACAATTCTGAAGCGTGCGATTACATCTTATGGGTATGAAGGCTTGAGCCAGCACTCGGCAACCAGATCAGTTTAACTAACGCCGGTGTTTGTTTAGGTTTTACTCGAGTATAGTAGTGCTGATCCGCGCACAGACCAGCAGAGTGCTAAGAAAAAATGGACAATGGATAATCTGAACAAGTTGGATGTGTACAAGCTGACGAAACTGGCACAATTTGCCTTGAACAGCCGGGTTCACGACCGTTAAAGATTGTAATTTCTACAGTATTTTGTACAAGTGTTGCGTGCGCTGATTGTAATTGTAAGATCACTGAGGTGTCTTCTGATAACGACGACAGCGAAGTTATAATTCGGGTTCGCAGTTCAGTTTACGGATTACTTTGTTGCTTTTTTATGAATGCGCTAGCAACAATCTCGAAATTTCTTCCGTTATCGAAACCTTTGAAGTTTGAAGAGGGCAAACTAAGATTTGGACTCCTCGAGGTGATACACAACTTCATTTAGTGATGTGACTTTCTGGTCTTTGTTACTGAAAAGTTTTGGATTATTGGCGAACACATGTCTGATCTTAGTCAAAGTTACGAAGAAGACAGTCTGTTATTAACTGAACAAGTGTTTAAGTAAGTATCCATACTCTGTATTATAAGAATCGGCAGTCAGTCAGGCTTTAGTCAACGAAAAATTCAGCTGCTGTTTTGGGTAGATAAGCTGTATCGTGCTTAAGAATGCGCCTTAAATTCTCTGCATACTATTTATGACCTGAAATTTTTAAAAGTTTAATTTTTGTACCAGCTCTATACTGTAACGTAAAGGCCTTTTCTGCTGCTTTGGGGGTTGTTATCGAAATAAAACTAGTAAACAAATACAACAAAGACAATCAGTCACCCATATGCATCATAACACAGATAGATAAGCCGTCGCGTACTCAATAGCGTTATATAAATATTTATATGAGTAATACGACTAATACAATACGTAACAAAAACCATCTTGTGCTATCATGAAAAAACTGCACCCAATCAACGAAGCAAACAAAAGGCAACGAAAAATGAATGGACGGAAGTTACGGCCGGCCATTCCAGCAAGACTTGAGATCACAGATGCTTGAATGCGTAATTCAGAATTTGAGCGCACCCCTTTACGCACCTACTGCGCTCGCAAACCTGACCTGTATAATTAAAAACATGTTTAGATGCTTGTTTGATACAACTGCCGCTACGGACTGTTTACTTCGTCCGAAATTGCTTGCCTATTCTGAACGCTTTGGTAAGTGGCTTGTGTTACGATCCAGCTCTTGATGGAGTCAGTTGTTTTCCCGTAAATGGCTGGAATAAGCGCTTTGCCACATCCGCGGCCAAATGACACTACGCCAGCTTGATAAAATTTCTCGCCATCGTAACACACCCTAGAGTAGAAAACAAATGTGTTTTGTTTTATTAAAACATTCATTGACGTACACACTGTGGCAGGAAAAATATCGCTTTCGTCCTTCTTTATCTATAATATTTTTACAAAGTCATTGCTTGTACAGAGTACTTGAAGTTTCAATAATTGATTTTGATCGGTTTCCACGTAGTTTGTAGGTTGTGCTTCAAACACTGCGTTACGTTGGAAATTACTTATGTAAACCAGTTCCGTGTAATGAATAGGTAAGTAGTGCTACGTACAAAGGCGATCCGCCATCTCCATAACAAGCATCAGTTTTCGACACTCCCCCAGCACAAAGTTGAGATGTGTCTAGTGAGACGAAAGACGGTTGGGCATCTGGTAGTAAGCGTGAATCTTTCATAGCGCTAGAACAGTCCTCGTTGGACACAACCGGAACTCCGGCGTAACGCAAAATTTCGGCATTGGGTCCAGCTGCGCAGCAAACTAGATCATTTGAAGTTAAATATCATCCAACTTAATGGTAAGTACGTCGCATTTTATTTTAATTAAAGGTCACTTCTGCATTACAAACCCAAATGTAAAATGTGCTTCTGTATTAAAGCGTTTTAATTCATTATGTTCACGAAGCCAGTTGAGCTGCACATACCTAATGAATAGGCATCCTGCTCGGTTTTGGCTTTAAAAGGATCCACGAGGCGGGTGGATCCATAACCAGAAACGATGCAGGTGTCGCCGTCGTCCGGTCCGTGATCATTCAAGCAGATCCGACAGACACAGGGCGAAGAAAAATCTATCGGAGTGCGCAGCTTCACCAGAGCGATGTCATAAGCCAATGTGCTGCGGTTGAAGTTTGGATGAATAATCGTTCGTTCGACGGACAGGGTTTGGACACATCCCAAAGGGTCAGCGCCCGTAGACGTCGGCCTGACGTCGATGTCGCCGACTCGCACTTTCAATTTAGTCAAATCACGCCTACGATTAATGCGTTCACATTTAATTGTTCATTCCCATTAAGAAATTTTTAAACAAGTGTGGTCCTGTGTGGATGACCTTTTATCGGTAACACACAGTAATGCGTATACTTATAGCAGCCTACTCACCCATCAACAACATGGGCAGCGGTGAGAATATACGATGGCGATATAATGGAACCTCCGGCTTTGTACACATTATCCATTATCAGTGCCGCCTACCACAGAACAATCAACATCAAGCAATTAATTACTTAGGCTAAATTTGAAAATTTCATAAATTAAGTACAAGTAGAAAATCCATGCATTTATAATTTGCGTTAGTACTTCACGTGATCCATATAATTTTACGTTATCAGAGTAGCGAGAAAATTATTTAGTTTTTGAAAATAATATGAGCATTTTTTGTGTTTATGTGCAAAAGTTGTACAAAATTCATCAAAACTTACCATCCAGCAAATTTCCCTTTCTTGTGCGACAACACTCGTCGTCACGCGCGCTTGTCTTTGTGAGCCGTCTCGTTTGCTTCGCCATTTCTTTAGCCGTGATTTCGAATTAGAACCCGACGTTATCAACTGGCGCAAGTCTCCTTCCTGTAGTACATGGGGAATTCCGCAGGAGTCGCTATTTGATGCTCGGGCTAGCCCGCGGTCGTATTTGGGCAGCAGCACACTGGCTGCAGTTGTGCCGGTTTGAACCGCTGTTTGACCTGTAGATACACAAATAAATAAGATAAATTACCGACTGTTTGAGTTTCTTGATTTATCTTCGGCCAGTTTACCGTTCTGTAAGAAACGGTTACCTGCGGTTGTGACGTGCTTAATTGGCGGCTACTTATACTTACTTCCTATGATATGCCTGCGAAGCTGCTATTTGTCATGGTATGCTATGGTTATGAGCAATACGCCCATATGGTTTACAAAAAAAATATGCAATTGAAATATAAATAAACCTCGGGCGAACTACGTGAGCAATAATGAAAGATTTACTGCTTTCGTGAAAACAAGACTCGCGTTTGCTGTCTGAATGTTTGTGTGATCAGGGAAATATATGACAGTTTCCATGCTGTGACCTGCAATTATGGTAAAATACGACATGTACGTGTCTGTAAACATTATGACTTCAGTAATTAAAAGAACACAATACAATCGCTCGTTAAGCAATGAATTTGAATTATGTATCCAAATTATTAGGGGTTCGTCTGTCTGTACTTATAGACAAAGTTAGCTGTTAACTGTTAACTTTTCAACCAGGTGACCACTCTATTTTATGTTAAGTAAATTTACAAATACTCAATGGTTTAATATTTACTTATAAAATTGTATTTGTTATTTTTCTACATTGCAGTGCTTGTACTCCAACTGCAAAGTATTTCGTGAACTTTGGCAGACCGCTTTCTACGCATAATAAATACAAAGTCCTCGTAATTAGCAACCAAGCGAAAAAGCCATCGCAAGCAAAGCACGCAGCGCAGCAGCATATTATCGCATCATTAAAGTGGATTACTCTTATGTGAACGAATTTAAATTCGTAGTTCCAAAATTGTTTTATTGAACCTTATTAACTGCCAACTCGCCGTAATAAATTCTGTAAGTCTCTATGCAGGCTTTATTTATTAGCAAGTGCTCAAAATTTCTGTAACAATTTTAGCAAAACATTACTGCGAAAATGACCAAAGCCAGCTTTGGACAACAACATTACAATATCTTTGGCATCGAACGAGACAGCAGTTTACAGTGAAAACAAAAAACGATTACTTAACAATAAAACTAACAAATGAATACAGCTAGTATACGCCAAGCTCAGATATTCACCCAAGAACGCTTCACAGCCAGGTTAGTTTTGCGCGCGCCGGATTAGACTCGACCTTTAGCGATCTAGCACTGTTAGTCGTTACATCAGTTGTCAATATACCGTAACGGGTGGCCGAGGATGTCGTGGTGAAGTATTCCTGGAACGTTTCCGGTAGGGTCTTGGCTGGTGCGGAAGGCGGGCCGACAGCGGCGAAGAATTTATCATCGTCCGCTGAAGCTGTGCCGGTTGTTGTCGTACTGACGGGTTTATCGGTGGTTCTGCTATCCGTTTTGTTGGCCCATGCATTTTTGAAGATCATTGAAGCGAGTGACGGGGACACCCGGATTGAGTTTGGATTGGGCGGGAGTGATAAAGGTGACGCAGTGGCATTTAATTTGTACGGCATCAGACTGGGCACTGTTGACTGGCTGTAGATGCCGGGATTGGGTAAGGTCACGGGTTTGAAGTTGTAACCTTTGTTGACTGAGTACGGTACATTCGGTGTTCCGTATGGTGATGAGTACAAGCCGTACGCATTGGCCACGGGGTTGTAATTATAGCCGGAATAAACATTGGGTGACTGGCCGTAAAGATTACCGTTATACTGCGACATCACTCCCGTCATGCCATAGTTACCATATCCGTACGGACTTGTACCGTAGTTACCGTAGCTGTTGTTGATGTACATCGGATTAGATTGATACGGCTGTCCGTAATTGTAATCCGATCCGTACACTGGTTGCGCATAGATGGACTGTGTTTTTACTGGTAACGCTGCAAGCGGTATAGTTTTGACTGACTGCGTTTTGACCGATTGGGCGCTGACGGGTTTGGCTCCCACCGGGCGGGTTTTGACCGATACTGCCGAGACCGACTGAGCGTTGGCCGGAGCGGCCCCAACAGACTGGGTAAAAACCGGTGCTGCGTCTGCCGACTCAACGTTGACCGGGATCTCGGAGAGTGTCGGCGTGGTCTCGGTGACGTTGGGACCGAAGATGGCGGAGGGACCGTAGACTGGTTGTGAGTACACCGGGCCGCTGTTGACTGGTGCCACGTTGACTGGCTCCGCGTTGACCTCTTCCACGTTGACTGGAGTTTGAGAGTATGACTGATTGGTTACCGACGAGTAAAGCGAGGTGGGACCGTATACGGACTGTGCATACACGGGCAGTACGGAGACTGGCTGCATGAAAACCGGCTGGGCTTTCACCTGGGACGTTTGGGCGTTGGCGGGAAATTGTGGGAACCATTGATACGGATTGTAGCTGGGTCCGTAGACGGATTGAGTGTACACTGGAACGGCCTGGACCGGCTGCACGAATACGGGTTTGGCGTCGACCGGGGATGCTCCAACGGATTGGCTGCTAACCGGCAGCGTTCCGACCGGCTGCATATTGACCGGTACGGCGTTAACGGATTGGGAGCCGACGGGCAGTGTCCCCACAGGTTGAGCACTAACCGGAACGGAAGATACCGACTGAGTGTACACTGGATTCGCTCCAACTGATTGAGCACTAACTCCAACAGCCGAGGTCTGTTGGCTGCCGACGGGAAGGACCGAGACGGACTGGGCGTTTACTGGCACTGCGGAAGCCGGTTGGGAATATATTGGGGATGTGCCAACAGATTGGACGTTGACGGGTTGAGCAGATGCTGATTGGCTGTACACTGGAGCGCTGACCGCTGCCTGGGCGCCCACTGGAATCGATGATACGGGCTGGCCGTACACGGGAGCGCTGGCCACCGACTGAGCACTGACCGGTGTGGCTGCCACTGACTGGCTGTACACCGGAGCAGCGGCCACCGATTGGGCGTTAACTGGACTGGCCGCTACGGGCTGGCTGAACACTGGAGCAGCGTTAACAGATTGTGCATACACTGGCACTCCAGCCACCACCTGCGAGCTAGCCGGGGCGGAAGCCACGGGCAGAGTAGCTACCGGCTGAGTGCCAACCGGTGCGGCAGCTACGGTTTGTTTGTTGACCGGCACGGTATTTACCGGCTGAGCATTGACCTGGCTGCCATAAGCGCCCTGGGCGGCGATCGTAGAACCATACGCGCTCTGGGCGTTCAGCGGTGTACCGTAGCTTGGCTGGGCGTTCAACGGAGCCCCGTTGGTGGGTTGGGCATTCAACGGAGCCCCGTTGGTGGGTTGGGCATTTAACGGAGCCCCGTTGGTGGGTTGGGCGTTAAGTGGAGCGCCATATGAAGGCTGGGCGTTGACTGGGCCGCCATAAGCTGGCTGGGCATTGGTGGGGGCGCCGTAGGTGGCTTGGGCGTTAGTCGGAACACCGTATGTCGGTTGTGCATTACCGGGGATACCGGACACTGGTTGACCGCCAAGGTACGTTGATGTCGCTTGCTGAGCATTAACCGGTCGATTGCCATAGAATGCTGGAACATCGTACGCAGTGCTAACAGCCCCATTCGGGACATTCTTTCCCCCGTAAGAATCCTGATTTCCACCTGAAGACGCTGGAGGCGCTTGGGCATAATTATAATTGTTGCTTGGCCTTTCCGCAGCAGTTCCATATCCTGATGTACCCTGTTGATTATATCCGGTATTGGTGTCAGTTTTATTCCCTTGGCCGACAGCTTCCGCGTAAACTGGCTGGACATATATCGGCAAGGATCCGTCAGGAGGCTGAGCTGCGCCGGGTCGCTTTTGCGGATAGCGCACATATAGCACTGCTCCCTGCAAAGTAAAAACAACCGTGACCTTTGAGTCAAATACGTACACGCATTTAAATTATTGTTATTATTATCACTCTACAGGAGCCAACTCCTTTCAAATGACTTACGTTGTTTTGACTATTGCCGTATCCCGGGCCAGCGTAAACGGACAGTGGTCCATAATAATCGTTATCTTTGTCTTTGTAGGAATCAGAGTACACCGATGCCCTGGTGGTTGTTGGTGCGTTGTAACTGTCATAATCATACGCTGACGGAGGTTTCGTATACGTCGCATAACTGTAATCACTGTAATCCGTTGGACTGGGCGCAGGACCTTTATATTTATTTAGCGGCTGATTATATCCCGGGTTGTTGTACGGGTTATTATAAGGAGATTGGCCGCTTCCGTACTGGCTGTTGGGCGAATATGATTGGTCGTAATACTGTCCGTTTCCGTTGTTATACGTCGGTATATAGTACGGCCTATTAAAAGGCGCATAATATCCCGGATTAAACGCGACACCATATCGTTTATCCGGAGGCGTGTTAGTATCGATTGCAGGGTTATTTGCCGAATTAGTCATCGCATCGGGTTTGTTGTTAGTCGTTAATACTGAGGAGGTCGGTGCACTGCCGGTTGACGCGTTCACATCAGCGGATAGGCCAGATCCCATTGGGTAAGGGGGATAGAACTGCACAGGAAGAGTAGGCCGGTTAGAATTTTGCGTACCGGAAGAGGGAATGCGCACCGACCTATCACTGTACTGGTCATTGGCATTCCCGTTTCCGTAGGAGTCATCGGGGTTGTCGTTGTACTTGTCTTTGATCTCATTATCCGCATTATACGGCGCATCATATCCATTGCTGGGAGGAGCTTGATACGACTGATCCGGACCCATCAGACTGTACACCGCGGCCTTACCCGGCGCCCGTTGGAAGCGTCGCACATCGTACGCATTGAGATTTGATTTCGGCGTCCATGGATTCGGTGCCGGTTGGGAATACACTGGTTGGTAATTGGGGCGTCCCCCCGGGCGGAGGGCATACGCATCGGGATTGGCGTAACCAGTTTGGGCGGGATAGTAGGCGGGGTTGTAGTATGGTTGTGCCGGTGTGGGTCTACTGTATCCGTTATATGGTGGGGTGGCCACAGGCGGTGGCGATGGTGCAGCGTAATCAGGCTTTGGCTGGCCGGAAGGCAGTTTATTGCCGTAGTCGTTATAGTTCTGCTGATCACTACCGTCAACAACATCAGCGTATACCGGCTGTACAACGAGAGGCAATTTTGGTGCGTTGGCCGGTGGCAGACCAACCGGTGGCGCAATCTGGGAAACTGGAGCCGGTACCGGTGGCGGGACGGGTGGCCTATATACCGACGGTCTCGGGGGCGGGCGGAAGACGATCGGTGGTGCCGGCAACGGGCTGACAAAGCCGCATGTCTCGGGTACGGTTCGGCAGCGAATAATTTTCGCTAGAATAATGTGTATCAACGGTGTGCCGAAGGATTGGACGATCTGCAACGTTACGGTTTGCACCGCTTCAATTAGAGGACTGTTTCGTGGGATCACCGCCATGTTGGCCGTCTGGCTAACAATATTCCCGAGATTCTGTAGCACTTTGTAATCCAGATTGGGATTGACCGATGACAGCTGATATAACGCTTTAATCAGTATGCCGACATGGCGTACAGTGGAGAACGTTGTGTATGCCGCGAGCGCTTTCTGTAGATTTTCCGTTGACCGCTGCAGTTCAACACGTAATGAGGGTGTATTAGCAATGGAATTCAGCAGCGGGGTCAGTGTGATTACATGCGAGGGCGTCAATGTCGGTGCTAACTGAAAATTCCCGATGAACCCGCCTAGACTAATCAGCACCGGTGCCGCCACATCTGTACCTTGCAACGCCTTTAAGTATATAAGAAACTGTGATGCTAGTGTGTTTAATTCAATAACCGGCACTCTATCGACAGTGGAGGGCGTAGTGACCGGCGGAGGTGGCGCGGCCGTCGTTACACTATTTCCGATGCGATCCAAAATGATCTGCAGTGCGTCCACCGTCTGCGTTATCGTCCGACTGCTGAACGGCAGGGCGCGTACCGCCGCCACGGCATACTGCAGTGCTTGGATCAGCATGGGCGATGGACTAGACGAGCTGACAGCTTGTGACAGCGCCCGCTGTACGGTGTCAATCACACTTTGCTGCATGCCCGGGGCCACTTTCAGCTGTGCTAACAGGGCTTGCAGGCCGTTGACCAGGGGCGTGCCGGAGCCGAATGGCACCCGATCGAGCAGCGGTTCGGGATAGTAGCTGCGACCGGCGGGTGGGGTGTCGTCATACGGAATATCCCGGTCATCTTGTACCGATGGTGGCGATGCCGGTGCGGTTTGCGCCTGGTTGGCGGAGGCATCTGGTTTGAGAAAATTAGCGGTGAGAAAGGAAACAATGTCCGCTTCATTAGCAGCGTCGGTGGCATCGACCGCGGCAGCAACCGACGACGCGGCTGCTACTGGATTGGGCGGTGACCAGCCCTTGTCGCCGCCGTACGATGTCAAGCCGGCTCCGAGTGGGGGCGGTGGATACGGCGGTGCCGCACCGTAGGGATCAGCGGAAGGTAGCGGTGGTGCCCCGCCATAGGGGGGCGGTACTGAATTATATGGGTTACCTGGAGGGACCGGTGGGACTGCGTTGTATGGGTTACCTGGAGGAACCGGTGGGACTGCATTATATGGATTGCCTGGTGGAACCGGTGGGACTGCATTGTAACCGCCGCCGGGTGGAATTCCATTATAAGCACCGCCTGGTGGCACAGGTGGTACGCCGTTGTAGCCGCCTCCAAATGGTGCATCGTACGGTTTACCGGGAGGAGGAATGTACGGACGTGGCCCCAGTCCATTGTCAAATGCCGGATAAGTTCCGGCAAAGGGTCGCGGCGGTAGCTTATACGGACGATACTTCGGTTGATTGTAGCCGGGATAGATCGGGTAAGAGAGGTTGAAATCGGAAAAGTTATACACGGTTGTCGAGTAGTTGACGTACGGCGGCATTTGTGCGTATACGGGAATGGCGTACACATTCGACATGATTGTTTTCAAGGTGGTAGCCGGTTCTACGTAAAAGTGACCTTTCAGTTCACAGTGCTTTTCAAAAAGTGTTATGATCATAAATTACGTTACCAAAGATTTCTGGTGACTACGTATACAGTGTATTAATACCTGTAGTGGTGTAATAAGAATAAGCGCCTCCATATCCGCCTCCCCCATAACCGCCTCCCCCGGACGGGTAACCACCTCCTCCGTAACCTCCGCCCCCGTAGCCACCACCTCCACCATAGCCTCCACCGCCGGGATAATTGGAATATATGGGATATCCACTGATGGCTTGCAGGTTAACAGCAACATTACCTACATTAAATTTATTATTAATTTGCATGTTATATAAAAAGTAGATCTTTAATAAAACTGTTTAAACTATTAGCGAGATGACATTCGTAACCTCTCAGGTAAGTCCATATTTTTCATGGTGCGCTTATAAAAACTGATCTATAACGAAACGGCTGTAATAGATGTGCAGTGTTGTACGTGTGCGTGTCGTCCTTAATTTAAATGTACTTTTGACGAAAAGTACAGTATCAACATCTTGAAATTTAATGATTCGGTATCGCTGCGCGGTTAAAAGTAAAAGACACAGAATTGTGCGAGTGGGACTAACCAGACGGTGAGGATATCACAGCAGCCTGTCGATCCTGCGGCGTGTCCGACGATGCGGCCGCCTTGGAGGCCGGTGCAGCGGCGTCAGGGTCCGGAGCAAAGACCAGCTTGGTTTGTGCGGCGGCCGGTGCATTCTGGTAGCAGCAAGTTCCTACAGCATCATCACCAATGCGGAAGTTAGACAAGCATGTTCTTCTCAAAACGACAACGTTCTGATATCATTAGCGCCGGTGATTGATGCGTTATTATGCCGATTATGATATGTCATCATTATATTGGGCTCTAAACTATCAGCAGTACTTTGCTCTTACAATTAGAACCTTCTCATGGTTAACCACTTTTGTCCGTTTTCATATCGATCTCGCGATCGATAAAAAGCAGCTTGCAATTATTGTCATTATTACACTCGTGCGGTTTGCTTTTCCAGAACCCGAAATCGTGATCTTTGCTTTAAATCTCCATAACATTACATATAAAAAATTTTTTATTAAGAGTCTAAACACGTCCAAATATTTGGTTTTATGATACTGTGACAATACCCATGATTTATCGCCTTACATTTTAAAAATATAGCCCAATTATAAACAATTGTTTTTTTCAGATGCATTATGACCGTGGTCAACTCATTAAAAATCGATCAAGCTATTCAAACCTCAATGGACGGTTTGACTTGGATATGTTGATTTTATGCTTCGATGCTTGCGTACGATAGTTTATTGGAACATAATAGCTTCATTATCAAAAACTGAATTGTAAGCGCTGTAGCGATCAGCATGACAGCATTGTGGCCATTTGATTGCAACAAAGCCGTTATGTTGTTATCCGATCAATCACTTTCGCTTTCATTGCCGAACAATGCATATATATGATTTGCACAAGTGTTTGTTCCACACCGTGGTCATTTTCATTTTTGCCACAACATGAATATGTAGAAACTACAGGAAAACTCTTTTTGGCGTCCAAACAAATTTTAATTTGCGCTTTTCCACATAATACTTGAACACAGGAAGGCATGAATACATTTTTTTCAGGAAAACACTTATTAAGTTATAAAAGTGTGCTAGTTAACAACACTTCGTCTGCGTACGAATGTTTATAATCCACGTATATGTGCATACTTTTATATATGTATGCATATCAGCATATCTACGGTATATGCACAAATTACGCTAATACTTATGAATACAATGACAAATAGTTGATTAAGGTGTCTACAAATAGTATTATGCAAACCGACTTATCTGTACATACTCTGTACATAATCAAAAATTTTTTGGGTTTATTTTGATTATATTTTTAAGACCAAAATTTCGTAATCTTAATTTGTGAATGTTCTTAGTAATTAGAAGAATTCAGATTTTAAATTGCAGCAAGTCATCGACCAGTGCTCCAACACAACACGGGCATTTACTTACGGCTCCCGGGGGCAAAAGACGAGTTCAGAAAATGTAAACACAATAACGAATTAGAAAAAATTAATCAGGATCATATATAAGAGTAAATGTAAATATCGTTTCGAAGCTACCGACTCCCGTCCACGGTTAATTAGAGAATAATCTGAATCAACAAGGAATCGACATAAACAAGGCAAAATGAGATTAGAAGTCCATATAAAGTTGTCTGAGATTATCCGCTACGATCAGGCAAGTACTATTAATTTTGTACGTAGCCAAGTCCCAACAATTTCACCAAGTTGTGGTGAAACTTCTTCACCTTGAATTTGCTAACAGTATCATAAAGTTAAACTTTTTAAAAGGACCGAACTTTTTTGATAAAAATACTAAGTTATTTGTCTTCAATAGTAGGGAACAGTCGACTCTTCAACAACTTCAGTCTGTACAAGCGTAGCATAAATTTGCGACTTTCCTAATCAGGCTATCACAATGAACTGGGCGCGGCACCTATCCAGCTATTGGCTTTGCATCAGCAAAACAAACAACAAATTGTAACGAACCAAACAAAGAAACCGCCCTAAATTGCTAACTGAGAATGGTGCATCTGTCACATACCCATTCGATACTAAACGTCGGCGTAGTAATAGCCGACAATTTCCATTTAACATTCATTGTCATACTCATATCTGACATGGTGCAGTTATAAACCATGCTGTTGTCGTTACCCTACTTATTCACTATGTATTACATATGTGACTTTCTTGTCAAAAGACAATTCTCTCATTGTTGCCATTTTCATTTATAATATTCGTTGCTTGTATCTGTAAATATCTTTTATAAACCTTTAAATATTTGAAGATACAGTATATGTATTTGTCTATTATATCTTCTTCTTTTTCTGTATATCTTTTTATGTATGTACACTTCTTTATCTATATGTCCTTTTATATTCTTTTGCCCATCCGGGTTTTAGAAAAACAGTTGACTCTCTTTGAACACACTGACTGCGATTCTGCTTACCGGCAATATTGGAACTATTCAAATAATGATCCAGCGTGGAGAAGCCACAGGCAGCCACATTGGTCTGCGACATAAACCCGGCCGGACAGTCATCCGGTCCGCCCGGCGCACACACCGTAACAAAATCATCCTTGCACTGTACATTGGCATACTTGGCGGACGGATCCACTGCCCCGCTGACTAATACTATCAGGATGTGCACAATAATCACAGATAATATCATTTCCGCATCGCCTGGACGCCGGATCTTATCCATAACCGCACATTGCAGGCGGCGTCAGGGAGAAACCGGGTGTGTATGTATGTATTCCCTTTATCTTCAATTACTCCGGCTAACGACGAAGATTCTGTAAAAAAATTTAATCTCAAAAAAGTAAGTCAAGAGAAAGTGACAAGCAAGAGTCAAGTGTCACGGAGTCAATGGACAAAACGATGATGAGTGCCGGAGAGGAATTAAAAACTCTGAAAAACATACATACACGGATACTTACACATCGGCACGGAATATGCTCAAGGGCGCAAAAGAATCTCTAATGTCTTCTTTCAAATTATGAATTGCAACGTAGTATACGCGCAGTGTCGCTAATTCACTGACAGCCTCATTAATCCAACTAAGATTTCCGCCAGACCGTTTTGTTGGAGAATTTATACCAAAATCGGTAAAAAATTTTCTAGTGTACAGATAATGTAGGATGAATCTGGCAGTTGCCGACCGGTATCAGCGGTTGTAAAAATAATGCGCCTTTTTAATTCTGCTTTCGACTGGCTCCCGCCCATTGCTCATTAAAAGTGCATGAAGACGATGAATGAGTAGGTAATCTGTGATCATAAAATTTTATTGGCCGTTGATGGTCCGCACAGGAGTTGGATGATGCGGATTCTGTATCGAAAATGCAGATGTCTGCACAATATCAATTGTCTGGTTTGCGCGGGCTGTGGGTGGATAGTTCTGCTTAAAAAAGCGAAAATGCAAAATCATGCTAGGGTCGTATGTTTATAATATTCGCCAAATGCGAAAACAATGGCGAGTTTCAGAAAATCATTAACCGCAGATTGTTGGTATTACGAGAGGAAGCACGGCCGGATGGGTGGGTGCACAAGATGTATCTAACAAAGTCGGCCAAGAATATGCAACATAATTATAGTCATACGGGGTCATGGCCACCCATTAGTGTTCAGTTTCGGTTTCATGCAGAGATGCCTAATTAAGTGATTTACCGCGTTTGGTTTGTACCTAAAATAACAAAATGCGCAGTGATGAATTATATACGGGAAGAAATTTTAATGATTATCATAGATATCTTCGGACACAGAAAAGAAAGTTCAAATTACGGTAAAGACGACCGCTTAGTACATCATCTTTTTTCTATGATTGGAAGTATCTCTCTTTACACTTCAGTTCTTTTTATATCTGATAATTTGGTCACTCTCCCGAGTAAACTACACGCAAGAAAAGGTCACCAGGTGAATCTCCGATGGACAGTGTAAGCACATTATTTATTACCCGGTTCTATTTGAGAAAATAACGTTCATGTTTCTTCATCCAAAAGATGTCCACGGAATGGGTGTTTCTTGAATTCCAAATCGCCGTTGCTTAGTTCATAGACCACGTATCTTTAGACGTAAAAATGTACATAAAAACGGGCTCCATATGTCTTAGTAAAGCACGCCAAAAAATTGCTTACCGTAGAACCGCGATATAAGAATAGGCATAACTATCTGTATACTGCCTTTTTTATTTAAGTTTACTTTTTAAAATCGATACACGGGCAATGAAACAGTATCTTGTTTTTTGCTCTTGAGTAGGTTACTAGAGAAAATAACATATATTATAAAAAAGAAGGCATAATTACTCGTCCGAATGCACTTCTAAAATTCACAAAACTAGTAAATACGGAGCTTGTCGCTAAACGTTTTTAGCATGGCACTGTTATTATTTATTTAACGAATTAAACAAATAAAATACCAAAATATTTAGAACGGAGGGTTGATAACGATCAATTAATTGCTACGTGTGCATTTTGGTTCACAAACTTGAAAGCAGTACTGCATGCTGAACGGGTGCATTTAAATTTTAATGGTAAGTACTGTACTAATACAGATACATGGTATATCGAAATATATGCTCGCATGTGCTCATAATACAAAATACTAAAAATATACTGCAAGCAATAAACTCATCGTAAGTGCATTGTTCACGATTTTATCCTTCCAGTGCAGGTTTTAATGATGCACAGCACGGGAATTGTAAGTGTACTAGCGGTGTCTTTTCATAAACCCGGCCCTGCGCTGTGCGCAATCCGTGACCTTACGAATACTTCCCTCATATAAAACTGCAAATTGCAAACAGTTCGTTGCACTCAAACTTTCAGAAACCACAAAAAAGGTTCATGGTATTGTCTAACAATAGGGGTCTAGCTGCACAGATGCGTCATCGAAAACGGTACTATCTGTTTAATGGTGCAATTGCACTAAAGTGCAGAGCATGTACTTACTCGTGAAAGAAATTACAATATACAGTACTAAGGCACGAATGAAGATTTTAAATTCAGGAACTTTGTCTTTACTCAGTGTAATATCACAGCATTTAATTATGACCGCTTCGTGAAGTGTACGTATGTAACTGTCGACGTATGGATATGACTTTTATTTTCTGAGCTGCCCGACGCCCTGCCCAGAACATGTACTGTATTGTACAAGAGCAAGCAATGCACTAAAGAAGACACTAATTTTTAGCCTTTTTCTTGCTTCCGATATTTTACTGTGAGTATTAATTTTATCTTCCCGGATTTTTTACTGGCTCTCGTGAACTCTAACTGTGAAAAAATTAGGAACTGGTCGACGCGGGCATTTTTGTTAAGTGGAAGGAAATATGACATACTCTGTTTGACCTGAAAAATTAACAATATAATAACTACATGTCGGAATTACAGGTTATTACTGAGCTTGTGGTCAGACTATTATTTGCATAGTTTATCCGCTACATACACTGATTGCGAAGGCAGCAGGCATGCAATATACGAGTACAGACATAAAAATAATTCCACCTTATTATAACGAAATTTGCAGTTGCATCTGCATACATTCGCCCGCGAATGCGTCGCTTTAACTCGTTCAAACTGACGTAGCATAACTAGGATCAACTAGTAAACGATCGAGTCTGGCATATTGATGCGGACATTTCCGATGCGGCTTTGTTTTATGAGTTCATCCGTACCGACCGTGATCGAAAAATTTGACACACCGTTCTGTCAACATCACTCACTTTGCTGTGCAGGACTGCTGATCAGTTGCTGACAACCTAAATTATGGCATGTGTGGTCGGTTATAACTGATACGGTACTTATATTTAAAATATTTAAAACCAAATAAAAAACATCGCATCGAGGATGTACTTCGTACATTTGAAGACCAAACGGTGTTATTTTTGTAAGATTTTTTGTTTTTATTTTTGTAAGAGCTATTTTCATTTCACTTTGATCACGTTTTTTTTTCACGTCCATCAAAAGTGTTGTTCATATACGTCTAACGTGCAGGACGTACGTACGATCGAAAAAAAGATACCCATAACAAAAAACTGCTCGGACCTGCTTTCGATCAAGGGCGTACAAAAATCGGCTTTCCCCAGCTCCACCATTGAAAATTCTGAGTATTCAGTTTTATGCAAAATTCTTACAAATAGTTTGAAAACGCAGTATAATTGTAAATTTGGGGCGATTGTTGGAAGACCTTTTTGTAAAAGTCTGTATCATATAATAATAAACAGATCTTGCGCTAAAAGTGAAAAACTTGACATCGTTATCCGTGAAAAAAGTCAAAAAAACATAAGCAGTTCAATTTCAAAACTTGATGGATGAAACTTACTCATTTTGACGAATACAGACTTGACAGACATAACTTGCGGACGGTGTCCGTGTATTACCGTAGAAGCATATATGTTAATGTTGACCAGTTGCGCAAGTGCCTATCTGTATATTATCTGTATCCGCTACGGTAACTCACTCGGTCGCCCATTGTAACTTGCATCCTGGTCTATAATTGCATATATATACCTCCCTTGCAAATGGGTTATGCTAGCAGTGTTCCGTTTTACAAATTTTTTGGTTTACACACGATACAATTTTATATCGTACAAAAATGGCGAAGCTTTTACTTGCGTGCTTACTCATAGCGACAGCCGGTAAGTGTAAATCCCTGATGATAGTTCGTTGATCTCGCAGTGGTAGTTGTTTGTTTAGGTTATTTTTCAACTTCCAGCAGTATTCAATTGGTAACTTTATATAGGATTTCTGTGCCGTCGCATCACAATTTATCTTTTCAAGGCTTAGTACACCAGAAATTATTTTTATTTAAAAACTAAGAAAATCTAGTAACCTTTTAAAGTTGTCGAGACTATTGAAGGCAATACGATACCTTGATATAACGCAGAAAGGGTGACCTTTGAGCAGCCGATTTTGAGATGTACAGTACGTGTTGATTTGCAGTGGTTTGCATTAGCGCAACCAAGGGCTCCGGATCCGGCAACAAAGAGAACAGTCGGCCCGGCAGCAGCAGCGGTGATAAAGGCAAGTCTAACGTGCCGACCCTGACCAAGCTGTGCATCGATGAAGTTGCCCACCAGATGGTTCCCAAATTCGCCGAAAAGTACCAGGCCGTTGTAAAGGGCATCCTCTATCCTCACGACAAGGCGCACGCCAGGGACCGAGTCGATGAAGAAGTCAAGCATATCCTGGATACTCATTATCACGTTCCCCCCGGAGCGATCAACGAGCTGGTGAAGACCATCCGGGAACATGCGGAAAAGCTGAAGAACCCCGAGAAACGCAAACATGTTGAGGATCCCGTTGACCCCAAAGTACTCGGCATGGTTCCACGATGCATCAAGAAGCCCAAGGCATGAGTGTATTGCCACTGCGTTTGCTTTGGAAGTTGTCTTTATACTTTGCGGATTTTTAAAGTTTTGTGGCCCTGTATATATGTATATTTATACTTTTAAGACACTATTGTTTTTACTTGCCAGTAATGATTGATACGGCTGTCGACTTTTGTCGGTTGCCAGTTCTGACATGCAAAATGAACGACGAATAAATTGATAAATATATAAAACATGCGGAGAACTAAAATGATCTGACGTTTCTAAAGTGCACGTACATCTAGGATAGACGTAATGTACTATAAGTTACATGGTAAAATCTGTGTACATTTAACATCTCCCCTTCCTTAAAAAGTGCAGTGCATATTTAATGCATAAGACACATGTCTGCCTCTTTAATCCACGATATTTTTGACGGCTACTTATTTAGAGATATGTTCATATGTCGCGTTTCTTAGATAACAAGCAAAATGACGCATGTTGTGGCTGATCTTTTAAAAGTTGACGTTTTTGCTGGAATATGTGCTTCTGCGCCTGCAAGACGCGCCGGTTCCCAGTGAGGCGATCAGTAACGAATTGTTAAAAATGCAAGCGTAACTGGCACGACCATAATTACTTGAACTGAAATTTCTTATTGAACTATGCCCGTACCAAAAAATTTAAAAAAATGTTTAAGCAATACTCATTAGCGACCGAAGCGTACCTCTTACATTCCGCTATATATACACGAGTACGTCAACAATTTTTGTACAGAATCTTATACAGACTAATAAATTTTATGGTCACTGTGCACGCCGCGTAATATATCGCAGTAACGGTCTATCGAAGGAGAGCTAGTGACAGACGGGCTGAGAAGGGCGGGGAAATGGGTCCCATTGTGGAGAATTTTCTAGTCGAGAGAAGCCGGTACCTAATACCTATCACTGTTTTTAAAGCGGACCAACGCTGATCAGATCATCAGCAGGAAGTTTCAAATTTTGATTCATCTCGCCCCATGGAGCGAATTCGGAATTTCATTCATACAGTCGTCCGGTGCCGAGGAAATGTTACTTGACCGGAAGCAAAGCCTGCGAGTCTTGTAGATGCCACCCGATGGTGAGCGTACTGTGCATCCGCAGTCTATGGGCTGAAATACGAAAACAGTGCAACTCATCTTCAAACTTCAAAATTTTTCAGTATTTACATTTAACTCTTCCTCAGCTAGTCTTCGGCAGCATCGGATAGTGATGCATAAGGAAGAGAGATTTGAGTGGCTTTCCAAAGCCCATCGCCGGCGGAACGCTACGGCCAGTGCTGAAGGGAAGAAAACGGGATACATTCCACCGCAGAAATTTAAACATTACACGGAGTTTCCCTATTTAAATTCTGCGAGGAATGCCAGCAGGGATTCGTCCGCCGGAGAATGATGTCCCACCATTTCACGGTGCGGCATCCGGAGCGCTCTCTGGAATCTGTGCCGCAGTTAGCCTTGTCCACGTGCACGGTGCAGCAGATATGAACTACGAAGGCAAAGCAATGAAATGCGATAGTTGTGTACGTGATTTTCTCTTCCGTTTTCATAACTTTAATTGTTGACTGTAAAAATCCCTGTTTATAGTGTTGTTGTGAGTTGAACGCAGCGTCTGTGTTTTCTGTGAAATTCCGACCTTTTCTGTGATGTTTGTAGACAACTTCGGGTAAATACTGCTTTCGAGCAGAAGATAATTATATTAAACGCTATCTTCTGAAAAACACCTTAAGGTGTCTGAGGCGAATAATCTAATTAACGGGTGTGTCACCGTATGCCGACGTACTCATAGAATTATTACAATTAGTATATCGTAAACATACAGCTTTTTCTTGCTCGCTAAATGTGAGTTACAGTAGCGATCCACCATCCCCGTAACAAGCGTCGCGCTGAGACAGTTAACATTAGCTTTCTGGTAATCACAGTACTAGTAGGAAAACTAGGAATACTGTACGATAATTATGTCCGAGTGGCGCTCAGATAATTTTAATTCTGGGTATGATTTCGATGGAGTAACAGTTTAATATAGTACAAGACTGTACTGTAACTTTTATAAATTTCTCTGGTATCTGTTTATATGAAAAGTTGTAAACCTGCTCATAATTTATTTGCTGAGATACCGCTATTTACGTTGGTATACAGTAATTACTTGTAATTGCGTGTCGATAGTATGTGCCATAGTGCACATACGGTGATAACACAGAGATTTTTCTTACACAACTTTCATACATGCAAACCATGGAGAAACTGCAAATTAACGGAAAATGAAAACGAAACATGTCGGCGACCAGCGCTTCCAACATTTCTATACATAATGAATAATAAAAAAACTATTCAGTAGTTACCTGCTACAATTATAACAATTAACGCCTATGGGACATCATATCTGTCACGTTTGAGCCAAAATGTACAACAGGATATCCGCTGCATTGTACGACACAATTACTGAAAGGAAGAAAAACACACGGTCTTGTAGGGCGGTCCGTCCGCAGGTGCGTGTTACGGCCTGCCGGTGACGATTTCTGTTGTTATCCAAGGTGCTGCTGCTGTGACGCTGCCGTATACGGCGGCCATCAGGGCTTTGCCGCAACCGCGTCCATAGGACACAACACCGGCTTGGTAGAAGCTCTTTCCATTAAAGCAAACCCTAAATACAAAAGGTCACTTGTTACTGCTAACAGTCAAATCCTTCAATGATTCGATCTGGTTCAAAGTCGAATTGCAAAAAGGTCACTCAGGGGTAACCAAGAGCTCTCTCGTTTCTGACCTATATTTGTGAACACGTATATTTGCTGGAAAGGTCACTGTATAACAATTAAATAGATTCATTTTGTGCCTTATTGTGTGCATTTTGGTCCTGTGTTTTGCTTTTATGGTTCATTTAACTGTTATACCGATGTAGAATTATAAACCATTTTTTCTGTGATCGCAAAAGGTGACTTACAGTGGCGATCCACCATCGCCGTAACAAGCATCGCGCTGTGAAATTCCTCCCGCACACAGCTGTGTATCGTCCAACACACCGAATGGAGCCTTGAGTTTTGGCGCTAACCGTTCGTTCTTGAAGGCAGCCGAGCATACATCGTTGGCGACAATGGGAATGCCGGCATAACGGAGGATCTCAGCATTAGGTCCCGCTGCAACCATCCCCAGTTACTTTAAAAAAACAATGAAATACACATGCCGGCAAAGACTTACACAGGGCGAAGGCATCCTCTTCCGTCTTGGTCTTGCTGGGGTCGACCACCCGGGTGGAACCGAAACCGGAAACAACACAGGTCTCGCCTTCCTGGGGTCCTTCTTCTTGCAGGCAGATCTTGCACACACAGGGCGAGTTCATGTTCAGCGGCTGTTTCAGACGGATCAGGCCGACATCGTTCGACAGGGTCTTGCGATCAAAATCAGGGTGCAAAATAATCTTGTCTACGCCCACATCCTGGATGCAGCCGGGTCGTTCATCGCGATCCAGGGAGTTCTGACGGACGTCCACATCACCGACACGGATGCGCAGGCGCGAAATGTCACGGCTAAGGAAATATGCGTTTTACGATGTTAAACTCCATTTGAAAACATAATATTATATCGTATTTACCCATCGATTTCGTGTGCAGCGGTCAAGACGAACCACTCGGATACAATGGAAGCACCGGATTGGTATTTGCCATCGAGCAGGATAGCGGCCTACAGAGCACACCGAAAAGGAATTATTAGGTTGGATGACCTTTTATTGCGTGCACCGAAAACATACCATCCAGCAGACTTCCATATCCTTGGCGACCATGCTGTTGGTGATGCGCGCTTCACGCTGGTTGGCGGCGCGTTTCGATCGGTAGATGTTGGCACGAGAGCTCTTTTGTCCGTTGGCAATCAAGAATGCAATATCTCCCTGTTGGCTGGCGTGGGGAATACCGCAGGTATCCAAATCCTTGGTCATGGGGAACATGGATTCGGCGTTGTTTCCGGTCATGGCTGGTACCATCGGCTGCGGTGCGACGGCTGGTGGGACGACAACATTTCCGGGTTGGCCTGTTAAAGGTCACGCTGCAAGTATACTGTTACGTAAGCGACTCGGCACCGAACATACCGTTCATGTTCGCGTCGATGCTGATGCGGTTGGGAGCGTTAGCCTCGCGGGTGCCGGTGCTCGATCCGTAGCTGCTACCTCCGTACCCTCCTGGAGTGGGCTGCGAAGGTGTAGGCTGGGCCGGGGTAGGACTGGCTCCATAACCTCCGGGAGTTGGGCTGGATCCATAGCCGCCCGGTGTGGGTTGGGAAGGTGTGGGCTGGGCGGGGGTAGGACTAGCTCCATATCCGCCTGGTGTTGGCTGCGAAGGCGTCGGGCTGGATCCATAACCACCGGGCGTCGGTTGCGAAGGCGTGGGGCTCGATCCATAACCACCGGGGGTCGGTTGCGATGGAGTAGGCTGCGACGGCGTCGGGCTGGCTCCATAACCTCCCGGCGTTGGGCTGGATCCGTAGCCACCGGGTGTCGGTTGTGAGGGTGTAGGTTGGGCTGGGGTAGGGCTAGCTCCATAGCCACCTGGTGTCGGTTGCGAAGGCGTTGGGCTTGATCCATATCCGCCTGGTGTCGGTTGCGAAGGAGTCGGACTCGATCCATAGCCGCCGGGTGTTGGCTGCGAAGGGGTGGGGCTTGAACCATATCCGCCGGGTGTCGGTTGCATTGGAGTGGGCGAGTTTCCGTAAGACGTCGGTGAGGAACCATAGCCGCTACCGCCGACGGAGGTACCGCCCATACTGCCGGTACTGCCACCCTGCAAACGGATATTGTTTAAAAAGCTATTTAACTCGACCGGAAGTATGTCGATTTACCGGTGACGCCACCATGTTGGAGGAAGCCGGTGCGACATATACATTCCCATATGAGGACATAGTGGTGGGGGCTACTGTTGCCCTGGTGGTGGTTGTGGTCATTGTGGTCGTTGTCGTGGTCACGGCTTGAGTAGGCGCTGTAGTGACTGCTGGTGTGGGCGCAACTGTAGGTGCCATTGTAGGTGCCATTGTTGGCGCCATGGTTGGTGCCATGGTTGGTCCCATAGTAGGTGCCATGGTAGGCGCCATGGTCGGAGCGCTGGTCACGTAACTGCCGTATGATCCCATCTGGGCTGGACCGTAGCTGGCCGATCCCGGGCTGCTGCCATAGCTACCGCTGCTGCCGCCGCTGCTACCACTGCTACCGGATGAACCCTATAAAACCAATATTAATGGTAAATCACCAGGAGGAAATTCTATCTGATCATTATTCAACAGCGGCCCATCATTTCTTGCCAGGATTGACCCCGATGTGTGCGCGGTGAACGTGTGCGGTGTGTCTCTTAGACAATACCCAGATCCTCAACGCAGCAGATATTTATAAAAAAAATAAAATTTGATCCGACCGTGATTTTATTAAATATCACTTTGTGATTCATATTATAGCTTTTGCTGTGCGTGGGACAGGTATGCTTTTTTGGTTCGTATGGGCCGCTGTTGAGAATATGGGTATCATCCATAAAACACAACCAACCGAGTTAACATAGTACGGCAACACTGGATACTGCGGTAGTCCGGATGGATAGCCATACTGATAGGCGCTCATGTTGGACGCCGGCAGAGAAATCGAGACACCCTACAAAGACAAACAATAAAGGTCAATCGTTTGCAGTCATTACCACATAATTTTAGTGACCTTACCGTTGATCCGGTTCCACCCGGTGCGGTCGCCAAGACCGGATAGATGGGCAGGAAAGGAGGATAGTTCTGTACTGTGTTGTTCACCGCGCTAATCGGGGTCAGACCCTGGTTGACCACGAGGGAGGGAGCATTATTCGATACGCTGCCCATCGAACCCGTTGACCCGGATGTACCACTCGAAGAGCCGTAGCTCGACGAGCCGTAACTAGTACTCGGGGTCATGGAGCTCGGGGACGGTGAGCCGTAGCTGGTGCTCGGGGACGGTGAGCCGTAGCTGGTGCTCGGGGTCATCGTGCCCGGGGTCGGTGAGCTGGGGCTCGCCGGCGACGAGCCATAGCTCGTGCTCGGGGTCATCGAGCTAGGTGAGGGGGATGGGGAACCGTACGACGAACTAACGGGACTTGCCGAGTAACTCGATGGGGATGACGGAGACGACGGCGATCCTGGGATCTGATAGTAGGTCATCACCGATGAGCTCGGTCCGGGTGAGACGGTGGTTGCGCTGGTGCTGGGCGTGGAGGAGCCACACGAGCAGGACAACGGCAAGCAAACCGACACGCCACTAACGCGGCAGTTGATGACCTTTGCCAAAATCATCTGGTTCAGCGGTGTCTGGTAGGACTGTGCGACGTAGCGGGTAATCTCGCGGACGCTGTCGTTCAGGAAGTTGCTGCCCGGGATGGAGGTCAGACCGGCGGTCTGGGCCACCATGGCGCCCAGTCCGTTAAAGACGGTCGGGTCCAGACCGAGGTTGGTGGCCGACAGTTGGTAGAGGGTCTGCAGCAGAGACACGGTGTTGCCGTTGGCGTTGTACGTGCTGTATGCACTTAAACCGGACTGCAAGTTCTTGGTGGACTGCAGCAGCACGCTCGGCAGACCGGATGTTGCGGCGATCGACGTCAGAATAGTGTTCAGGGTGGCGACGCGGCAGGGTGTCAGCACCGGCGAATTTTCATACTGCACTTTAAAGGCGCCGAGATTGTTCAGCGTCGTGCTGTCCACAGCGGTGTTCTGCAAGGCATTGAAGAACAACCGGAACTGCGGTACCAAGTTCGGCAGGGAGAGGGCATAGCATCCAGCGGACGGTGTCGACGAGGTGGTGGTCACTCCGGGCGCGGCGGTCGTTGCCGATGTGCTGCTACCGCAGTTCAGACCTGCAAGGATACTGTTGATGGAGGTGATGGTCGCCCCGACTGCCGCATTCAGACCGGAAATGGCGGAGACGGCGGCGGTGGCGGATTGGACGGTGGACTGCACCTGGGTGGTGCATCCCGGAGTGTTCAGAACCAGGATCAGCGCGTTCTGGAGCTGATTGATGACCGTGGTCGAAACCAGCGTGGAACCGACCACCTGCGCGAGGAGGCTCTGGAGGGCGTTCGCCAACGGGGTGCTGCTGCCGAAGACGGCCACGTTCATGGCCGGTGGGTATGGGTTAAACAGACTACCGTTGGGGACGGGAATACTGGTCAGCTGCAGAAGCGGAGGATAGGCCAGAGCACTGGGGTTGTAAACGACCGTGCCGCTGGTGCCGGTTGACCCTGTTGAGCCGGTGGATCCGGTTGACCCGGTCGATCCGGTGCCGGTGCTGGAACCGTAGGAAGATCCGTATGAGGTCGAGGGTGATGAAGGAGACGATCCGTACGATGTGGATGGCGACGATGGCGAGGACGGCGAGCTGTACTGCCGACCAGCAGCAGCGTACAGGGAGCGTCCGTACGACGAAGTGGGGGATGGGGTGGCGCCCGGAGTGGGGCTGGGCGTGGGGCTGGGGCTCGGGCTGTAGCTGTAGGAAGAGGATGGGCTAGATGGTGACGATGGTGAGGATGGAGTCATGCTATAACTGCTGCCGTAGCTGCTGCCCATGCCGGTGGAAGTTCCGGTGCCGGTACTGCCCGTGCCGGTGGAGCTGGAACCGCTGCTAATAGCATACGGATACTGAGCATACACCGGGTAGGCGATGATTTGCGGAGTAAGGATGGTCTGTGCCGTGGAATTGGACGAGGTCGATGCCCCTGTAGTGAAAACAATGCTTATAGGCACAGCTGTATAATTTTGTGCAAACACGTAATCGCCTTACCGGTTGTGGTGGTAGCCGATGTATCCGCCAGTTTGTAGCAGCATGTTCCTGAACAACAACAGATTTAGTGGATTAGTAGCGCGTGATGATTTTGTCTTCTTACCGGCAAGATTGCTCGTATTGAGGTAGTGGTTAAGAGTTGCGAATCCGCATACTCCGACGTTAGTCTGGGAGGAATAGCCGATCGGACAGGCGTCCGGTCCATCTGGTGCGCAAACCGTTAGGTAGCCTCGTTTGCATTGTATGTCGAGGATTGTTTCTCCCACAACAACTGCAATGTTGGGAATGATTAGTAACGTCACTACCTTGCTGCTTTAACCTTCATACAATACGCAGATTTTCATCTGCTTGCATTTACAAAGAACGCGGTTTTTATTACGATTTCAGCTGGTTAATAAATAAATCGGAACCGCTAGCCTCTATAATTCTTTGTTTAATTGCTAATTATTATTTTATCACAGCAGCGGTATGAATTATTTCTTGAAGACGTTACGCAGTACAATTTTGTACGCCGACAATACAATATATCAGCGACGGTACAACATTAGTTGAAGTGCACACAAAGTAAAATAAAAATATATTTTAATAAAACCTGTCCTGTAAGCTACAAAGCTAGGCATTTTTAGGTAAGCCAGATACTTCAATAAATTTTAGTTTACAATGGGTTATTGTATAAAGGTTTCCGACATTCAAAAAATTACTGCTAACTGTTCGTGTTAGACTCAAATCAGTATTGTAATATTGTTGATATAAAACATGCCAAATTTGTCATTAGTGGGCTTACAGGGAAAGAGGGAACGTTTTTCACGGGCGAGTGCCACATCCTCGTGGTCGGGCGTGGACAATACTGGCACAGAGCAAATGAGGAAGACAATGAGATCTGATAGATGTGGACGTAGCATGGTTCCGATTGGGCAGGTGTGGGAAGGGGGACGGTGGCGCCAACCAGTTGGCGTTTCCGGTCTGACCGACCACAGAGATGCAAATGTGCAGCCGCAGCACAATCAAGTCAACACCAACCGTACAATAGTCCCTGTGTAATCCTAAACCATATGCAACCGCGCTGCAGTATAATCACGAATGAATAAAAAGAGAGAGCGGCGGCGGCGTCACTCGGATCTCTTCTCTTGTCTGATAATTACCGGCCCCGAATCCTTATGTAATTATATCCGAGAGATATATACACACACACAGCTCAGCCTCCGATTCATCAGCAGGCGAAATTCTGTCGCGAGCAGCTAAGATGATGATGATTTCTTTCCACCTCGACAACGTACCGCATCACCATCCTCAATTAGCACTGTTACCTTTCAATCACACTACACGACAATGGCACATCCTCCGCTGTATAATTTTTGCTGGGGTTTGTATATATAAAACCGCCGGCTTAACGATTGATGATTGGAGAAACGGTACGTTAAGGAAGCTGTGTGCCGATATATAAGCCGGCACATGAATCCGCTGCACGCTGTGGCGGAGGCCATGGGTCAGAAGGTTACGCATCGATGGCTGTAGGGCGATACATATATACTCGTGTGTATATGCAGTCAAAAGAAGCCTCTCGAGATCTACCGCGATGGATCCTCGCACAGAGATGCGGTACTCGTAGTAGCGAATATGTTCCGTCGTCCTCTGCGGTAACTATATAATCATTACACTTATTTTGTTTTTTCGTTGTTTGTCTTCACTGACTGTGGGGTAAACACAAAAGACAGCTGCAGACGGCTGATGAAGTTCTGGTTGCGATACATCTGTTGTCACACATTTCGGGCAGTTCACTGTACTCACATATTTCGCTAATTTATATAGCGCATAACGAACTTGTCGGAAGCTGCTGTCCGATTGGCAGCTCATCAAAAACTAGGCCTCTGCATAAAATCGCCGGTATCATTTGGCTCTGGCGCAAAAATTAGCATCTTTACTGCAGTAATTAAAAAATTAATTAAAGGCACTTCGTTCGGCTATTAAGGCTTCTTAAGATCAAGGCTAAAAACTGTTCACATTACCGGCTTAATTGTTCTGTATTGCCGTTATTCACTTTATTGTGTGAAAATTGCCAGACACTGAATCGCTTCAGATTGTACTGCCGGAAGCAAGAGCTTATACATTTCGCAAGTTCCGCGTAATTAAGTGTACGCAATACAAACTAGACTCACGTTTAGTTTTAATGAAGGCTAGTAATAATACGTGAAATCCAAGTTCGTTGCATTGGTGAACTAGTGATCTCCTAGTTTGACTGTCACAAAAGCAGCAGCCATAAAGAATATCTTTGCTAGTGGCAAATATCTTTGCCGATTGTTACTTAGTAGTAGTCTCGGGTGCCTTGCAACAACTTTCTCACGGCGGGATCTTATATAGAGAAAATGTCATCTCCGCATATTGTTGCAAGAATTGTTTGTCGCAGGCGTTTAAGTCAGTGGTCATTACGACAAAACAAAATACACCACGCTTTTATGGTTGCACGTTAGTACGTACGTACTGCGTAAGACGATCTTCTGTTTTCCGGTTGTGGTCGGGATAACGCCGACACGAAAGCACGCAAGTTTGTACCGCTGGTACTGACGTTCCTGTTGCAAAATACTCCGGTGCGAATAGTTTACTAACGGTGTAATGACCTTTAATAAGTATCGGATATCAGGTACAAACTCGGTACCACAAACAAAATAAATTATTACAACAAAAACACTTCCTCTATGCTATCCTGATCGGGGATCGTACCCATTACTAACGGTTAATTCAGGTACAACGGTACTAAAAATACAGTATTATTAATATATACTTTCTGTTCACTGAGGAATGCGAACTTGCTACTAGCCAGCGTAAGATTTTTGTACATCTTATCGTTAGCTTACGTGCAGCTTAACATAGGCATGTCGAAGTAAATGTGAGACAGAATTACTGGAAGTGTGATGGCAGCGCTGATGTTGGCGAGATTCAGGACCGAACGATCCAATGTTTCGTAAAAGCAACTGCGGGCGACTATACTCAGTGAATCGTCGCTTGCTTGGGTAATGGCAACGGGATTTACCGGAAGTTTCGGCTTAAGTTTTGTTTGTGCTACCATTATGTTCACAAAAGTGTTTCTAGTTTTTATTCTACCAAGAGGACTGGTGCCGAATGAGTACAGAAGCTAATCTATGGGGTAATGTACAGCTCTGTTTCTGTACACCGATGTGTAAACCTACTGTCAACTATTTTACGCTGTTGCTTTTCCTTACGTCGTATAAGCTAATTTTACAAACTTTGCTCCTCCTCAAAAGCAGCAAGACAATTTCATTACATCGCTTTTAGAACCTGTCTGGCAGATTTTCTCTAAGTTGTCCAACGTGAGTACTTGTCGCTGTCAGTTTTGTTTTCGTTGTATTTCCTGGGAATATCTGCTTTCACCCGTGCAAGTTATTAAATTGCGCATATTTAAAGCTTCGATTTAGTGCCCTTATGTCACCCATACAGTATATACCGTACATCTGTACCGCACTAAGTAGTGAAATGGATTGTAATACCATGCAAAGGGATGACTCCAACAGACTTAAGATTCCACGGGACTGTAAGTATGGAAATAATGTATTAAAAAATTTCCACCACGGGGCGACTAAATAAAATTCGATCAAAAGATGCTGCATTGTTGCAGCTGCAGAAGATTAATATGTAGCGATACTGTGCCGAATGTAGCACACGATTACCAAGCCAACCAAAGATTCCTTGCGGCTGTTCCGCTTATTGCTGCACACCACATCCGAATTACCATTCTCATCTACCGCAAAACACAAAGCCCACAATACGTACTTTCGGCAGTCGGCTAATTGGGACAATGTCGACAGAATATATTATTTCTTATAATTATATAGATATTACATTTCGGTACAAACACACAAGCCCACGTTGATCAGCAATCAAATGAATTACTTTGACCAGCAATGTAACCCTTCCGCATTATACCACACAACCAAACCGACATAAACACTATTCGACGCTGTGATCACAATCCCAATTGGAAAAAGAAACCGGCACAACCAACACGACAGTTTGAGGTTACAGAGACAATCGTGCGCATTGGACAACTATGATGGTCAACTAGATCAAAAACGAAAACCACAACAACCTGCCAACACAACGCAGTGATTCACTGCAGATTCTGCCCGCAAAATCTGCAAAGGTCACGCGAAGTTTCCGGGTGCACTGTCTCATCGCCCGTACGTTGAGCCGTAGCTGCTGCTCATGCCGCTGGTACCGCTCGTCATTCCGCTAGTGCCGGATGTTCCTGATGTGCCGGAACTGGATCCCGAGCTAATGGCATACGGATACTGAGCATACACGGGGTAGGCAATGATCTGAGGAGTAAGGATGGTCTGTGCCGTGGAGTTGGACGAGGTCGATGCCCCTGTAATAGAAAGCATGCTTATATGCACAGCTGCGTAATTTCGTGTAAACAAGTAATCGCCATACCGGTTGTGGTGGTAGCCGATGTGTCGGCAAGTTTGTAACAGCATGTGCCTAGACAAAAACAGCTTTAGTAGAATACTGGATCGCGTAAATTTCGCTTTTCTTTTTTACCGGCAAGGTTGCTCGTATTCAGGTAGTGATTGAGGGTTGCGAATCCGCATACTCCGACGTTGGTCTGAGAAGAATAACCGATCGGGCAGGCGTCCGGTCCATCGGGTGCGCAAACCGTTAGGTAACCACGTTTGCACTGTATGTCGAGGATTGTTTCTCCCACAACAACTGCAATGTTGGGAACAGTCAGCATTACGTTGCGACAGGCTTTTCTTGAGCAATCAGCACGCTGTCCAGTAGTACTTGCAAAACTAATAGCATTTATTGCAACATAAGCAAACTGTTTTAAATAAAGCTTATCCCGGTCTGCCTTCTAATACGATACTTCAACAATTCTAATTTTTCATATACTAGTATTGCAAGTTACATTCTACGCATTTCTAATTTATAAAATAGAATTATCAATTAGGTATCCAAAAGCGGCAGAATTTTCTTCGGAGACATAACCAACCTCAGCTGTTATCCACAGAAAAAGGATAGTGATTTTGTGTATCAGTATTTTGATCAGCCATATTCTCAAAATACAATACGATGAACTTTATCATATTTTTTACTGTATATATATAAGGTGTTTGCACTTACAAGGAAATAAACTACGCTCTTGTCGGTTCCGTGCCGGCTCCGCTGCAAACGCAAAAAAGATTTATATAATCGTTGAAACATAAGTATAAAGTCCACATCATATAAAATATCCTCAGCGTACATTTTGCATTGAGTCTGTAAGGAAATCCATGGGCGCAGATGAGGAGGGCGAAGAATATGGATACTATAAGAGGCTGCATGATTATTATGGGGAACTTTCCTAGTAGATGAAGCCGCTCGGACAACTGCTCAGCACCGTGACCTTTCGATACTTCAGTCGTCCTCGTAGCTGAATGACTGCCGACGACGGTTAAGGAAGCTGAACGAGCGAAATCCGAAATGCGTCAACTGTATGCCGAGCAAGTGTGACCTATTGAGCGTTGGCTTTATGCGCGCTTAATTTATCGAAGATATCATATTCGGTCATAAAAATTTCTCTTCGATCGCTTTCTATATGACATGTATCACGCATATGACCGCTAAGTGGGCTTTTTAACTATGTAATAGTGTCGAAGGTATTTCTAGGCCTTTCAATGCCGATATCAGATGGACGATGGGCACTATTGCGTTATGCGAATGCCGTATTCTTTAACGACTTGAACGTGCAACGATTAAAGCTAAGATACTAATTGGGTTGTATGCATTAATGAATTGTTTCATCATGCTGACAATTTATCAGCCGGTTTTGCAACGAAACAATCCAAATTCCATCGCATAAGCAGTGCAGAATATCTTTGTTATATACGCATACAGGGTTCACAAGAATACGGTACACGTGAACGCACCGCCCAAAGATGACGGCTTTCTTCGATGCACCCGAAAATACGAGTAAGTTGTTGCATGGTTCGAAGGAAATCTGATTACCACATTACAGTATCTAGCATTAGTTATTTTGTTCGACGAACAGAATATTTTTGAGTTCATTTTCTGCTTTTACCGTCGTCGATTCGATCCAAATTGTGTTTTTCATGTCGTCGTTAAATTATTAGGCACTCGTGCACAAACAGACGCTTACATAATTGTTGAGCTGATTTTGATATTGGTGAGATAATATTGTCGTGAGTGATTTACCGTATTAATTTTCAAAATACAGTTCAAAACCGAACATTGTCAAAATAAAATTATGGTAGACAGGTAACTGCAGCAACGAAACCACAAAATAGCCAATACTCGTATTTGCTTATACTGTGCAAGAATTATTTATACAAGCAGATAATTTCTATGAAACACTTGTTTGCTAAAGCTGTTAAAAACAAAAATTTCCTGGGCGGTCACACTATTTCGTATTTCGAAAAACGTTCTCTTTGACAAACTCAGATTCTTTGCGAACAATATTTGCATCATACACGCAACAGTAGTGCAACTGCGAGTATGCCAACATAATGGCTTTGCGTACTATGATTCAATAATTAATTACTGAATACAGTTGAAACGCTCGGGCCGCCCGGACCGGAAGCTGCCCGCACGATAACGGAATTTGGACAGCTCATACAGCTCATACAACAAGAAACTGGCGAAAAACGTGCCACGGAATACCTTCGCCAACGGATCAGCATTGAAATTCAACGAGGAAATGCGGCATCGATCATGGGGACAGCGCCATTGGGAGCAAATTTAGATCAACCCAGTGCTAATCTGAAACCCGAACAGGGGTTGTTTGGGCCTGTCAAACTACCCTGTTCGGGACCAAGCAAAGTCCAAGAGGTGCCATTGTGCGGGCCAGAGAGCTCAGGCCTACCGGCATACGGGCGGAAGGCCTATTTGTAGACCACTCTGAGCAAGTTCTGGTTCCGCCTGGGCCTATCTAAACACGATATGTAACAGCATTCAGGCCCAGTCCATACATTAACTGACTTTGGTTTGCAGTAGCTTTTTTATTTTATATTTACTTAAACCAACGCCTTAACACGACTTAGAAGCTTTATTATTCAGTGATATACAATTAGTATGCTTTATTAACATTTATATAACATAATGATCATGTAGCGCATCACATGCACTGATCACAGGCTGCGTTAAGCACGTCATAAACATGTAAAACAAGATGCACAGCGTATATATGTGTACAATCATTTCTCAGTATTTCGGCTCAATAATTTCGTAATTAACATTCGCATCAGCTCTCTTCGAAGGCGCCTCCGACCCGATGGCATACAGTTTTTCTCGCAACTTCTTGTTGGAAATATTCGGCAGCTTCAATGGGTTCATGCGCGTGCTGGCTGTGGGCAGGCGTTCTTGAATAATGTTCATCGGGAAATGGGAATTTCTGAGAAAAATCCTGCAATTATTATACTTATTAATCCACTCATTAGTCAATAAAATAATCATTTTAACACTTAAAATCAATAATTTATTGCAGTTTGAAAATAACAAAATGGACTACAAACAAATAGGACTTTTTCCACAAATTGCAATTCTCACACGCGAAAAAATTATCACAATAAGCTGCGACAATAATTAATTAAAAATAAAACAACAGCAGTACGTAGTTAAGTACGCGTTGTAGTTACGTGTCCCATCAGTATAAATTTAGTATAAATAGTTCCCATCAGTATTTAGTATAAATAGTTTCCCAGTGCAAATAAACTATGCGCGTATTTCTGCTGTTTGCATATACTGATAATATTACCGTATTCAAAGTACTTTTAACGCTACGCACGCACCTGCACGGGATCATCCTGTTCTAATTTGTATTAATTTCCACATCTTTCGGAACATTTCTGCTTGATCCTAGGCCGTGGAAGGTTTCGACAAGGCGGTTTCTCAGTGGAAAAGAGGTTTTTGACGATCAGAGAACCGACGCAAGTCGAGAGCTGGCAAACTACACGAACCGTTGGAACAGTAAAGGCTGAACTGCACGAAATTACAGCGTCAAGACAGCGCTCTTAACAAATTCCCAGAAGCAGTCGTTACAAGTTTGAAATGCACAAAAATGCCTTCGTGATTACAACAATTAAGTAGAACATGAACAAAATAAAATCAAAGTAGAAGAAGAGCTGTTTATTGTTTAAAAGTTTGCAATAGCCAGAAGCCAACAATGTCAGTACTTATAAGTCTTTGACAGTGATGTGCAATAAGTACAGTATGGTGCATCTAGAGCAACGGCAGTACCGCCTCCAAGCGCGGGAAAAGCGAACTACCCCGGCTGGCAGTTTCCAAATGGTCCAGCAAATTGTTTCAGTAAATTGTATTACAATTTACAATAATATTCTTTAATTGCCTGCATGATTAATTTTGTTGATGTAGTAGTAGTTTTCAACTTTGGATTTATAGAACAATGCTCATAAATTCATTTCAAATAATATAATATAGATATTATTATATGCAGTGACTGCAGCGCGTTGTGTCAGTTTAAAGCAGTTATGAATTATTATTATATTTTATTATAATGTAATAATAATTCATAATAGAGCTCCACAATAATAAGTAATATTATTATTACTTATTATTACTAGGCTCTATTCGGACCGGATATACGACATTTTACGTACGTAATACAATATACATTGCATACATGTACATACTGCCGGTCAGTTATCATGGCTTCTGAATCAACAGGAATTTTGTAGCTGACATCGCTAGATTTTGTTCGCTACCTGAATTAAAATATCCAGATAAAGAAAACTTTATTTGTGGGCCAGAACTATGATTTTTTGGGCCAGAATATTTCAGCACCACTCTGGGCAAGTTCTTCCCACGAAACTGAACCAGATCTGGCCCACAATAGGTTGGCCCGGAAATGCCATTGTCCTGGAACAGAAAATGTTCCGGATAGGCCAGCATGTTTCGTGCCCCGAACGGGCTTGATTTCGTTTCTAGAAATTGCACTGGGAAACTTTCTCTGTAATTAGGCCGCCCCTCTCGATTGATGCTTAATAAGAGTGATTGCCTTCTAAGTTACTGTTAATGCTTTGATGAGGAAAAATAATAAAAACTAGCCAGAAAAAAAAAATTACTGTACCACTAATGTGAAGCACCACTCACTAATACGCAGCCGCAGTCGGACACCAGATCGCATATTAAAATTGTGTACACAAATATTTGTAATACGTATAATAAAATTCTGTAATGTGTGAATTATGTACAAAGTTGCCGTGCAGCTTTGTGCGCGGTGTGTAGTCCATGATTAATACTGCAATCCATAACCATATTTCTCGATGGGAAGCAGAATCCCCATCTGCATGCGTAACGCCGTTGTATGGCTCCGATTATGTACGAGGATACTGCCCAGCAGGGGCCGCAACATAAGCGAGATCGGTGGTCTGCGTGGATGAACAGTCCAAAGTGAGCAGTAAGTTATTGGCCGTCGCGATCTGCCGTCTGGCGTAGTCCGGCAGTCCTGTTACGGCCGACATCGCCGTCAGGGCACTGCTGACCACCGACCGGACATCCACGGTGCATCCCGGACTGATGATAACGAAGACCATGGCGTTCTGCAGCTGCAGTTTGACAGTGTCTGGTACCGTGCTCAGAGCGACCGTTTGCACGAAGAGGGTCTGTAGGACGGTTAGAAGATTGGTATCCGATCCGTAATAGTCGGTGGGCAGTGCCGGTGGGTAGGGATTGTACGCCGTAGTACCGTTTTGTGGCAAAGCCACCGCATTGACCTGCCAAGTTGGGATAAGGCTGACAGAAGCGGATAGAGTGCTCGGCACGGACAGCTGTCGGCTGTCGAGGTAGGGTTGCTCAAGAGCTTGAGGAGCCGGCAAAGCGCTCGGAACAACTAACTGCCGATTTTCCATCTGAGATTCTTGGAAGGTATTTGGATTCATGATGTACTGGCCGGGTTGGTTACCTGAAATTTATTACCGCGTTGACCTTGTATTGTTACCTGTATTTGCATATAAGTAATAGTATCCCTGGGTTGTTATTTATCGCATTCATGTCTCTCAGAAAACCCGTTTTTAAAAAGGTTATTTCGAAACGGGTGGGCCACATTTCCCCGGGTCAGAGAATACTTAATTAAGCTTATGTCCAAGCTAAGCAGCAATCGCGCAAAGATTATCACAAAAATGAAATTATGTGGTTTTTCTCAAGCAATGTGAGACATTTATAATATTATTGTGCCGCCATAAGACGTCTATAGTAGTTACAGTAAATATTAAGTTGGCCATTTTAGCTTTTACAGTAGCATGTAAACTGTAAAGTACAGTAAATAAATTTACAGATACAAATAAAATAACCAACGAATTGCGTGAAGTACGTACGAATTATTCTTATCTAGACAAAAATAACACACATTTATGGTAGTGCATAGTACTGTACACATTCCGCTAATAACTCCCGCAGAAACAAGTGATAGCGCTTAAAAATTACGATTTGCATAGTTTTTAATTTGAAATATCGATTACTTGGGATAATGCATCCAAAAAGACATCTCTTGCTCCTGCTCACCATGACCTCTTTCAGACTCATGGCGTAAATGCTGGGAAAGGACGAAGTTGCGATCGCAAAGATCCAGAAGAATACGGGAAAGACCGACATTATCACTTTTTAATCACGATAGTGGAGGATTGTCAGTAAATCTCTAGACGCTCCCTGCAAAATGTCGTTGAGGGAATTACATACTGATTCCTAGAACAACTGATGAGCAAATGACTTAGTTCAATGCATAGACAGCTTATACATAATGCGCAATACCATATCAAATCAAATCACCTCGAGGTCACACGCGGATTATGTGGCTGATAATTATCATCGTTGTTAAACAAAAATGTATTCCTTTATGCGTTTTTAAGTAGTAACGTACCTACAACAGGAATGATAAAATGAGCTTCCGATACCCTTTCCAGGCCTTCCCCTTTATTGTATTGTTAGAAAAATCAAAGCCTTGCCGTGTGTATATGGAAATGTATAGTTACCCAAGGATTAAGCGTAATCGTAAACAAAACTGAATCCTAAACAAAACTGAACGGAGAAATGTGTGACTCAGTCAAAATGTGAAATTAGCTGAATGCCATGTACTCCAAAATGACTTAAAAAACTCATAATTTTGGATTTTCCGTCGAACTAGATCTGGCTCGCAAGCCTGGTGTGTATCTCTTATATCGAAAAGGAAGGCCGGCCTAAATATGTTTTACTTTCGCTTGACCGCTCTTTAGTCGATGTAGAGCATAAATTAAAGTTAAACCTCTTAAATTGTATTGTGTGAGGCCGACAGTTTTGTGTGCATTTTGTCACTTAACAACAGTTAATTAACCGTCTGAAAATCAGACGGCGTATTACGGGTTTCTTTGAGTAATAAACTAATACAAAGGATCGCGGGCCTAAGGAGCACTATGCCGGTGCGTAGTACTACTAATCTGCGATAATTTAATAGTGCGATATGCACATGAGCTTTACAATTATTTCAGTGCAGGTGGGCATCGAACGGCCTAAACCTGTAGAGGTATCTGAACTGTGGTTACCCCAACGACTGCTGCGAACAGGAAGCCTTGGGCGGTGAACAGTCCAGATTTGTGAAATTTAAAGCACTTTATACATAAATAACGTAAAAAGCGATCGGAATAATTATAACTTGCACGGTTAAAGCTACAATTACTATGAGTGTAAATCCTTATTCATCTCATCGTTGTCATTAATCAAACAATTTTCCGTTAGAATACAGAATATATTATCGAGTACATATTGTGTTTTAGTGCAGTACGTGTATTTGAGCAAAGAACATGCAATCAGAAGGCTTCGGACTTTTCAAAGAATGTCCTCTTATACGTACGTTCCAGTCAGTATAAAGTGACATGCTTTGATTTATTATTAACCACTTGCGATAATTTGTTAGAGTTCATTTTGAAGATGGCTTACGTACGGTTTTTCCAAATCACCCCTTCAGTCTTGCTCTCGCTTTACTACTCTGTAGCTGCATTTTTTGCAACTCAGTTATAGCGATGCTTTGTCATAAGAAAGATCCTAATTGTAATGCCTTCCTTTTTTTCCATTAACTTTAAGTATTTTTAATAATTTTGATGTCACCCAGTTTGTATTTTTTTAGCCAAATTTTTATTATAAAGATGGGCATTACCATCACTCCATAAGAGTAATGTTTGGTACATGACCGAGAAGCAGCCGCCAAACTCTGCTCTGCCTTCTAGTTCTTCTGTACAAACAAACTGTAGTGTGCGAATACTGCGAGGCCGATTTTACCCAATGGACGTGGGGCTTTTCTTCTAGATTTTCCAAAATGAATTGGAAATTTTCGCCAGCCCGTGTACTTATGCAGACTACACAAGGTCTGTGCATGCATACACAACTGCAAGTTTTTTGACGAATGTTCTAGCACCACATGTGTTTGGAAGGTAATTTTCTTCCCAGAGACTGCACCGGACGTTTGGTACGAGTATATAGGGTAGACGAATAAACCGTACGGTCATATCTGCAGGGAAAGTGGATCATTAATATTGTCGGTTTATGATAATTATTACAGTATTAAGTACTGTTAAAAGTCAAAATTTTTTTTTAGTGACCATGAATTTGCCCCGGATTGTTTGTTTAAAAGGGCTGATAAGTGATAACCTCTTTTGCTGCTGCTCGAAGGCGGAGCCCTTTCAAAGCCTCCTCCAAAGCGAAGGTGTACAGCGAAAGAGTCGGTACAAATTTACAAGATGTACTGCTCGTCCAAAAATCGGTGTTTACTGTTTTCGGGCTGCAGCTCTTGTACATGTCGCCTTGCCCGGTCTTTTTAAGATGTTTACAGGGAGATGTCCGCCGCCGGCACATCGCTGATGCAGAATGCCGAAGGTGGTAAAACGTACATGGTAACTGTATATATATGCACTTCCACCACCAACATTCGAAGAAACTATCGGTAACGCTAACCCGAAACGCAGTCCAGTGCAGTTGCAGTGCACAGATGTGTAGAATCACATATATATCTGTACGGGAAATTTTTTGAATGCATTATGATGCAACATGGCCAGGAGTAATTCTCACTGCGAGTACCATTATATGTTAATGTCCATAATTTTAGTTTGTTTACCCTGAGAATACGTATTTTTTTGTACCGTTTGGCTGATCACCACAAGTCTACATTAACTGTGTTGCGATCGGTGATCGGACAGATAACAGTAGCTTATCGTATAAATGGCCACGAAAAACACAAAAGGTTATTGCAAATTTTGCCGTAATTTTTGTGCTGAACTGATCGGTTACCTGAATGTTACTCAATTTTGCCAATAGTGAATTACGAACGAAGTCTTAATGCAAAGTAAGTACAGTATATTTAGAAAAAAGGTAAAGATCTAGAGCTTGCATGTCAAAAAGGGTACCATAATGCAGCCATATAACAAGATTAATATTATACGAGTATGAAACCTGCCCACATGAATTAACAAATTCAGCAAATAAGAGTAACCTCGCTAGCACTGATACACTGGTGAACTGGTGTTGCGTAAGCGCTAACGGCAGATTTTATAGAAACAGCAGGTTTGCAATTAAGGTTGCAATTCTCCCCTGCTCTGGGATCCGTGAACCTTCACTTTACATTTGTTTTCTTCACCTTACATTTCTCGGCTGCTTAATTAAGCTAATGTCAGTTATTCTCATGGCCGTATAACAGTCGCTGTCAGAGTCACTATAGTACGCAAAGTACTATACACTTCGTTTTGCGTCAAAACTGCGCAATGCAAACACTACGCAAAATACAATATTAGTCACATCACAATTCAGGCACTCCCGACTTATAACAATTTCAACGGATTGTCTAGTTTACCTAAATATTTTGCCAGCAAAATTTTAGGTAAAGGTTTCTGCTACACTTTACAAGCATCAACACCACCAAGCACCAGCAACTGGAATACACAAAAATCACAAAAAAAGGATTTAATTATATTATTGGCCATGTCATCCATAGATATTTAGGTACGGATTGTAGCTAGGAGCGGGCGCGGGCACCGGTGCCGGTGTGTAGGTGGGCAGGGGAGGAAGGTAGACCGGTGGGGCGGCGTAGTTGGAAGGCGGAGCCACGTAGTAGGAAGGTGCTGCAGTAGGCGGAGCGTAATAGACCGGCGCTGGCGTGGGTGGCGCGTAATACACCGGTGCCGGGGTGGGTGGAGCGTAGTACTGGTATGCTGGTGCCGGAGTTGGAGCGGCGTAGTTGGGGTTATAATTACTGGGCGTCGCCGGATTGTAGTTGTTCATGCCGTACGGATACTGGACATACACCGGGTAGGCGATGATTTGCGGGATGAGAATGTTGCTGGTATTCTTTACCGCTGCAATATTAGTTAATGTCATGTTTACCGGCTAACCTGACCAAAATACAGTAACTAGGTTTCAGTTTTTTTTTATCTCAAATTCATAAGTATACGCAGTCTTTATAAAGCATTTCTGTAAGCCAACACCGATACATTTGTAACCGGTGTTTTTGGTTCGAAAACGGGCTCTATGAAAAAAAAGTACGTACAGCTCGCAGTGGTCGTGGTTGTCGCTGCGACGGGTGACTTGTAGCAACACGTACCTAAAACGAAATAAAATTATGAAGTTCGTTAGCGTTGCCGGTGGAATAGCTAGCTGTAGCTAACAGAGACGTGAGACCGATATTAAACATATAAAAAGTATTTAATTTAAACTGTGCGTACACACGTAAATAAAGGTGATACTATTGTTCGCACCGGCTAGGTTTGAAGTGTTCAGGTAGTGGTTCAACGTAGCAAATCCACAAATACCAACGTTGGTCTGTGATGAATAGCCAATAGGACAGGCCGACGGTCCATCAGGAGCACATACGGTCAGGTAACCTTGTTTACACTGGATATCCAAAATGGTTTCACCAACAACAACTACCGTAGAAATACCAATTACACACATTCATGTACAAAGAGCCTTAATGCAGTTCGGGCCATGCAGTTATCCAAGGTGGATTTTTAAGCATAACTTATAATAATACACTGTATTCCAACATCACGTCAGCTGTATAAGAACATAGTTAATTAATAATGGTAACTTACATGGGAACAAACTCCGTTTGTTTCTTTTATCACTGGCTGGAAAAGAAACGAGAATGATGACGGTATTTAAACAGATATGCAGGATATGAGAGTCAAAAGCCCCATTTAATTAAAGGACGCCACATACGTTTGCTGCTTATTACAGATGCGGATTTCTGTACTTCACGCGGACTTAATCCTTGAGCGGTTAAAAACACAGCGAACGAAATCAAAGCGAATAAGGAGTACATCGCTGGTAACACTGTGGCGTCAAGTTAATCGTGACCTTTATGAATCTGCAGCTGTTCGGAATCCTGACGATGCGCTCAGCTCAAGAAAGAACGTTGCGATTATGAAATGCAAGCTGACAAATCTCGTGGCATTTCTTAAATTCAGTATTATATATCACCGTGTTTGTTAAAAAGTTCATGAAAATTTCATTGACTTCCGATGATTCAACGGAAGCGGAACATATTGTGCTCGCTAACCTGTCGTGTCCGTTACGTAGTAGGGCTCCGAACGTGCACTGGAAGGACACTGTTCGTTGGTGTACGGCATAATCGACTGCTTCGAATGTTAAAGCTAATAAATTACATGATTTTTGAAAGTTGGACATCGAACACAGTAACATCAAAGTTTAAAGATGCGCTACCTTAATTAGGGCAAGTTTATGTTTTCATTGACGTAATATATCATCTACAAGAACAGCAAAAAACAAACAGTAGCAAAACACCTTCAAGCTACCCTAGGATGTATAGAAGTACATATCTGTATATGCAGTCAGATTAATATGCAAGAAATACAGTACACTTCTGTTACATCAAGTCAGACAAAAACAAAATCAACACTGGATAGGGAATCGGGATACATAAAATGGAAAATCAATTAAGACCTGACCGTCAACGAAAAATGTTGCGACAAAGTGTGAAATAATAACATTTAAATGTATGGAATATTGTGGTTACATCCAGGTACGGTGATCCAGGTAAAAATTTACTGCATCCAGTGTAAAGTACTAACACCGTAACGGCAAGTAAGCAACCCTCGATCCGGTTATAATCAGATTCCGATTAATAAAATACCTACTACAAAAATTTCGAGTCGACTGCGATATGTGTTGTGAATCCAGAACTTGAATCACAGCGTTTAGCAAAACGTTCAGGGAGACAGCTTACCCGTTTCATACTTAATTAAAACAAGACACTAACAGTAAGTTAAAAATTGCTCAAAAAATAAGGAAAATCTCTTTTGTTCGAATTTTGTGAGTGCGTCTTTCCCCTGTACGAATAGCGAGCCACGTCTTTTAATGTTTGAATTCGGAACTTCTGGTGGTACGCGCTGCCTGGAACCGGAAACAACGGAAATGCGCCTGATGTCAATGATGAGGTACTCGTACATGTACTTACTGTACTTGCCATCAGCGCGTACCGCGGAGTGCACAGAGTGCATACACTAGAAATGGAATTCCACTACGTAGGGGCTGTGTAATTGGTATGGCTGTCCTCACATCACAGCGTAATCCAATTTCAAGGGGACGAGACGGAGAGAGACACACACCGCAACTTTTTAACAAGCGTAAATAAACGATCGTGTGGATTCCTCTACTTGAACCTGCCAAACGACCTCCGTTTCATGATGATCTTTTTTTCTTGCTATCTTTTTAGTAGCTTCTGCCGCTTAAAAATATGATCTTTTCCAATTTTATGACTAAGTTTATGATGGGCATTCGTGTGATTATCTGAAATTCTCGACCAAAGCCAAAGTGTAACTGCTGTTGCTGTTTATTACAGATTACTGCAGTCGCGAAGTTATGCTATATTTGATGATTTGAGTTGGAGCTGTTGAATGTTAGATGGTGTGTTTATCATGTTAGAGTTATTTAGTTTATTATGTGGTTTTCTTTTTCATTACGCTTCTCATCGTAATTTTGTTTGAAAGTGGATATTTTTTAGAACCATGGGATCGCGGCCTGATGGCTGATTTCGGGCCACCTGTTCCGTGAAACCACTGTGTTTGTTTATGCTGCTGATTGGCCTCGGGGCAGCATCATGTCGTTTCTCAGTAATTTCAAGAAGATCTTCCACATTAAAGGATTGGCTGAGGATAATAAAAAACCAGTACACAATAATATTATCCGCGATGTCGATCCTGAAGAAGTGTGGAATTTGGTGGGGGTTCTTGGAGATGGTGCATTTGGGAAAGTGTACAAGGTAATTAAACATATCATATGCTGTGAATTCTCTGTTGTGTAAGCAAAGGTTCTATGGAATGGTACAGATAACGTGGTGGTTTGCGTTCTTTTCCAGTTCATTTTCTTGCATTTTTTAATTTTACGGATATATTATTATTCGTGTCATCGTATGATCGTATTTGTTTTTCAGGCGGAAAACAAAACCACCAGAGCCCTCGCCGCGGCCAAAGTGTGCGAATTAAAGGATGAAGATGAGCTGGATGATTTCGTGACGGAAATCGATATTCTGAGCGCATGCAGGCATGATAACATCGTGGCTTTATACGAAGCCTTCTTTTTCGGCGGAAAGCTTTGGGTAAGCCGTGTTTGTAATTACTCAGCTATCGGAATTCGGTGATTATTAGGATGGATTTTGCTGATAAAACGTCGGCACTTCCTATACTGTGCAAACATTCAGCGTTCGTTGTTATGCTTTGTACAGTAAATCTGTTATGTTTACTCCGCCATGTATTACGGTTTCGGAAAAATTTCAATATTTGAGGCGCAGATAAAAGGCAAAGTTCAGGTTACGATTACAACTGTCTATCGATAGGTTTGCTTCATATGTTTTTGTAAATCAGATTCTTTTTTAACAACAAAGCCTAAACGAAATTTCCTTTAATTTCATGGGGTTGAGAAATTTAAATTAAAAGTGAAAATTTGCACGGAAGCGCATTTACAGTATTTTGTGTATATAGTTATCGTTTTTTTTTACTTGGTTTGTATAGTATGTTCAATGGCTCATGGTAATGATTGTTTCGAATGTGTAGACCCGCTTTGGTTTTAGCGTTTTTAACATAAAAATTGTAGATTAGAGTTATGGAAAAAGTTGCAAACGGAATTTGCAAATTGGGGGTCTGTTGAATAATGCGCGGTCTGAAAAGCCAACATGAGCGTTCGCACGTTCACTGTTTGCATTTCCGTTGCAGTTAACCTCTGCACGTGCATCGGAATATGTGGCTGTGAGAACCGTATTGTAATTAGAGACCGTATTGCAATTTGCAACCCTGTAATTATAATTGAATTTGGTGGATGTCTTAAGAACAGCTGTCTGCTTTTTTGGTTTTAATATTTCTTTCTTTTTCCAGATGCTGATCGAATTCTGCGGCGCAGGCGCCGTCGATCAGATCATGACGGAGCTAGAGAAACCCTTAACCGAGCCACAAATCCGTTTTGTCGCCCATGAAACCTGTGTGGCTCTGGAGTATCTGCATTCCAAGCATGTTATTCATCGTGATCTGAAAGCGGGCAACATTCTCCTGACAATGGAGGGCCAAGTTAAACTCGGTAAAGATAAACGGCGCAGAATTTATGACTGTATTTGTTTTGCCGGCCTGTATTTATCCGGTTATTTGCAGCTGACTTTGGGGTGTCTGCTAAAAACAAGCATACGGCACAGAAGAGGGATTCCTTTATCGGAACGCCGGTTAGTCAAGTGGTTGTTATTGTTAACATGCCAAAGTGAACTGCTGTTTTGCTTGTCTCTGAGGTGATTTTGCTCGATTTTGCCTCTAGTATTGGATGGCACCGGAAATTATGCGTTGTGAGACGTTTCGCGACATGCCGTATGATTACAAAGCGGATCTTTGGAGTTTCGGGATCACGCTGATTGAAATGGCCGAAATGGACCCGCCAAACCATGAGCTGAGTCCCATGCGGGTTCTCATTCGCATTCAGAAATCAGATCCGCCTAAATTGAAACACCAGGATAAGTGGTACGACATTCGGATTTTTTAAGAATTACACAATAAAATAATTTTAGATACTTCACCTTTTAATACGATAGCAGATAGAGAGTTTGATTATTTTATGATTTTTATGTTCAAACTAAACGACGAAGTAAATTGCAATTATTTTTATTCCAGTGGCGATTGCCTGTAACTTTTAATAATTTCAGATGTTGTTAAAAGTGGAGTATTAACATTTTCTTTGAATTTTTGTCGCACTTTCTGTATTGAGCAGAACGTCATGCAGTTTATAATTAGGTCTGGCGAATTCTCCGATATTTTGCGCTACTGTCTGGTCAAAGATCCGGAGCAGCGACCCACTGCCGCAGATGTTCTCCGGCATCCCTTTCTGGCCAAAGAGAAAAACAACGCCGGTGTACGGGCTTTGATTAGCGAGGCTAAGGCTGAAGTGGTGGAAGTTGAAGAGGTAAATTACTCTGCGGTCATTTATCAGATGCAGCGACGCTGGCATTGTTCGAAAGCTGTTGGCCTTTCTGCATACATATGCATAATGTAGTCGCCAGGTTATGAATTAGTTTAACGCGCACTTCTTTAAACAACCAAGAGATGCTGTCCAAACCGTCTGGTCTAGCTGAATGCTGGAGATGTTGTTCATTTTCGATGATCTCTGAAATTTGTTGATAGCCGTTTTATTGCTTATAGGTGTTTTAGGAGCAAATTTACGATGTAAAGCGTCATGCTGTACAGTAGAATTTTTTAACCCTTTGATTTAGCATTCTTTTCATGTTTTTCAGCAAGTAATTCCTGATGACGTTAACCCGATTGACACGACAGCGGTGGATGCCGTTGTCCAGCCTACTGAAAGTATTGTGGCAAATGGACTGGCTATTGCGGAGGAACCGGATCAGCCGGTTATCGCCACGGCTACCTATGCCGTTGTACTGAAAAAGAGCGACCGAGAACACCACAAGAAGCCCGCACCTCCTCGACCTACTGCGGAAGCGAAAACGCCGACGGAAACGAAAGTTTTCCCGGCAGAAAACATATACGAAGAAGTCGTGGAGAGGAAATCGCCAACGGAGAATACTGTGCTACCGTTGAACGTTGAGCCCCCACCAGCGGACCTGGTGGAAGAGTTAGTTAGAACGTCGCCCGACGAAACTGCTACGGTAATGGTTGATCTGCTCATTTTCCGGTTTGTCGTGTTTGCTTATGGCCATATTTGTATAGCCCGTAAACTTCAGCCCGGTGAACGAAAATCAGTCTTCCTTATCGGATGTGGTTGCTACGTCTTCCTCAGTTGAACACGTGCCTTCTGCTCCTTCCCCTCCCCTTCCCAGCAGTGAAACAATGGAGACGCACACTTTTGTTCGTCATGATGCGCCGGCGCAGGACATCGTATCGGTGCAGTGCGTGTCGGTAGCCAGTGACGGCGTTGTTGACGAATTACCGGTGACCCGAGCGGAATCCGCTGCGTCGGATGCTTTGCAGCAGGTTGTAGAGGCGGTCATTCCCCAGGAGGAGCATGTCACCCAGGTGGTGATTGCGTATGATCGAGATAATACACCTGCAGCGATAGTGGTCACTGGACATCGGCCAGCGGAAGAGGTTAGTCGCGCTTATTTTTTTTAAAGACGGAATTCACTTTAATGTTTAAATTTACATGGACTATTTCAGTTTATTTTTCTTTAGTGATTAATTTACTTTAGTTATTCACTACTGTGTTTTGGAATTCAAGAGGCATCTTACGTTTTAACTTGTACGAGTATGTTGAACGTTTTCCTTGTATTTTGAAGAGCGAAAACTAGTTACCTATTTCGCTCATAAATTCTTTATTAACTGGATCCGAGATTAGTCGTGCAAAGGTTTAGTCATGAAACTTGGGAAAATCAGATTTGTATGATTGCGCATTAATAGAATCTTTATCCGCATGTCTGTATTGCGCTGCTTGCTGAGGATAATCATCAAAGTAATGAGGGTTAGGTACCATCACTGTATGTGCTCATAACAAAAGCACGTAGTTCAAACTGCAAAGTACATGCTCATGTGTACGGCTTACGTTGACGATAGTCGTTGTTTGCTTTTCAGATGAACGGTTGGCTACATCCGGAAGATGAGCCGGAACTAGTTGAGTTGTCTCGACCAGGAGAGTTACTTACGGAGCAGCTGGCGCGGCACAACGAACACACCGGTGATCATCCCGATGAACTGATTCGAAATATGGACTCCGTTGAACCTCCCGTGATCACTCCGGACGATGTGGAGGTGGCGTTTACGAAAGCCGAATCGGCTGGGACATCGCCTGTTGTATTTAAGAGAGTAAGCACATTTCTTGCAGACTTATTCGGAAGAAATACAGCCGCCTGTGTTGAAGTTATGAACGTTGATTACAGTAGCCACCAGAGTCGAGTATAGTTTCAAACTTTCAGTGATATAAAATTAATTAGGCATGATTATCTTCAGAAGTTTTATACCAAATCCGTGAATGCAACGGGAAATTCAAGATTAAATATTTCGTATAACAGAAAACTAAAGAATTAACTTAAACAGCTTAAACATAATTGTTCAAAGATACCTTGTTTCGTCGATCCTGAATGCTGTGTCTTTCGTCTTCTATACAGGAAAGTGTGATAATTAGTTAGAGCAGGAAATGACATTCAGTGCGCCTGATTGACCACGTTTGTGCTTTATAGTGAAAACTTCTGTTTTCTGTGTCATTTAGTGCGGGAAAACTGCGTTGATTGAAGTGTGTAATATTATAATTCTCTTTCTTAATCACGCCTTTCCTTTCATTCGTTATGTTGATGGTAATTTTTAACACATTTTCGGACAGAAAGTGAATAGCAGGCGGTCCCACTCGTTTGTTTGCTTTTGTGACCGTTCTAATGCGGCTATCGTACGCTTTACTCACGCTGCTCTTGTCAAAATCCGTTCGCAGTTTTACCGTATCTCCTATCAAATATGGAAGAATCTTTATAACCGTTTTTACTAATATTTGAGAAAGTCGGCTGATAATTTTTACTGGAAAAGGAATAACAGTTCTACGCTCTGCACTGTTTCTTGCGTTATGACGGTTCAAGTACCTGTTTATGGGTGAGTGTTGACGGTAAGAGAGAGAATGAAGAGAGAAAGAGAGATTGGTAATGGTTGAATTAACTCGGTCAGGTGGACAATTATATAGCCGCCATGTGAAATGTATTACGGGTACGTAATGATAGTGCCGCACATTTTTGCAGCCGATCAGTCCTGCAGAACCGGCTGGTGTGATTCGCGGGGAAAGTGGTGATGCTGCGGTACAGCAGCAGCAACAGTCGCCGCCGTTGACGCGAGCCGATCAGTGTGTTGAGCATGTGGATGTTGTGGTGATGGACAAGAGTTCAGCATCATCTCCCATTGTTAATGGAGCCTTCGTCCAGCCGACACTCCGGGCTGGGGTGATTCGGCGGGAGAATCGGCCTTCGCCGTCTTCCAGTAATGCCAGCAGCGAGCGTGGTCACAGTCTGAATATTTCCGATCGGGAAACAGTGTCGGTGGTCAGCTCATCACCGGTGCCGTTTGATGATGGACCGTCGTCACAGGTATGCCATGATGGCCGAAAGTTAAGCCTTTATTCTAAATTAGGTTTTTTTAAATCTTCAAATTTTTTTACATTCGTTTGACATATTCGGTTTGGTGTGGCATCAGATCCCGTTGCAAGTGAAATGACTTCTTTGTCTGTGTTATCAAGGTGCTTTGGATAATATCGGAATAATATCGAACTGAACAGTAATATTACCGTAGTACGTGGTCACCATGATCACCTAACATTCAACGATGCTGCCTTTGACTACATATGTAAAAACTGACATGAATGATAACTGAAAATGATAAGATCAATATTTGCAACGCTCGGTTGGTTTTTCTAATGCAGTGGCAGTTTATCTTGATCCGCGTGGGTGTTAATAATTTTGTTCGCTTTAAGCGTTGGTCTGATTCGAAACTAGAGCATAATTTCTCATAAATGTCGCGTTAATGCCGATGAATACCGCATTAAGACGGCTGTCATTTTGCTTCATTGATAAAATTGTTCAGGATTGTGATCTATTTGAAAGCGGTAATTGTTTCTGCAAAAGTTGAGTGACAGTCTTGAAGATTAAGAATTAATTACGGAAAAGCAGAGTAGTGTTGTAAGTACATCTCCAGTGCTGTAAAACATTTGTGAAAAATCACTGCTGCAGGATAACATCAACTATGTGGATCCGAGTGAGACGAGCAGTGTAGCCACGGAGGACAGTTTTAGTGATAAGGAGAACAAAGCGCGCAAGGTTGTCAATGAGCCGGCTGTTGTTATGCGGCGGAAACGGCAGGGCGAAGCCAGCGCGGAGAATCAGCGTCAGCGACGCACACTCAAGAAGACCCGTAAATTCGTCATTGATGGCGTCGTGGTTACGACAACGTCCACCAAAGTGATTGATCCCAATGAGGAAAACCGCCATAAAGAAGATCTGCAACTACGGTAAGTTCCGCGACAAGTATCAGTTGACATTAAACCTATTTTCCTTGTTAAGATTTTCATAAAAATAAGTAGTTATTAGAGGCAGGTTGTGATTGGAATGCTTGTCTATATCACAGGAAAGAAGAATTACGCGAATTGAAATTATTACAAAAGCAAGAAATGAAGGCTTTCCAAGATTTGGCCACGAAGGCACAAAATACCAAAGAACAGCAGGAGAGACGCTTTGAGGCTGATATTCAGGTACGATAATGAATTCTTTCGTTATTTTTCAAAGGCTTAAATTTATTCTACCTACGAATGCTTTTTTCTTTTTATGAACGGTGGTATTTCTTTGTGAAATTTCTCTTGTCTTGGCTTTTGTTTAAAAATTTACTCATTGCGTTATCCTCTGCATTAGTAACTACAGTAGAAATATGTTTTTTAAATTGATTAAGCGGGATATTGTAACTGAAGGTTGCGTTAATGGTGTGAAAGTTTTGTCGCCTCGATATGAACTACCGGTAACCGTGAAATCGGTGGCGCTTTATTGTCCACTAATTAGTAGCTGCACCGTTGCAGGTATTGATTCGTAATTACGAGAACGACCTCGACCAACTTCTGAAGCAACAAAAGCAGCGATTGGAACGTGAAGAACAACTGCAGGACGCTGATCTACGAGCGGCAACAAAAAAACTCAGCGCTGATCATGTCAGTAGCACTTCTCGATTATTTGATAATCGTTTGGCAAATCATACTATGCATATGACAAATATTTTGTAACTAATGTACATCTTGTGAATTTAGGAAAAGGAGCTCAAAGCGTTCAGAGAAGCACTAAAACAAGAGCAAAAGCTACTGAAACACGAGTGCGAAGTGAATATACCGAAAGCTGAACGGAAAGAAGTTTATAAAGCGCGAAAAGAGAAGCTTGATCAGGAGCAGACGGCCAAGGTCAGTACTACCATGTTTTCATGATATTATCCTGGTTCACAACGAGTTTCCCGGCTTTGAATATACTGCGGTGTTTCCTTTTTTTGTTACGTACAAGTTGAGCTAAAGCTTGTGTGCTGGACTTTAACCGCTTAGTATGCTCGTATTTCATTTTCTGGATGGGCGTGCATATTAATTTGCGACACTTGTATCGAACTGTTGTGCTTTTGGATCAGATTTGTTTCACCAAGGAGCTTTAAAGATGCTGTTAATTTATGTCACTGTACTACTTCGTGATTATAAATTTGGTTTATTAACACTGCTTGAACAGAATATGAATTACTGTAGTTGTATTTGTCGGGCGCAGTGACTTGCTCTGATATCATCTGGTAGTTGTTCTGTAGTCAAAGTTTGGTAAACTCTGCATTTGGTCTTGCGGTTAATGAATTTCTAATTTTTTTTTCCCGATGTTAGTGACGGCAAATTGGGCAAAATTTACCTGGGTTTCATTTCAGGAAGAGCATTTTATATCATCGCTGAATGACGCCATGACGCATATGATTGGACGCATGAAGGAACAGTATCATGAGAAGATTGCCATGATGGAGAAACAGTTTTTGCAGCAAAAGCAGCAGTTAATACGTTCCCGTGAAGCAGACATCTGGGAGCGCGAGGAGCGTCATTACATGGAACGGCATCAGTTGGCCAAACGCCAGATGAAGGATATATTCTTCCTTCAGCGTTGTCAAGTGGGTGATCCCGGCATCTTTTTATTTTGTGAACTTATAACTACGAATTAATATGACCATTGTGTTCTGTGTAGATGCTGCTGCGGTTTGAGAAAGAGCGGGACCAAATTAAAAGGATCAACGAAATGCGCGAACAAGAACTGGTTAAACAGTTGACGGCTGAAAAGAAGTTGCTGCCGAAGCGGATTCGAAATGAGATGAAAACGAGGGAACTCATGTACAGGGAAAGCTTACGCATAACGCACATATCGGCTGATCAGGAGAAGGAGAAAGTCCGATGGGTAAGTGCGCCTTTACGTCTTTGTTAATTATTAAAGTAATTTTATTTTCGTGATAAATTTTCCGCGATGTATCATAATCCAGTCCTTCGCTTTTTTCATATGTTTTTGCGTTCTTATAACAGCTTTAACTTTTTATATTTGCGGCCCTTGCGTTAGTGAGTTTATGATTTTGCTGAAATTTTTTTTGACTTATTAATTTACTTCGCCAGTTGATAGTCACCGAGCAGCTGATCACTGAAACAGTCTATATGTATTGGTTAGGTACTGCATTTCCTGTTGCTTATTACTGAGTTATTTGTACAACCACTAAACTGGTAAAAAATGGCATGATTATTATTTTTATATCAGGGGGTTATTGGTTACAGTTAGCTGGTAATGATTAGATGATACTTCTTGGAAAATCGATTAATGTGGTATTTTTTGACACTTTTATTCAATTCAATGTATGCCATACCACACGAAACAACCGTTCTCTAGCTGTGACTATTATTTTTTCTGGAAATAATTTACTCGTAGTTGTACTTGTTTTTCACCGTGTTGCAAAAACTTAAACACTGGTTCATGGCATTGTAGTTTCAAGAGCAAGAAAAGAAGCGCTACAAAGCGGAACAAGTACGGCAGGAGCAGAAGCATTCCAACCGCGTTGAAGAGCTGCGCGCGGCTGCCGAAGCGAATCTGCGGGAATTAGAACAGATCCAAGTACGTTGCTGTTGTTAATGTTCGATGTTCCATTGTCGGTATCGCATCACGCCATTGACGGTCATGATTTGATTCTTTTGCGTGGTTGTTGAGCAGAACGAAAAACGGAAAGTCCTCATGGATACAGAAAATGTTAAACTGAGGGCGCTCGAAGTGGACCATTCCGAGAGCCTGCAACGGTGGAAAAACGATTTAATACTCCGGAAGCAGGTAAGCGCAGGCCGTATTTTTTTAAACTAATTTTTCATTATTCTGTACTCGTAGTGGAAGTTTTGGACCTTTTTAAAATATAAATTTTGCATTCGTTGTATTTTATATGCTTGTAATATTTTGCTTACGTATTTTTAATAAATCATTGGTTGTCGGCCAAAGCTGAGCTTTGAAAGCTCAGTTTAACGTATGTGGTTGTAATGAATCGTATTAATTTTATGATTTATTTATGAACGAATATCCATACTCGGTGTACAAATTGAAAGCTGTCCTTTTAAATCCGGGAAAAAAGTGACTCACTAAGTAAATAACTAAGTGGAAAAAGTGAATGACTACTTTATTAACCATTTTTTATCTGTCTAAATTACTGCTTTGATCGAGGTCCAAAGACGTATAAGTTTAACTGGCGATTTGATTTTGGGCAGTAATCTGCTCAGCAGCAATTTTTTATTGGCAGTGATTTTGCTGTGTGCGAGCGTCTGATTAAAATGCGTCTGAAATCTGTAGAAACTAGAAGAAGACTTCGTAAAGCAAGCGGAAGAGCGTGAGCGCTTCTACAGCACGACCTTCCTGCGCAACGGCGACGGTGATTATGGTAATTCTCCTACTGAAAGCTCAACGGATGTCGACTCAGCCGAGATATCGTCCTCGTATTCCCGTTCAAGTAGAACGTGATCCATGGAGGATGCAAACGATTTTCCCCGTGACATGGCAGGATTTCCTTGTTTGATCGCGACACATGGTAGCTGTCGGTGTTTTTTTATCTTTTTTATTCTTCTGGTGGTATTAATGTTGTCCACTGCGTTTCTGGCAATATTTGGTTAATTCATTTTAGGCACGCATTCCCGTGCGGTGTCTCTGCTGTCTTCCGGCCGCGCATGCTGCATGTTGTGCTTCTTTAATGTGTAGATATACTGTACCTAGGCGGACGTTTTTACAAGATGATTTAACGGGCGTTTGTGTGGAGTGGTTTCCTTATTGTTGTTTTTGCTGGTGCGCGTTAATTCTGGTGATAAAGTGCATTCATTGGTGGAGATAGGCTACTTACTTGATACGATTCAGAAACAGATTCGTTGTATGACTTGTGTACGGATTACGTACTCGCACACAGCAAAAGAAATTGAAAATGGAAATAACGCGCATGGTAGCTTTGGAGCACAGTCACACTAACAAATTAACTTTAAAAGCTAAATTAAAACCAAGCAATTCGCCACTCAAAATGAGATCAGAAAAATGATCGGCTCAAAAAGAGGCAATAATTTCAGGGGCGTGCGGTGTGCGCTAAGCAATCTGAGTGATTTAAGAAAAGTGATTAAAAAGTTGGCGCAGATAAACCTGTAATCGCTCGAATTTTTGATCGGTGTGATGCCAACCATTTAAAAAAATTCGCGAATTTCTTTAAAAAGAAGCTCTTAATCGGTAGTGATTAAAAAGTAAGAACATTCAATAGGAGGTGGCTTGAAATCGGCCAATAGTAGCGCTTTGAGTCTCACATAGCGCTTTTGGTGTTTTAAATAGCGCAGCTTTATGTAAAAAGTTGCTTTCTAGTTTCTTGATATTGTTGGATTTTCTGTAACTCGACAAAGCACGAACCTTTAAATTTGCACATTGTTGTCTTTTAGTCAGATCTTTAGTCGCTGAATTTACGGAATTAGTTGTTGCGGACTGTTGCACGGATTGGATCTTGTGATCAGCGAAAATGGTGAGAGCCGAGCTGGGTACGATTACCAAGCACAACCTGAAGATGGTGAAGCGCTTGAACCAGGTGATTTTTCCGGTTTCCTACAATGATCAGTTCTACAATGATCTTCTGAAAGCCGGTGATTTGGCCAAAATAGCCTTCTTTAATGATTTGGCGGTGGGCGCCGTGTGTTGTCGCGTGGATATCTCGCCTCCCCCGAATACCACAGCAGCGCCCGATGCTGCAGCAGCAGCCAATGGTACCTCCAGTTCCTCGCAAAATCCACCTCAGCCCGTCGTATTGGCGCCTGGACGGCGTTTGTACATCATGACTTTAGGTAAGGCCGGATTTTTTATTATGAAAGAATTTAATTAAGCAGTCAGAATTTTCGTAGTTCAAGAACTGGAAAGCGAGTAAGACCAGTGTTATGTAATAAGTAATTCGAGTGCAGCGAACTGGAATGGAGGTAGAAACTGGAAAGAGCGAACGATTTAACATAATGTGTGCGTTTTCCGTTTGTCTGGTGTTGCTTCGATAACACACATGATCATATGTTCATTAATTTTGGTTTTTAACGTTATGAATTCATATGGTAGCTATGTTGATTACTATTAATAATCAGTAATGCTTGGAGTTTGCAGTATGCTGGGGCTTATTAGGCTGCTTAGCTCGGTTTGGTTTCTTTGTTTTTCTTTAAAATGTGAAGAAGTTATCCCTGAATTTTGTGTGGAATTACTAAATATGCAATACATATCTTAAATTTGTTGATTTTAAAAGTTTCGTTGTATTTTTTCGGATAGAAAATTCAGTATTTTGGCCTGTGCTGATTTACTGTTGATTTTGAGTTTCATTTTGTCAAGTTCAGGATTTCGATTGAGTTGTTGCTCTCTCATTTCACTGTGTTTGATTAGTGTGTTCAACTAGACATCCTGCTATGTACCTGGTTCAGCACTTGGTTAGCTAGAAATTAAGCACGAAACGAACTGCGTAATTTGGGGGCTATATACGTGTCAGGTTTAAGGCAAAGTTTCAAACAAGTTACGTACAAGCTTAAATTGCTGCTTAATGCACATTTTATGAATTTACAGTTATTACTTAATTTTACGGTTTTTATTGCGTGAAAGTGCATACGAGTACAGTACAACCGCGTTCTCTCCACAGATTTACTCTCTGTAAACTGCAGTTCAGTTTTGAGGGATAAAAATGAAAGGTTTAATGGAAGATTTGATTGTTTGAATGAAGACTTCCTGAAGGCTCAAGTTGGTTGAGTGCAACATACTTACGGTGCACTACATCATCATTGCGCAATAAAATAAAATTCTACACGGGCCAGTTTTCTGGCAGTACAGTACTTTAGCAGCAACGTACACGCGTGCGGTGGACCATGCCACACGCGACTGACTTCCCGATCTTCAAAAATTCGTAACTTCGTTAATTTTCGCTCTGAATTTTTGTACATACTACATAAGCTTGAAAAACTCAGAATAATAAGTAAGTACTATTAGCCAGAACAAGTGTTTTTTCGCTTTTCTTCTATGGTAACGCACTGTGCGCCTGTGCTGTTAGCATAGCTGTCTATGGAGGACTCATTTAAGGTTTCGAATAGGCGGCTATGCTAACCACGTACGCGCACAGTGCGTAACCATAGAACAAAAGCGAAAAAACATTTATTCTTCCTAATAGTACTTCTTATTCTGTGTTTTTCAAGCTTATGTACAAAAATTTAGAGCGAAAATTAACGAAGTTACGAATTTTTGAAGATCGGGAAGTCAGCCGCGTGTGGCATGGGCCACCGAACGCGTACGTTGCTGCTAAAGTACTGCCAGAAAACTGCTACAGGCTCAGAAATTTTATTGCGCAATGATGATGTAGTGCACCGTCAGAATGTTGCACTCGTTGGTTATTTAAGTACAGTACTGTAATTTGTGCGAAGTGGAAACAGGAAACTGCACAGTTTACAGATAAAGTATAGTAGCTGCCTGCTTTAGCGGTCTGATCAGTTTTAAAGTTACGGTGCTTCCTCGGGTGGGTACTGTCGGTCGTCTTTGTTGATAAATGTAAGCACGCACCTTCTCGAATTCTGGAAACAAATTTGGTTTTGGAATTTTTAATTTTAAACAATTTTTTTGAGAGAAATATAGGTCGGTCGCGCCAAGTGTGGACAGTAGCAAAAAATTCCCAGCTGCTACCGTTGAACCCCGAAATGCTATCGTTATTTTCATATGATAGTGCTTTATCTACAGCAACTTTTTTAGTCATATTTCTGCATTAGAAGTAAGGAGGACAAATCCACGGGCGCGAGCCCGTGGAAAGGATTTGGAAAGGAAATTGCCATGGAATTCCATGGAATCCGTGGATTTACGGAAATCCAAACGGATTTCCGTAAATCCAAGGATTTCGTAGTTTTCGTTGGAATACCGTTATTTAACTACATACTTACATAACTATGAAGAAAAAATCATTTCAATTAACTTCAACTGTTAAATTACTGCGCATTCGTCGTTAGAAACTTCATTTAAACTTAAATACTCCAAACATATTAAAAAAACACGAATGGAACTGCTTATTATCAACCAAGGCAGTATTAACGTAAGTATGTTCTATAGTATAGTACCGGTACGGATACTAGTACTGTCAGCCATGCAGTGGGCATGCATACGCAAGTTAAAAAAAGCGAAAAGCAACACAAAAGCTCGGAAGATTGTCATTCTTTCCAAGAAGATGACTTTGATTTTGTCATGTTTTAGTCACTTTAAATAAAATTTCAAGTATACGGTTACATATTTCCGTTACCGGTACTTACACTTTTCCCACCCCAAGCGGCGATACGCGAATACCTGCTGATCGCACAAGGTGTTTTTTTTTATTTTGTTTTTCCACTATTCTGTACTCATAAAATTCTTTATGGATTTAAGATCATGCTTCGAAATATATTAGCGAAGCTTATACTACGAACACTAATCTAGAAATTTTAACACCAGGTGACCAAATTATGAGAACTTTTTGAAGAAAAACATTGTCCTCTGTCGGACCGATCAAGAAGACTTCTGCCCCTGGTATATTTAATATTGGACAATACAAACGAAATAAAATAAAAACGTTAATGTTGTCGGCGAATACAAGCGTAATAAAATGAAAACGGTAACGTTGTCGGCGAATATACTGGCGAATACGCTGTTTTTTAAATAAATCGGATGCTACCGGAAGACAAGGTAATGTAAAATTTGTAGCCACCTGTCGAAAACATTAAAACTTTTTTTGTTTTTATTGTTTTCCTCTGACATTTCCATGCGCTTGGAATTCCAAATACAGGAAATCTGGAATTCCAAGCAAAAATTGGAATTCCACGGATTTCCACAATTCCAATTTCCAAATCCGAGCCGCCCGCGTGGAGCGCGGATTTGGAAACTGGATTCCATCCGTGGAATTCCGTTTTTCCTTGGACGGTCGTTCCTTAATTAGAAGCTAATATGCAGGGATCGGGAGCCGAATTTTAACTTCCAATTTTCTCACAAAAATCACACTGCTTAATAAGAAATATTCATGATCAAAGAATAAGAAATAATCTTTTAAAAATTGTGAGTGGTTGGGAACTGCCAACAAATGAAGTGGTCTTACAAAGGTACTTTTCTACCTTCCTTGCTGACATCTTACCCAACGCGAACCGCGCTCCAGGCAACCCCATTTTTTTGAAGGTGGCTTTTAAGATACAGGTCTATGGGCGATACATCTTTTTTCGAAATTTCCAAGTGCACGGATAGCGCAAGATTCTTTTGCTTACCCACAGAGAACACCTTTTGGGTCACTCAATAGTTTTTAAAAAAGTCTTTACAAAAAGATTACCTCTTGAATTTTTAGAAGGGCAGTTATAAACACCCGAAAAACGCCCGCTACCCTCCTTCCTTAAGCTCCACCCCGCCCCCTACGAAGCACGTTAGAAGATTCCGGTTTTATTATTATTTTGTCCGCATGAAAAGTTGCACAAGAACAGTGCAAAGTTAATGTTAAAACTACTTACAGAAATATACTAAGTTTATTTTGTGCAACTGTCCACACTTGGCGCGACCGACCTGTACATGGCACGTTTAGTATTCAGTATTTGTCCTCATTTAAAAACTATATTCGTTGCCGTAAGTTTATAATTTGGCTGTAACACAAAAGCAAGTGTTGGCGCTTAAAGTGATAGACGCTGCACTACCATTGTTGTCGAAATGACAGATTTGATAATTTCAGTACTACAAAATAACTAGAAAATTATAATTTAATACAGTAGAATAATTACACGAATACGACTGTCAATATCTGACCTGCACCAGATAGGCCAAATACAGTTTTTTGTTCTTTACAGCTGTGGTAATGCAGTGCAGCGTTATATATACGTACAATGTGCCGTACCTCTTATTATATTTAGCTATTAATTGATTTGTGTTTCGAACAGGATGTTTGGCTCCTTACCGGCGGCAAAAAATCGGCACCCTCCTTTTGCAGCACGTGTTGGCGGTGTGCGCCCGCGAAGGATTCTCCTCGGTGACACTCCACGTACAGATTAACAACGATGCCGCCCTGCAGTTTTACAAGAAATTCGGCTTCGAAGTGGTGGGCATTTCGGAGCATTACTACAAACGTATTGAGCCGGCCGATGCATATTTACTGGAAAAGAAACTCGGCACTCCGTCCGTCAATGGCCACGCGGGTAAAGCGCACGATTAGACGGCGCTGGCGGTAGTACGCGCTCGTGCTCCAAAGACGGATTAGTTTTTGTATGTTTGATTACTAATTAGTTCGGTTTGTTTGTTCTTGCGGAATATCCAGTCAGAATGGTTGTGAGAGATTTGATGGGAAAATGAGCTAGTATAGCTGATCTTGTTAAGACATGACTTTGATAGAAATTTTGGTTTTGCGCACGAGAGATTTCTTTCAAGTAAAACAAACAGACGAACTGCTGGCTTAAGGTTTTTACTGCAGTGGATTACTGTAAATCCAAGAAACTTTTCCCGTAGCGAAAACAACTGACATACTGCTCACCACTTCCGTTACAGCTTCCCTCAACGTGGGAATCGTTTCTTTCATTCCCGAAATCAAACATAATTTTTGCGAATCTTTGCAGTTAGTTTTGATAATTTATAAGGAAATAGTCATAATAGTCATGATTATTAATAATTGTAAAATAATTACTGTTAGTAGACCCCGCGGAAATTGCGCGGAAATAAACCACAAAAAATTACCAAACTGTATTTAGGTGCGTGATTTAAGGATTTAAAGATTCGACTTTGAAGATAAACATAGCACATTAATTTTGATTAAATGCTATACTCCTACTGTTAAAATTGAACTGTCAGTAGTAAGTAATAAGTATTGTACGTTCACACTTCATATGTACAGTACAGTTGAATACCATAATAATATCATTAATTTTATTGGATATTAATATGGCACAAAGCACAAAGGATATTAATATGGCACAAAGCACGGCTGGCACAAAGCTGCACTACGGGATAGCACCGAATCACCGATCCTACATTACCGTATATTGTGCAGAAGAAAAGAAGAAAACAACCATAAAATTATAAAGTCAACCATACAGCAGAATTTTATTTTTATGCCAAAAACGTGTGCTTTGAATGCCTTTGGTATTACTAGTATTAGCGTTAAAATTCAGTTTTCGATTAACTTACAACTCCTTGTCAGCTTTCAGCCCGTAATTACATTCGTCACAGCTAGCGAAAACGTACATGGTTTTCGTTGTATTAATTTGCCTGCTGCTGTTTATTACGAAATTAATTACTCAGTCAGCACTGAATCAAGTGATACCAACTTTGAATTTTAACTTTTAATCCTTGAGCGCAAGTGTATACTAGCTAGATACTATATCTTGATTCATGAATAATTTGTCGTCCATGCCGGACACTGAAAAAATATTGCACACGTACAGCTTTAGTACAGTTATTTTTTTAAACTTTACGTCGTGTAATAACGTAAAACGCATATGTTTTCTCAAATCAAATGATTTTATAGAGATAGACCGAATCGGAATAGTATGCAGACCTTGAAGATTGATCCAGTCATTTCCAGTGTAATGAGTACTTCTGAGTACTTCTATACCGTTTGGGATGGATGCGCAGACACGATGCCCACACCTCCTCTTGTTCTTTTATTATAAAGAATAGCCCTGTAAATCCAGTTAAACTCCAAAATAAGTCAAAATCAACAATTTGTACGCAAAGCAGTTCCGGTATAGAGCTGCATTTATGTATATATGCAAACTGCAACCGCGCATAGCAGGTAATCAACCGAGAAGAAATCTATCGTAAAAATGTGGCTGCAAAAATAATTCATTTATCTTAAACGTGAGCGTATCCCTAAATTTATCGGTAATCCATCTTTCAGAATATCCAGCGAAGCAGTGATCTATTAATTTCAATTAACTTCGATCACTGCGAAGCCATAAATCCATGCAGTGAGCTACATATACAACATTCAGCAGTGCACGACTTATATCCGCTCGGCGAGCGTCCAATATCCTTTGGCTTTAACCGTCTTTGACACTTCCGGTGGTGTGCTCCGTCAAGGTACGTGGTCGTGGACTGGCCGCTAGGCGAGTTGACTTTGATCTCGTTTCGGTAAAGTTGTGCGGAAAATCCGTCGGGGCAATTATCACCGGGCCAACCGACGCCCGCTTGGTGGGCCACAATCGCAGGCGCTTTAATAGACTGCGTATAGCGTAGCGTAAATCGGGATTAACTGGGAGATAGGCCAAATAGCTGCACGTAACTCCTAAAATGGAAAATTTGCTTGAGGCCTTAGCAGTCGGCACGGCCCGTATGTCAGGTAAGACGCACGTAACAATGTGCAATTTCTGCTGAAATTATAAGGCACGATTTATTGGATCTATTAAATATTGTATTAAGTTATTAACCATCTACAGAGTAGCTTCAGTGCACGTTATTTATAGACCTACAGCATGTTCGTGCACAGAGAACTTGTTCGTTGCAATTACCGTTAAAAATACAAATTATTGATTCTTTCATAATAAAATATAATTTAAATTGAAAGCTTTCGTACCATTTCCTAAATTATGTAGTCAGACTCATGGGAGCGTTATAGTTCGGTAAAGCTAGCTAATTTGATATGCAGGTGGAGCTGTTATAATCCTGTTTTCCGCAGTCAATAACATTCATTCTGCCCTATACGAGGAAACTTAATCTCACCCATACAGCTAAATATCTGCACAAATACAAATACGTAATCCAAATCTACAAGAAAATGAGCGGTTAGCTGACCCTTTTGAGGAAATAATAAAATGCACGATGAAAACCATCAGTATGGTTTTGACATTCTTGTTTTATTCAACAGTTTTAATAGTTAACTCCCTTAACGAAAAGCCGCATGGTTCTTGAGCCCGTTGTTGACAATTTGTTTCTGTTGTCCGCTACTATCCGGTGGCTGCCACGTGCCGCAGTAGCAGTCCCATGATGTTTTGCATGTATGACGTATATCTATTGTTTCTATGACCGCCTCGATAATCCGGATTAAACTCGACCTCTGCGCCAACTTCTTGAGCATCCCATAAGCTTCCCTTTTTGCTTTTATCTTCTTATGTCCGCCTACGCGCGCTAATGCATTCCGCGGTTATCTAACTGTGATCTATCTAGATCTATCACCTGACGTATCGCGCGTGCATATATTATTTTCCATTTATTGAAGTATTTTACGCATTCATATACTGTATTGTTAAAAAAATTGATTAGTACAATCTTACTGTGATAATATTATAGAAGTAGTAATGAAGTTTGGTGACTGATAGTCTGATACGCAAAACTTTTAATGCGTATTCGGTAATAGCATCTTGCCGGCCGGCAGCAGTAACGGCAGCCCGAGTGCACCGCAGAAAATTGCTCCAGAAACTGTCAAACCAATCGAGCATACGGAGTCGCCCTGGAGCAATCCGGCAGTATAGTGCTTGGATGACGCTTCCAGAAGTAATAACTAGTTAAAAAGTTTTTTTACCAGGTTTAGTCACTGTATTGTTTTACCACTTTGGTGTAATCTCTGTTTACTATTGCTAACTGTTAACATGCCCGAAGTCGCACAAACCTACTCTAGTTTATTCTTTTACTTCTGCTGATGACGTACTGCGCTTGCTTAGCTGTTGATGTATGTTATTGTTATGCCCTTTTCCAGTTGCTAGATTGAATTGTATTCAGTCTTTAACTAAACAACTTTAACTTCACTTTAACATAAAATCTTTAGTTAACAAGTAAAGACATACAGTTCATGGTGTTACATTGGTGTAATACTTAGGTATACAACTGCTGAGTAGGCGATGGCGACGGTAAGGTCATCAGCAAAGTGTTGCTCTTGCAGTATCAGTGCTAAACTGTCTACATGTGCAGTAGCGGTACTGTACTGTACAATACACATATTTATATTCATCATAACGCATGCATGTATCCGGTATCTTACGATTAAATTGCAATGAGTACAGTACAGTGCGAGTGTGTAGTACTGTACAATACACATATTTATATTCATCATAACGCATGCATGTATCCGGTATCTTACGATTAAATTGCAATGAGTACAGTACAGTGCGAGTGTGTAGTACTGTACAATACTTCCAGACGTGGAAATTGTTCATGTTAACAACGCAGTTTCGTTGCGCTGCAGGCGGTTGGAGGCGGATGCTGCTTTTTCTGGAGGATCTTTTGTGATATTGTAGGAGTAGACTTATATAGGGAAGGATTGTTAAAAAGGCAAGTTATTGATTTCCGTACATTTTATCGCTTTGGCATAATCAGTGTAAATGTAAATGTTGCTGAATTAAGTGCAGCTACAGTATTTCCCATTATTTACTATTTCTGTACTTTACCACCAGAAGTAACAGCGATCCCTGCGATACTTTTTCATGCTTGTTTCTAGCTACTTTCTCTGGCAGTGCAACAGCATGTTCAAGTACAGTACTGGAAGGAAGGCAACGTTCACTTAATTATAACGTGCGGTTGTTGTGACCAAAATTTATAACAGTTTAGCAATAACGTATTGGAAGGAATTTGAAAAGGATCAGAAAATGGATATTTCTGCGCAGGTCAATAAATGCTATACATATATTTAGACCAAAATTCATTACTGTAATGGTGAAGACTGGTTATATGATTTTCAGATAGCTGCTAATTACGTAGTTTCCTTACCGAATAAAGATTCTTTTGAGCCGACCATGAATTGTAAAGAAGATAACACAGGTACATGGGATAAGAAAGGATAATACTATATTAATAGAAAGTTGGTTAGCAGTTAATTTTCGTGATTGACCTCAGCTACTGTGCAAAATACTGCGCAAGTTTCATAGAAAAATACAATACTTCTTCATAGCTTGTGCTGCGCTTTAACATTTAAAGTTCAAACGTGTATAATCCGACCTATTAAGGTCTCACGTACGGTAGCTACACTTACCGAACCACATCAGCAGATATAGTGACGGTGCCAGGTTCTCCGTCAGGTCCTGGACAATGCTACCGGGTATGTAGCTCCATACTACGCTGGGCAGAAAACAGACGATGAAAAACACCGCTACCGTTCCCGTTCGCTTGGCGATACCCAACTCCACACTGAACCGGTGCTTGAAGCGCAACGAGGTGTCCTTCTGCTTATTCCGCCCTACCGCTGTCCGCACCAGACACACTTTGAAGACAATGAGCGTATAGCAGATACACATGACCACAATGGGGGCAATCTGAAAGATGAACCGGTAGGCGTTGACAAAGGGCGCTTCCACACTGCTGTACTGACACCGCTCCACCGACTTCTTGTATCCGTACATGGCGCCCACACCGAAGAAGGGAAAGGTGAACACGACGTACGGCATCAGCCAGGTCAGCACCAGCATCACCAGCCCCACCCGGTCCTGGATGCGCTTGGAGATGCTGCCAATATGGACGACGGCCAAGTAGCGGGCCACGGCGATGGCGGCGTGGTTGAGGCAGGAGACGAAGCAGCCGCTCAACGCCATGAAGCCGAAGAACCGGCAGCTGCCGTTATCGGCGTGCCAACCCAGTCGAATGGTGGAATAGGCCGCTGCCGGCATGGCTAGGGCGGCGTAGATGGCACCGACTAGGAATAAATTGATCAGCAGCTGGTTGGTCGTATGCCGGTACAGTTTCCCGTGGAACATGGAGCCTATCATCAGGACATTGCCGACGAAGCCAAAAACCACCAGACCGATGGTGCAGTAGCCGAAGACGGTGAAGGCTACCGGCATTTTGTGACCACCGGTACTGTTGAACCGGCTACCGGTAATGTTGCGCGAAAGGTCACCGGTAATGTTGCGCAGCGATGCAGTGGTGTTGGGAATGAATAACGGTGCCATTTGAGCGGTTGCGTTAGCGTTGCGATGCGATGCGTTGAGCAGATAATTTATACCGTAGAATATGACACCACGAAGCAAGCCGGTCTGGCTGGGAAATATACGTGGATGCGTAAGATTAACGATGATCCCATGAAGTAACTGCGAAGAATCTATCGGCGTTGACTGGCTGATAATCGCGCCTTAAATGGGGCTTCCGCCGTCGACTGTAGCCGGCTGATTCTACAAGCGTGACGACAGGTGAACCGTGGTGCGTCGATCGCAACGGGCGGCATCATTAACGCCGGGCAATGGGGCGGATGAAAAACTGTGAAACCTTTACGCGAAACAATGGATGCGAGAGGAAAACATACGCCGGTGCCATTCGATAGCGCTTGTTATAAGATGTTGGAGATTTTCAGTTCGCGGTATAATATTGTAAGATGCCGCTATAAGAAGGATGCTCCCTTAATGACGTGTGCCGTATTGTGGAAAATGTATCTTGCCTTAAAGATGATCGCTAATCAGTTTAATGATTCTTTTAAAATAAATGGCACGTGAAGCTAAAATATATTTTTCTTGGATTTAACTATGTACACAGGAAGAGCGAGAAACTATTTATGTTTTTGAATAACTAGGAATGTTATAATTTCTAAACGAATTAAGCCCTCATAGCCATGGCCTTAAAGGATCTACCAGTGTACCTGAAACTACAAAAGACAGCCACTGCATATTAGTGCATATACGTATACTGTACATATATAATGCATGCATCCACTGAATATGCAATTTACCCACAGGCAGGAAATGCATTTGCCGTATTACTATTTAAATACATACATCTACAATAAAAATATATGCAGATTACGATAGTCTTGATGAATGCTTAAACATAATCGTGTGTGACATAAAAAACGTTGAAATTTCGCAGGGTATCTGCATTACGAGAGCTAGACAGGACGTTTAAGATTTATCTTGATTTTTTCTATGGTCTCACAAAAATATAATCGGATTATCCATATATCATTGGCAAAAAATGCGCCGAAGCCACCGGCAGACATTTCCGTTTGCGTGCTACAGCCATTTCCGTCTGTGCAAGTTGCGTAATTGTGGGCGGCTGTGGCATTATGAGAACCCCTGGAGTGCGCAAAACCTTGACCTATGAGCGTCTGACTGGTAGGACTATCAAATAACAAGGATCGCTCGGGTTGTGAATCATCTTCCTTCGAGACGGAAAATTCGGCAACAAATTGTTTCCTGACTGTTTATTAATTAAAACCAGCAGTAAATATTGGCGCTTATGTTTGAAATATAGAACAAAATCGTACCAATCTATCTTCAGTAACCAATATGTATTTCCAGCTAGCAAGACCATAAGTTAAAAACGACTAGTTTTACCATGGTTTTACTGTGCTTTCGTTGCACGTTTCTTGTCTTGACAAACATTCATATAAATTGTAACCTGACCTTTGCTGATTGCAAGTCTGCAATAAATGTGTAACTTTCTACGCATACTCGACGGAATAGCAGTGAATGGAGAGTGATCGATACTTTTTCTAAAATGCACTCGTGACAAAATGTAAATGCAAACAGAAATACACTTTCCCCTATTGTCTTTACCAATTTTGCTATGCTAACCGGTAACGTGCGCATGTGTATACAGCAAAATTACGCCAGTTTTCATAGGGAGTATCGCGGAAGCATGCACTGCACGATTGTAAAATGGAGCAAAAAAGATTCTTGCCAACTTTATAATTACATGCAGCCAAAAATCAGAAATGTTTAGAAGTTCGTTGATAATATTTCTTCATGTGATTGGTATGCTATCAGCTGTCAGTATTAGTTTCAATGTGACCATCGTAAACCTTTACGCTACAACTGATCCCACGTACGGCTACGCCACCATGGCCCCCGCAATCCGCGTTATCAATACGATGCTTGCCGACGAATTTGCGTGTATTATGCATGTCAAACGATATGAACTAGATCTGGCCAACAACTGTCCCCAAGCATTTCGGGATGTCCGCAGTGTCGCGTGCATAATCGACAAACTTGGAGCATTTTACAGCCACGTTCTCCATCACGGTTTCGGCAGTAATCCCGAACAGTTTGTGGTATTGACTCTTGGAGGCACGTCTTTAGGCGTACAAAATTACAGTGCTTGTCCACGCAGTAGTTTGTCTTATAAGTTTACAACAAGGGGTAAATTCTTTTCCAGGATGGGATGACTACATTACGTCGGAAGTTGCCCGTTTCGCATCTGGTATGTACATGCACTTACGATTAGGATATATCTAATGGTAAGTTCGGTCATGGTTTGATTATTGCCAATTATTTTAATACCTGTGCTTGTGCCTTGGTTACAAGAACTGCCAAAACGAATTAGCTTTGTTACTACCCGCCCAAAATTTTGAATATACTGTAAGTGTCAACTGTGTCTGTGCCTTGTGGCCACTTTTATGGCACAGGCGTTTCTGATAACCTAATTGGCAGCTGCCAGCGGTATCGTCTGCAGCTTACTTGTTCACAGTTAGATAATATTCGCAAGGCACATGATCAAATGTAAATTACACAAAATGATACAGTTATTCGATTACGATGCAATGGATAATTTGTAAACTGATACTGAAAATTTGGACTTGATGTAATTGCTGTACTGCAAACGTGCCGGTGGAAGGGCGTTTGAACGTACTGTATCCTGCTTCCAAAAAGAATTTTAATTTCCTGAGTATTTTCTCTGATATTTCCGACCGATTGTTAAGGATCTGAGTACACACAGGTACTTTGAAAAGTTGCTTAATTATACTATCTCGAGGCTCGGACAGGAAGTTTTTGAACTTTCCCACGCGGAATGCCAAACGGATTGGGTTGGTCTAGTTTAACCTAAGCATCATAAATCACATGTCACTGCATGCAAATGTATGCATTTCAATAATAACGTAATGTCAGCGAAGGTTTGCCGGGAGCGGGGGATACGGTGCACATTATTGCAGTCGCATCCTGCATATGAAATCAGTTTACATTTACTGCTGAAGTATGCAGTATGTAGAATGCCGTTTGCCATGAGTGCGATTTCGGAACGCGGAACGGAAGTAATCGCGGGTACTTATGTTTTAATAATGCCATCCTGAAAAGCTACTCGGACTTACGCCTCACATTGTAAAACCGTATATATGTAGATATAACATACGTAATTTAAGAAATCAAATGGGGAAAAACGACCTGTGTGTATCTATGGACCGGTGTATGTAACTCGTATCTACGGACTGATGCTTAGCGTCACTCTTTCAAGCAGTGGTATATGTAATTATGTGCGTTTTGGCAAGTTACAGTGTTCTCTGACTAAATTTTTTCCTTGACGATACCTCGGCAGCTGTGTATTGATTGTCCCTTCAAATATTGTGGAGGGATTTAAAGCAGATGTTAAACGATTGAACGGGGTCAGGTCAAGCAATTTACGTTAGCACAACGACTTCCAGATAGGTTTCTGGTTCGATCGGGATATGCTAAAAAATACAGCAAGGTGGTCTTGATAACTAAGCCCACGTTGGGGCATTTAGTTATCAAACCAAATAAGTACTGGGATGTCTTTATTGCGGCAACATTTTCTGGCCGCTATTTTATTATCACTACCATGTTTGTCACTGACCTTACGCGGCAATGTTACGCTGATTATCGCCATCACCACGAATGACGACACGTGTGGCTACGCGACTATGAAGCCCGCGTACGACGTTGTCTTCGAGATGTTACTCGAGAGATATGCGAGTTTCCGGGATGTAAGGCGACTGATGGCGACATCGGTTAATACCACTTCTGTATCGGATTTCACCATGGGATGCGAAGACTCAGCTGGAAGTGCCATTAATACTCTCGGTAGATTGTATGGAAATGAATTCATCGACCCCACAGAATCGCTAACTGTTCTTATAAGCAGCGGTATGGGTGCATTGCTTGTGAAAATCAAAATATGAAAACGTGTGACAGTAAAAAAGGATCAAATAATACATGCATATGACCATTTGTACTGTTCGCAGAATGGTGTGAAATTTCTGGGATGGATATGGCAAGATTCACTGCAGGTTCGGCTCTGTCGAGAAAAACGCGGAAAATAGTTTAATGTATATTAACCCCAAAAAAACTTGCGCAAGAAATTTAAACACCTGATAATTTAGATATTTTATACCGTCGTTTATAAGTATACAGTACACAATGATAGTTGTACAATATACAGTACATACAGTACTTACCCTTCTCTCTACGAACACCGCTGTTCGCTGTGGTCGAAATAACCGGACCATCGCGTAAGCAAACATTTTGCAGTTTTTACCGTTGCACTTGAGGAAATTATACGAATCTCCGAAGCGTGAACTCATTTTGAAATTCAAAACCGGGTTGAACAAACAGCGACCTATGGTCTGGAGTGCTGCTTATGCAGGATCTCTTTACTGCTCAGGATACTAGTATTGCACTTGCTGATCGGAACATGAGAGCCCGCGCATTTACTTCGTGAAGTTATAGCGCCAGTAAGGATAGAATAGGCTCTTCGCAGATATGGGACAAACACGGCTTCGATACCAGAATTATGTGCGTTAAGATGAATGTTGAACAAATTGCAAGTTGAAGAGAATACTGAAAGCTGTGAATGGAAGGAAGTTCCTCAAATTTGCATTTTAGATAGCAATTAGAACGTGTAAGTGGGTGCATGAAAACTGTAAAGTTTTACGAACTGTGAATAAAGAGAAGCAGTTCGCTAGCAGAACCTTGCCCTTTCCGACATGCTTCGGTGTTGAGCAGTTCCGAAAAGAGCAGTGCGTGCGATTGAGGCTTTGAACAGAAGAAGGACGACTGGCGAGTAGTGGTAATTAGCTGCAACGGCCCATTTTTCTGGCACTGCGTGACTTGCCTCTTGCATTATTATAAGGAGAATGTCGGTTTTATAAAGCGTAATTTCTCCGTAAATTGAAATTTGGTCGTTATGTCGAAATGTTATCTTGAAATGCTAACGTTAACTTGAAATTTTA